TTTATGGTCGGGTTCCGATCGACGAAGTTTTGGCTGATAGGAACGGAGAGTTGGCGGTCACTGACTGTGCCAAAACCACCGGGCCCGCTCCGATAAATAATATCTCGAAATAGGTGCTGCTTTATCCCCGCGGTGGGAAAGGGTCCGCACAGGTTCTGTTAGAGGCAGGTCTGCGTAATGACGATATTCAATGATTGGTCCGTGTTTGGGAAGTCCAAATTGCCTCTAGGCACGGCACGTTGTAGGCACAGACGAGATATGCTGATGACCGGATCTTTTGAGGTTGAGGTGGGTTGCTGATGCCACGAGCCTTCGACAAGGGGATATCGTCGAGGGATAAACTCTTTGAAAGAGTCACGTCCCTCCCCTTTAGCTCAGCCCTACGATCCCCGTCGTACGTTGCTCATATGGCTAAAGAACCTTTTGATCCTTTCGGGGGCCTGAGCGGTTCCAAGAGCGATGAATGGAGATGTGGCTCGCGAGGGGGGTTTGTTAGGAAGCGTGCTGCCCACGCCACGTTTTGAGCAGATGGAGACGGGGTGAACTGGAATGGATCAAGCCAAAGCCAAAGATGACGGATGGCCGTTTGAAGACAATGTCGGAAAAGGGGGGGCCAGGCGGTTGTTCACATTGGGTAGCCAGCAATCGGGGATCATTCGTAAGAGTAGGTTGGTGGTGAAAAGGTCATTGCCAGACCAGGTCGGGCGGAGTCTGACCCGCGCGATCAGAAGTCCAAGAAATCAGATATCATAGAGCTTAGCTTCAGAGATCCAGGGGAGGTGCTTGTCGCAGCTAATCAAAAAGGACTGTTGCGCTCAGCACGGTAACAAACTGCGCTCTCAGGTACGTGATGGGGGAAGTGCTCGAGGGGGATCGTGGAGCGACCGTTCATGGGCCCCAAAGCCCATTGCCGGTTCACCAGTGACCACTGACCAGCATAGCCCAGAGCGGAGCGACCTCAGCCACGGTCAGCAGTGCTTACTTACATAACTCGACAAAACTCGTCTCCAGTGGGGCCAGTTTAGTACTCGTAGTGTTGTGGGAACCTGGGAGCGATTGCAAGAATGGCTCTTTGTTCGAGAGAAACACACGCACCCTGGGTGGGAATAAGGTGCGGGCGGCGTACGGCTTTGAAATGACGGAACCACCATATACGGGGGTTTCGTGTAACCATGGAGAGCAAGCATGACTTACATGTCATCAAAAGAGGAGAGAGCCTGGTAAAGTCACCCGCCCATTTAGCACCGACCAAGCACTGTAACGGGGTGAGCAATAAGCAGGTAAGCAGAGGGGTGTTGGCCACCACCCACCCCCGACCACCACCACCACCACCGCCAACCGGCGACCGCAGCCTGGTAGGAGAAATAGTGCTGGGAAACAATGTTGCAAAGGCTACCTCTCGATGGCGGGCGTCTGACCCCCGGGCGCGGCCGCTCTGGGGCCTATCAGCCTTGAGTGCCTCCAGAGGCGGCAGCACGACAATTGCTTCATCGGGCAGGTGGCATGGTATTTGTGGTTGCAAATGATTTCATCAACTCTACGCTGTGTGTTTTTAGTAATAGAGAGAGTTAGCTCGCTCCATTCGTTGAGAGGAGGAAAGGTTGAGCGTGTTCTCTCTTGTCATTCTCTTCCTCGTCGACCAGTGGCCAAGCTCTGGCGATTCCCCAGCGCCAAACATTTGGCCAGAAGCAAAGCAGCGTCGACCCGGCCACTCTGTGATCGCGGACTAACCTAGCTCAACGGTGCAGGGACGCCAACATCGAACTCGTCCGGAGAAAATAGTGCTTCGTACGTACAAGGTCCTCGGTACTGGATGGTGATTTCAAAAAGGTCTGCCACTCCCTAGTTGGGCCGATGGGGACCGAGCAGGTGGGTTGCGAGGCTAAATTACGGGAGTCGAGCCTGGAAAGACGGCCTCAACGGATCGACTGTTAGTGGAGGACAAATGACGAGGTGGTTGGTGGATGGGCACAGATGGCGAGATCAGTGGTGAGCACCAAGCACCACGCACCACGCACCACCCGAGCGAGCGAGAGAGAAGGGAAGCAAGGGAGGCAGGGGAGCAAGAGTCCGTAATAAGTTCGCCCCCACGATGCCCAGAAAGAAGCCTGGTGCCAGTCACCCCCAGTCCGAGTCTGCAGACGATTACTCGTACAAGGCCAAGATGCAGCAGACATGCACAACGCCGGCGGCATTAATCTTGCATGCATTTGTGCTGAACCCGATAGGCCACCTCGCGGGTGCCTCGTCTCGCTCCTCTCGTTTCTCTTTCCCTTTCTTCTCCTAGTCACCCCAACCCCCAGTAACTCACAGAGACAGGCCCAGCAAATGCAACCAACCCTCACGTCGCTCCATGGGCGTGAGTGGAAAGCTAACCTCTTGGACCTCACGCTAATCATTTCGCCTCCATACACGGGCCATGATGCTGTTTTGGAGACTGCGATACGGCCAATCCGCGACAGCCACTGTCTGCTTCTTTCCGCAACCTGCGCCGTCAATGGCCAAAGAAGCCCGAATTCGGCTTCTACGAGTTCCAATCGGTCGTGTGTTTCAGCGACTCCGGCCTCCGGCCTCTTGTTCAGGTTGATGATTATGGGTGAAGAGATTGGCCCAGAAACACACATTGAAGATGGGAAAGTAATCGAGAGCTCAATACGCACCAAGTGGATGGCCACAATGCCTTTCAGGGACCGGTGGTGTGTTCTATCCCTTTGAGTCAATCCTTAGACAACAGGCGCTGTTATTCTCAGAACGCCGACCGTGGGTATCGATGCTGCACCTACAAGCGCGAGGTGGGCGAGCTGCTCAAGCTCTCAAGCTCTCGCCTCCGGCCAGCTACTCTACCGGCGGTAAGCCTTTGGCAACACCAATTCAGAAGGTGTCGAATCCACCAAATCCAAATCCCTCGCGGAGAGTCGGGGTCTACGAGTACTAGCTTTGGTACCTGGCCCACCAGCCACACCCAAGGCCCCCTTCGCCACGACCTGGAAGTAGCCCCCGAAAGCCTCATGATCGACCACATCGCCTGGAGAAGTTCTTCCTGAGGGGATCACATGCAGTAGTTGGTCGGTGGTTCAGCCTCATCCCGATGTGGGTAATGGGATCTGTGGCTTGGATCCTTTCGCTTGTACCTATGGCTGTCGGTCAAGACGAAGGATTTCACCAGCCACTTACCCCGTGCTTCAGTGGCTGTGCAGTCTGCGAGAAGGACAAGATCCTACTCGTAAGTACGAGTCCTCGTACATACCTAGTTCGTTGAGGCTGGTGAGGCTCTACCTAGGAACTAAGTAGATAGAGGATTTTGGCTTTCACGTTGGACCGGCTGTGGAGACGGGCGCATGTGCCCTTGTTTCGTCTATTCAGCTTTCCGTCAGCTCGACACATCGTTCAATAATGGGGCGAAGACACTGCATGCAAGATCGTTTACAGGGAATATGAGAACAATTCTCTCACAAGACGGAGTCTAACGCAGCTGGCCCCCGTTGCTCTGCCGAAATTGGATATTGACATGAGTCGAAAAGAGTCAAATCCCCGTTCGCTCTTACGCCCTCTAGCATCGAGTATCCAGCCGCATGACGCTTTCCGGGCTTCCTTGCGAACCTTGGAACGTAGTGACGTCGGCACTTCCAAGAGCCTGAGTGGAATGTTGCGATGGGTGCCCCATGAGATGGGGAAAAGATGCTGAGACTAGGTTGACATGAGAGATGCATTCCCATTATGCCGGAGGATCTTCTCTGACGGACGATGATGGTTTACTACCGCTTCCCTTTCTCTCACTGCTTTGTCCTGCGAGCAAGATTTGCATCCTACAACATTCGATGGGTTTTTACTGGTGATGCAGCCTGTTCGTCCTGGACTGTGAGGTTGCTGTTAAACGTACAACGACCTTTGCACGCCGACCTCAACTCGAGATGGCATCCCCGAGATCTTCAAACTCAATCTCGTACTATCGAGTTGACAGATCGCACGTCACGTCTCAGCAAAAAACAATGGAGAGAATGATCTGGGCTGCCATCACCGCCGATACATACACATTCAGGCAGGAGAACAATAAAGACATCTGCGAGATGTCGAAAGGGAAGGACTTCGAAGATGCTTTGCGCATCACGGTCCAACGAGCTTTCGACGACCAAGTTTGTGTTTGTTCAGCAATGCTCAACCGGTCCCAGATACCCGGCGAGCAGGATTCTGTCGATTCGGAAACATTCATCATTTGTAGCGGGTTGGTGGGTGATCACGAACACTTCAAGATAAATCATGTGCCGCAATGGTAATAGAGTTTGTGTCGTGAAAAGAGGAAGAACTCGTGTGACGACGAAAAGGCCGAAATCGAATCGGGAGCTATTCTTGTCTGGCCGTCGTTGGAGAGCCTAGCGGTGGCCAAAACGTTGGCGTTTGTGCAGGGGAGAATACTGCAGCGGAAAGACGTACGAGGTATTCGTAGCTCGGAGGTCTTGAAGCTTATGAACTATGAGTACCGAGTACCATATACTAGTACCATTAAGCCCGTCCAACTTGAAACCCGGAAAGATCACGTTGACAAGGTTATTGCCTATTAGTTGCATGGGACAGGCTGGACAGGCTGGACACGCTCCTCGGCAGCCTGGTGGGCGGATGATGGGCTTCTGACCTTCAAGTTCCCCAGCCGCGGCGCCCGACTGCGGTCATGGTCATCGGTCGCTTGACTGCTGGCCTTTGGTGCAAATCCTCTGTGGTCCTTCATCCACGCCACGTTTGCACCTGTTCTAAGCTGCGGCAGCCACTCAAATACTCCAAAGTGTCCTTGTAGAGCGGTCGCCTGTCTCTCCCACGTCCAGCAATCACAAGGGGGCAGAGCACCAGGGGGTTGAGTCTTCATTAAAAGCTCTCTAAACCCTCCTGGAGGCGGGGCAGACTTCGTCGCTTTCTTCCAACCCTCGCGCTCACAGGCTGCCTGCCTCGTCGATTTCCTGTTTACGTCTTACAATCCAGCACGACGCAGTACGGCACAGGAGCAGAACATGGCCTCCTTCCTCGAAGAGCTTTGGAATTCCATCTTTACGCCTGGCCCGACGCCGACGCTCCTCGTTGCTACCAATGCCGCATTCGCCGCCCTGCAGCTCCTCTTTCTGATCCTACTCATCGCAACGTATTCTCTACACTTTTTGGTATTATCGGTCCTGTGCGGCGGTCTTTGGTACTCGATCAACTGGTTCGCTACGGAAATCGCAAAAGAACAACAAGCGCAAAAGGCAAAAGAGAAGAAAGAAAAGAGCCCAGAGCCAGATAACGCGAGTGATACTGAAACTGAAGGGCCGCCGCCGCACGCGCCAGATGATGATTCCGTGAAACCCACGACAATACCGACGGCGCGCAGCCAAAGTCCAAGACACGAGAGGCCGAAAGACATTTCACCCACGCTTCTTGAACCGAAGATGGCCGAAAGTACAGAGGCACTGAGGCGTCGGCGCAGCCTGGGCGAGAGCTCGGGTTATGTCAGCACTGACAGTGAGTGGGAGAAGGTATCTGAAGGAGAAGAGAAGAGCAAGTGAAGAGGAGCCATTCCTATGCTCTCCTCGGGCACCGCCAACGGAAAGACTCTCCGCTACTCCCAAGTTCACGAGATAGAGAAGAGGAAAGGAATGAAGACGGCGCCTTTCCGCCAGACCACCACCTACTCAAACCCCATGTCGACAGCGACCATGACTTGCTATACCCGGAGAGTATATGTGACAGATTCAAGATACCCCAGATAAAGGGAATGAAATGACTTCTATATCCCGAGTACGTTGAGACATCCGATCGCGGGGATACTATTCTCTATTCCCTATTCCCTTATAAAATGCCCCGCACTCGATATTGCTTGCCACGGGGCACCTGAGTCCTTTACACGTACTAGTAGCCAAAGTTGCGCCCTCGTGGTCAGGTTTCATCTTCATCGCTTGATCTCTCCGCCGTGGGAATGCTGGCAGCACGAGGTATGCAATAACGTGTGGTCTTGTCAGAAGAGCCTTGATCAGAGGGGCCCTGACTTGCAGCGTGGGACAAGAGGGAGTCGGCATGACCCGCCCAAGCTACTAGGTAACGTAAGTTTCGCCGCCACAACCCAAACGTCCATCAGCCCTCCTCTCCGCTTGTCTTTCTCGCTCAGCCTCGACTTTGTGACTCTATATTGGTGACGCTTTCCCTCAGTAGTAACTCAGAGTCATCTTCTGTCTGCTGCCCCAGCGTCCCACTATCTCACATGCCATGATTGCCGCTCTCTACTCGAGACTGCGATCATAAGTACCTCAGACACTTGTACAGTCCACCACACAGCTTGAACCCACCGCAACAATGGTTGTTCGCCTGTCCCAGCTTCTCTACTATTCTCACACTGTCACTCGATCTTTATCGCGGTCCTCGTTTCGCTTATCATTAATACGGCGTACCATATGAGAGAATTGAAGAGGAAGAGAAGGATATATACGACGCTGTCATGGCTTCCATCTTCACATACCAAGATGAGCCTGCCCGAATACATTCTCCGTGGTCGACACCAGGAACCTCAACCCCTCAGCAACTTCACTCGCTTGACAATCCTTCTGGTGGAAGCCATCATATCACACATGGTCTCATGAAGCTGGAACCAGAACGCCAGGATGGTCCTACCGAGTACAAGCTTCACCTCCTCCTTCGTCCTCGACGGAAATTCCTCTCCGCAACGACAACATGCTCCGTCTATGGGTCACAACCCTATACCACCCCAGTCCAATCTGCTGTTGTATCAAGTCGCTCCCCTGGTGACTCTTTGCTAGATCGCCCTACATCGCAACCTTCCGCACAGGCTCGTCAAAACAGACTACAACAACTGACTACACAACTGCTCTGGAGGCTACAGCAGTCTTCGCCCTTTCATTCTTCGTCGAACGCAGATTTGGTCTTACCGCTACTTCCTGAAGCGACGCCCAAGTTGGGAGTTCCGGAGCGGCCAGCAAAACTCCTCCCCGGTCTCGAGGAAAGCCAAGGCGCCCTCTATGAAATAGGAGTGGCTGATGATGGCATGCTGGCAGGCTTAGTCGAAGATGAGCTGCAAGAGAGTTTGACCAATTTAAAGGCCATGGCCGCAAGCCTCGGCTGCACCACCAATATACTTCGAAAAGTTCCCGTAGGAACGTGTGAATGGGTAGAAAGTGGCAGCGAAACTGGCCACGCGCAAACGCGCAAAGACGCACTCTGGGTTGCTGAAGTGCTGGTCTACCCAGACTCACGAGGCTCGGCAGACGCCGACATTCCAAGAACAACACTCGATATGCCAGCCGGATCCTCGGAATCGGAGGATGGGTCGGATTTGGCCGACCACGCTTCGACTGATCAGATTCGAGTGACCCTAGTGGGAGCTACAGCCGCCGGAAAGTCTTCCCTCCTAGGGACCTTGTCAACCTCTACTCTAGACAATGGACGAGGCAAAAGCCGGCTGTCCCTGCTCAAACACCGACACGAGATCGCTTCGGGAATCACAAGTTCGGTTGCGCACGAACTCATAGGTTACTGGGAGGCTCGACACCCTCCAAATACTGTCATCAACTATGCGTCAGGTAATGTTTCCTCTTGGCTAGACATCCACAACCTGGCTAAGCGCCTTGTCTTGCTTTCCGACTCTCCTGGTCTCCCCAAGTTTTCAAAGTCAGCTTTCCGAAGTCTAATATCATGGAGGCCTTCTTGGACTATACTGTGCGTTGCAGCAAACGACAGCGACGAGGCAATAGGCCGAAGTCCCGCAATGGATCCGCAGTCGTATGCTAATAACGGAATCGGCGAGAGTGGGGATCTCTCACTCTCGTATCTGGACTTATGTCTGCGATTACAAGTGCCATTGATGGTGGTCATCACCAAAATGGACATTGCAACCAAGGCAGGACTGCGACTGGTGCTTGCTAGAATTCTTTCCGCTGTCAAAGCCGCTGGTAGGAAACCTGTCATGCTCAGCAATATGCCCGGCCCTGTGTCTACTCCAGAACAGGGAGTCGCCCTCTCGGAACTCCAGACCATCTACGAAAGGGATCAGACGGAGGTTGAACGACTTGTTGAGTCGATGCAAAGTGACCCTGGGCAGGGGACTGTCCCAATCCTAATGACTTCGGCCGTCACAGGACTCGGCATAAGCAAATTGCACGCATTGTTTCGGACCATTCCCGCAGTCTGTAAGCCACGACAATCTCCGTGGCCTGGACCCGCGGTGAGTTCTTCGCTTTTCCATGTCGATGAGGTTTTCAGCATCCCCCCATCGCGCGTTTATACCTTGGATACCGAACCCCAACTCGCAAAACAGGGCATTGTGCTTTGTGGACATCTCTCTTACGGTCTGTTGTCAGTTGGCGATACTATGCTTCTAGGTCCTTTCAATCTGGACACCGATGGCTTATCTAACCCTATCTCTCCGTCCGTCTTGAGAGCCAATTCTTATGCTGCTGCTGAGTCGTCATACGCAGAGGGATCATCAAGTGTTCTCGCGCGTTCTTATCAGGGAGAGGCGCCACAGCAGCCGACTCGAAAGTATCTGCCTTCGGCGATATTTCTCCGAGTCCGCATCGTGTCCCTTCGTACTTTACGACTTCCTGTGATGCGCATGCACAATCAAGAAACAGGCACCATTGGTGTCGAACCTCTGGACGGTGAACACACGACGGTAGCGCTCGGTAGGGCTCGCAAGGGTATGGTTCTTACCGACATCAACCAACATCTCGCTGGGTATCGTTCATTTTCTGCGAGGTTTCCTACTTCAGACTTTGCACAGACAACTTCGCCGGTTTTGATACTAGGAGGTCATGCGATCGTATACATCAACAGTGTTCGTGCTGCAGCCAAAGTAACGGCGGTGGCGCTCGATGAGGATGAGCAGTCGGGAAAATATACGTCTGCAGCATCTTCCCGAGACGACGCAGAGCTTTTCCGTTTAGATATTGATGACGACGTCGAGGGGGGATTTGGAGACGGCGACGGCGACAGGGGCAAGCCCAGTAACGAGAGGAGGGAAATCAGAGTGTCTTTTCGTTTTGGCAGTACGATCGAGTGGATGGAAGTGGGCGACCAGGTAGTTGTCGTTCCTACTATGACGGCGACTGGGCCTGTGACCGGCCCAGCACCGATTGCCAACACGGGCGGCTTGTCTGGGTTTGTTGGAACAGTTTGTGAGGTGTTTAGTTGATGATATGCAGATTTCAGATGGGCTGAATAAACGAAACATTGAAGAAATGGAAACGGACAGCAGGGGTGTGGCCGAGACAACACTGTGGAATATAGCCTTTTTCTCTCATATTTTGACGATTTGTTAATTTACCGTCTCTCGCTTCGGACATGCACTTCCACGACACTGCGAACCAAATTACTATTTCAAAGTCTGGCTTGGATGGTCGCCTCAGGAGATTCTGCCGCGGACCCGAGAAAGATCCTCCTGTCCATCTCGATTTCTTTGGCACTATCACTCGGGATCCCTTCGCCCTGAAACTGCAGCCGATCGGCAGGCAAAGCGTTCATCCTGACCCAGCGCCTTGCGACCTCGGTAGCGACCTCGTCTCCATCTACGGTGGCATCAAACATGAGCAGACAAGCGCACGCGACGGCCTCGATGTGGTCGAGGATGTCCCTGCCGCAGCGTTGCAGGCCCAGCGAGTCGCCCGACCGGACCAGATGGTGAAGCGCCTTGTAGCGATTCGCGGTCATGTCGCATTCGGCAGCGAATCCACGTGCTTTGTGCAGATGACCACTGCTGGCAGCGGCGGCGGCGCTTTTGATCGCGCCCAGCACATTCCGCACCCAGTCTCCGAAGACCTCGTCGAGGACGTCTTGGCCGGTCCTTTGCGTCTTGGGATTCTTCACCACCCGCAACACGTCCTCGGCCATGACGCTCGTCGTGCCCTCCCAGATGGTGCCCACCACGCTGTCCCGGAACAAGCGGGCGATGTTCAGGACCCCACCATCCTCGTTGTTCTCGCAGTAGCCCACGCCACCCAGCGATTCCATACAGGCTCTCAAGCCCGAGACGCTGTTCAGGGTGACCTGCGCTTTCATCACGGGCGTGAGCAGGCGGAGGAGCATCTCTTGTTTTACCCTTGAGCGGGGGATGAGGACCGCCGCGCCGCGGGTGCGTTGTGTAACGACGTCGTAGTCTTGTTCCGTGGCGCCCAGGAGCGCGACGCCGAACAAGACCAAGTGCGTGTTGGCGCGATACTTGACGCTTTCACCGGCCATCCAGGCCAGATGCTGCGCGTTGTCCCGCAAGAGTTGTCCGTCTCTCACTTTTCGGACGAGCGTGTACGCGCGACTCACCGCCAGTCCCCGTGCCAAGTAGCCCGCACCGCCACTCGCCGTCCATAGTCGTGTGATGTTTAGGATGAAGCTGATTTCCCTTATACCTTGGTTCTCTTCGCCGATGAGGTAGGCGCGCATGCCCTTCAGCTCGAGCTCGGCGGTCGGTACGCCTTTTGTGCCGAGTTTGTTCTTCAGCCGCTGGATGCGCACGCCATTGGTTTCGGTCGACAGAGACTGGGTGGTATTATTACGGCCGGTACTTCGGCGAAGAGGAGCGTAGAATGCACTCAGTCCTTTGCTTGTCTGGGCCAGCAGAACGGCCATGTCGGCATCGGTCGCGGAGGAGAACCATTTGAACCCGTCCACAAGCCAAGGTCCGAGCGGGAGACCATGTGCGTCTCTGTCTCGGCCGCGGTCGACGTCGGTTTGTATTTCTTGAGCGGTCATGCGGCGCGCGACAGTCTCGGTGCCTCGCACGTCACTGCCACCGCTTCGTTCGGTCATCCATTGCCCACTGGTCCAGGAATACGCCGGGTCCAGGGAGACCAGGCGGCGGTGGCTTTCGCGGAACACGGCGGCGCGACCGGGCTGGTCTCGGTCCGGATCATCAAAGTGTCGACGCAACAGCACGGCGGCCCCGTCAGTCATGGCCGTAGGGCAGGTGGTCACGGCACATGTCCCGTGCCAGAGGTGGAGGGTGCCGAACTCATGAACTCTCCGGTTGAAGATTTGCTTGATGGTTGTTGAGGGCTGAGGATAACCGTACCCGACGATGCCGGCACGCGTTTGAATCTTCTTCAGGGCGCGCCATCCCTCGCTTGTGCGGAGGGGGGTTGCTTTATTCTCCTCGCCGAAGGTGGTCAGTGGGTGGAGTGTGGGTAGGTCAGTATCACAGTCAATCGTGTGTTGGAGCGTCGAGGCGTCGAGGACCAGCCGGGCAAAGTCATGGAAATGGTTCCGGAGAGGCGTCGGTAAAGGGTCAGGAAGGTAGAGGGACAAGGCTCGCGATAAAGCTACATCATCCGATGCTTCGTGGCCCGAAGAAGAAGAAGCCGTGTATTGCGGCGGTACGACGGGGAGAGCTTGGAAGAACCCAGTGGTCGACGACGACGGCTTTCTCGACTCCATAGTATCAAGTAGATGATGTGATGGAACGAATATCTGCGAGCAAAATGTTTCGCCAGGCCCTGATTTGGGTACATATACTACAAGTGAGGTGGATGATCATCAGCCCTTATACTTACAAGCCAGCCATGGACCATGGTGGCGAGCAACGGCTAAGCCCCTCGAGAACCCACCTCCTCCCCAGGGTAGCAATAACAAGCCCGCCCTGCTGACACCAAGTGACTGAGTGACTGGGTGTTGATATCCGTCAGCGCAAAAGAAAGCCCCGAGTATCTAAGCGCTGATGCTGATCCACCTGCTCGTTGTAGCATATGCACCCATGTCATATTATAGGTATTCATCAAAATATACCTACCAGATAATTCACCACAGCATCTTCTTCTCTCGCGCGGACTCCGGAAATTGTCGTCGGGGATTGGAGGGAGAAAATTTGAACCTCGGCTGCAGATAAAGACGGACCTGCATGGGACGGGCAGACGTGGTGAGATTGTGGAGGGAACAGATGAGCAAATCAAAAACTCGCCTGCTTGATGGGGCGCAAGATGAGGCTAGTGAGGCTTGCAGCTGGTTGACGGTGAATCCGGGGGTGTCAATGAGATGTGCTCACTGCAAACGAACTCTACAAGGTATTATTCTCGTCGTGAGATGAAGGGAGGGAGACATCCGCTGCGACAGCCTTTACCTATGTGCCTACCTAGGTATGCTCTGCTGGACTGATTCATTTCAACTACGGCAGGGGGTATGCAGCTAGAGTGAGCGAGAAATCGTCGTGGTGACTTCTCTGTCATTACCCTGAACGAGTGAGAACATGTTGAAGATGCAATACATGCAATGTCTGAGGCGTGTGCCGTCGCTGGTATGTACAGACCATGGTCTATCCACTCCTCTCACAGCCTTTGTGTTGTATGAGCACAGGGGAACATCTCGGATATGGACCGCGATTCTACATCCCGACCCATTCTGCAGCCAGATCCCAAAGAAGCGTGTCACACAAGACAGATCAAGACCATTTGAGAACTGGTCTGTTCGAGCCTGGTCTTCCGGGTCTTGAAGGTCCATTTCCATCCGACAAAAGAAGGGGGGAAACTGCTGCTGGGTTGGCGTCTACGCGTCGTCCGCGCGTTCCACCACAGACAAGGAATGCCGGACCCGCGCACTCAACAATGGAGCTTGAAACAATAACAAGATGAGGATTTCGTGCCGTGGTAATGGACCTCTGAGCACTGTCTGTTGGCCTGCATGAGGCTGCACTTTTCATGCCTTCCCTATCGCGCAGTCCTCGGCACTCACAATGGCGTCTTCTTCACCATGGCAGGTGAGAAGCTCGGAAAGAATCTACATTGCGCTTCTACTTGTCTGTCTCTTTTACATCCTACTATCCAGCGGCATATTGAAACATGCCGAAGCAATCGTCAGGCCTGCCTGGAAAGCTCCTACGTTCGGCGAATCCTCGAATGATATCGGTGATGACGTGGAGGAAAACGGCTCGGCTGTTCTCAATGTCAACCTTGGTGAAGAGAAGGATGAATTGTTATCACTCCCAACCGTGGCAGATTTGAATGAAGAGAAAATGGATGCGGTAGGGCCGTACATCGCCGCCATAATGGACCCAAGCAACACGGATTTCGACCGCCTTCAATGTCCCCGGCCTCTCAAGGACCGATATAAGATGTTGCGTCCGAAAGAGAGCCTCCCTCACGATACCCATAAACCACGGGGGAAACGGTACATTTTCGCACTCAACCTATACCAGTGTGCTTACGTGCTCCCCCGCCTTTTGGGATCGGTTGTCGAAGCCATGCGTTTTCTCGGTCCGGAAGACTGCGTCCTGTCCATTGTCGGTGGCCGCTCCGACGATGGTACAACAGAGATACTGGTCGCACTGGAGGACGAGGTCGCGGCCTTGAATGTAACCTACTACTTCCGGACGAGTGACATCGACCCCCTGGAAAAAGGTCGCGATCGGGTGACCCAGCTCGCAAAGCTGCGGAATTTGGCACTGGCTCCGCTCATAACCCAGCAAGACAAATATGCAAAGGAGACGTCTGTTATCTTCTTGAACGACGTGTCCATCTGCACGGATGACATCTTGGAACTCGTTTATCAGAAACAGCACCAACGGGCGGACATGGTATGTGCCATGGACTGGAACAACAACGGAGACACCTTCTACGACTCGTGGATCGGCCGCAGCATGAACGGCGACCTGTTTGTGGAGATCCCTCAGAGCGGATCGTTCGAGTTCTCTCGCAACCTGTTCTGGAATGACGAAAAGGCCCGCACTCATGTTGACGACAAGCTTCCCCTGCAAGTCTTTTCCTGCTGGAACGGCGCCGTGGCGTTCAAGGCAGAGCCTTTCCTGACGCACAGCATCAGGTTTCGCGCGGCCTACAAGGGCGAATGCTATGCCGGCGAGCCGACATTGTTCTGCAAAGACATGTGGGCCCTGGGGCTCGGCCGGATCGCGATGATCCCGAGTGTCAACGTCGGATACAACGATGCACAATCGCGAGAGGTTAAAGCAAAGCACGGATACGCTTCGGGAAATGTCCAACAGACGGAACATGATATGGGACTGTCGACAGAGATCGAATGGCAGAACTCACCCCCTCAGCTGGTCAAGTGTCAGCCTGATTGGACACATTCTTCATGGGCACCGTGGGATGAGGCAGTCCGGGAACATGTTCCCTTTGACTGGTCGCGATCGGGATATTTCAATGCCAAAAAGCCCTTTGATAAGGAGCTGGAGTTTGAGAACGACGGGAAAGATGAGGTGGAGGGCACCACGGTACGCTGGAGACGGTGGCTTGGGCGTCTCAGATGATAGTAGTCAAAGTGGTGAATGTGAAAGTTGGTGTTTGAGAGTCTCACCAGAAAAACGAAGATCCAAGCTTCTATCTCTCCATCGATTGTTCTTGGATGTAGAGATTAGAACAATAAGCCCGCCTCCTCCTGACGCTGAAGAAACGTGTGAGGTACAAATATGTACGTCCAAGAGGCCTTCTTTAAGGAGCCGTTGTTAGTCACGTTTCGACGAGCAATTTTCGCGGAACTTGAGCGTCCGCCACTTTACGCGAGTCCGCGTCTTCTACACTCCAAGGTACATTTTCCCCCGCCTTATACCTTTGCCCACCAAGTCCTACTCGCCGCTCGTCGTACACCCAAGTCATCGCGAAATGCCCCTCAACACTCTGCGGCTCAATCACCAAAAGTCCTCCCATCCCAATGACCGGATCGTCTTCATCAAGCCCCTCCCGCGGCCGCCGGCCGATCAGGCATCCTACGACCTCGCCGACACGTTTTTGAGGGCCATCGCCGCGCAATGCCTCCCGCTCATGAAGAACCACTACCTCTCCGTCACCACGCTGGAAGAGTACGAGCCCAACCCGGAGTTCATCGGGAGGAATTTCAACAACGGCGAAATCATCCAGCTGGTGCTGCAGAGCAAAAGTGGCGGCTGGGTTCCCTTCAACATGGTGCAGATGGTCATGATGCACGAGTTGGCACACAACACGCATATGAATCACGGGCGGGATTTCTGGAAGACAAGAAATCTCTACGCGGAAGAGATGAAGGCCCTGTGGGCACGGGGTTACACGGGTGAGGGATTCTGGGGCAGCGGACGGACGTTGAGTGATTTGGGCAGTGTCATGGGCAACAACGTTTTGGGGAGCGAGGAGTTGCAAGGGTTGCCACTTTGCGGAGGGACATTTCGGAGTCGCAACCGCAACGGAAGAAAACGCAAGGCCCGAAAGGACAACAGGCCGGAATTGACCTGGAAGGAGAAGAGAGACCGGCGGATCGAGAGGAAATTCGGCAAGAACGGCGTGGCGCTCGGCCAGGATGAAGAAGCCCGTTTGAGCCTGGAGATCAACCGCAGGGGACCTATCGGGGGCAAGCCCCGGGTCGCGCAGAGTAAACGAGGGCGGGAGCTGAGAGCTGCTGCGGCATTGGCTCGGTTCGAGACGAACAAGCAGGAAGTCGAAGAGCTCCAACACGCCGGGGAAGAAGGTGACGAGGATGAAGACGTCTACGAGGACGCGGATGATGATGACGGCGAAGAAGATGCCAAGGACATCAACGGCCAGAGAATGCTGGATGGTCAAGGCCGTGGGATGATCCGGGTCTGTGGCGACAATGAGGATACGGAAGACCCCATCAATGTCCAACGTGAATTACAAGACCTGAATTCCCTCGATCGTTATTTCAAACCCTTTCAACCCGACAAGGGAGGATCGGATGGTGTCCAGAAGACCAAAGAGTCGGCCTCGGCGGACAAACCTTCGATACCACCATCGAGTAATTTGACGGCAACGCTAGAATCTGACACGAAGGACGACGGCGGTCAAGGTTCAGGGGAAAGGGACCCGGGGAAACAGCAGCCGCTGCAAATGACAGGAACACTACCACCACCGAAAGTGTCGAGTCATCCGCCCCATGATTCGGCCTCAACACGATCTTCAAAGGATGCCTCGCCCGTTCTGAAACTCAGACCAGCCACGACAACTTCCGCGGCGCGGATTCAGGAATCCTCCCCGTCCGCCCCGACTCCCAGCTCCGGCTCAGCCAAAGTACCCACCTCATCCAACTCAGCCTCATCCTCGATATCCTGCCCGATCTGCTCACTCGAAAACCCCCGCCTCAGCGCAACCTGCATGGCATGTTCGCACGTGCTCGACACCCGCAAGGACCCCAGACACTGGTCGTGTCAGAGCGCGACGTGCAGAGATAACCAAAGCGGGTATGTGAATGCTGGCGATGCGGGCGTCTGTGGGATTTGTGGGACGAAGAAGCCCGATGGATAGATTGGGTTGGCGCTTTTTGAGCCTGTGAACCTTTGACCCTGACTTGAGCGACTACTCAACGCAGTATATACGGCTCCGAGGGTCCGGGCGTGCTTTACCTTGGGTAGAATACGGCAGAGGAATGTATATCAGATGGTCTGGCTGGATGGCGGGTGATTCGATTAATTGATTGAGCGAGCGGGCGGATCGGTCGGTGATTTCGGTTTCGCGCCGAACAACTTGCAAGGCTGGTTTGGTATTATGTATACCTAGGTACCTAGGTATGTATGAAAATAGGATGTGACGACACGATACGATACGATACCCAGTGGGCCATGATGATAGTATCAGTGAGGGAGAGAAACTGTACGGAAGACACGGCAAGGATTGATAGTGGAGTATGGTAGAACAACATACCTACTCGGTGGTATGTACTCCGTACCTGGCAACAGTACCTCGTAGATACCTAGATACCTAGGTACATAGCTACTACTCGTAGGTTACATGGGTACCTAGATATGCTAGCATGATGGAGCTGTATTACTTTAGACTTTAGTTCATTTGCCGCTTTCACTCTCAAATGGGTCACTCGGAGTCGGCATTTTCACACACACATGCGACCTCTCTCACGCCCCAAACCACCGCGTCAGCAAGCAGCAGTGACTCGGACACCCCTCATTGTACCGAGCACAGGCAATGAGTTGCGCCTTTGCTTCTGATCAGGTCGATCACAACACCGACTTGAGCTTTGCCCAGCCTCACGCGCCGCACTTGCTCGGGCGTTTTCAAGGGGGTTTTGATTGATCCAAACAAGACACCGAATGCTCGTGTGCACATTTAGCCAGCAGTGGGCTTTTTATCCCGCGAAATGTGTGGTTTTCTCGCTTCTCGGAGAGAGATATCGCCGGAGGGAAGATTACCGTCGAGCTTCGCACCCACTGAGAATCATCATCTTCCCAGATTATGAAGAGTGTCTGCGAAAAGCCTGGCAGCCGAGCATGGGGAGACAAGATAACGCAGAGTCACATTCCCGGGTGGATAAGCTGCTGCTTGGCCTCGAAGTTGCATGCGTAGTGGCAGCTTGGATATTCTTGACCAGACGGGTGGGCCACAATGGTGCAGGTGTCGTGTCGCGACCGTCCATAGCGAGTATGGATGGAGGTAGTGAATACTTAGAGCAATGAAGCTCGTTCTCTTGAGGAGAGCCGAGTGCCCGCGGACATAGAGGTGCTGTCTGACACCTACCTCAACAGATGAGTGGCTCGCAGGCACTCCCAAACTCAGTAACCTGTTGCCGCCAACGTACAAACCGCTTCGTGGCCCTTCCAACAATCCAGCAAGCCACACACCCGCTCTCCACATCCATACTTACACCTCACTTTGCCCCAGTAGCCACATACGGAGCAGAACCAGCGCTGTGGCTTGGCCATGAGTGAGTTGTTCCCCGTGCGCATGGCGAACGTGCCATCGCCCTGGCTGTTGTCATCAAGTGTTTTTGCCCGCGCGGCAACGTAACTTAGCGGAGGTTCGGACAGGAGCGCTTGCATGACGCGTTCTGATGGCATCTTGGGAATATCCAGTGTGCGGAGCAGCGGATCGCGGTCCAGAGCTGGGTCATAGGCTGGAGGTGGTGGTTGACCCGCTGACGGAGATGAGGTTGGTTGTTGTTTATCTCGGGATGTAGTAGGCGACTTGAAAGGTGTTGTTGGCGAGGCTGGGTCTGAGGGTTCCATAGATGGAGGAGCATCAGGCATTTCGACATCAACATTGTTGGCGCTTTCGCCTCCTGTGGCCTTCGCAGGCTTGGATTTGGCATGCTTCAACGAGCTCCGACGTTGGGAAGCTCCTTTCTGGGCAGTCGTCGACGGAGTGTCGTTGGCAGCAGCACTGCGCCTCCTAGGATCCGTCGCCGACTTCTGGGTCTGGTCCTGTCTCGCTTGACCTTTCGCACTTGTGGCAGGGGGTACATTGGCAGCACTGCCATAGACATTCACCCCGGCTTCCTCGTCCGCAAGATAATGCTGGAATGTCCTGTTGTAGGCGAGAATCCGTCTCACATTTTGTGTGGTCTTCCTCTCTTTCCCCCTCGCGCCCTCTCGTTTAGGTATCGGAATATTGGCCTCGCGGTAATTTTCCTTGTTCAAGTCATTCAGTCGCTGTTGGATGGCCTTTTCTTGCTTCGCAGAGAGTTTATGTGCAGGCGCATGTACTACTGCTCCGTCACGGCCGCGTTTGCGGGAGCCCAGCTGGACGGCAGGGATGGGGGCCACATTGTCGGGGACGTAGGTCCAGCCATGAGAAGCGCGGGCGGTGGTGGTGACTGGTAATTCTTCTATCAAAGGCATGCCGGCGTAGAGACGAGGAAGTTGGTGGTTAAAGTGACGGGAGGCGGTTGTTCGTTGCCAGGATTGATCTCACCATCGGTTTTGTCTGACTGAAAAATATCCTAGTGCAAGCCAGTGGCAAGCTGGCAAGCGGGCTGCTCACTGACTCGAGAATAAAAATATGCCCTGTCAGACAGAAAAGAATCGACTCTCCACCAAAATATACTAGACGACGCGCACCCGCGATCTCAATTACGAACTCCAGGCCACCTTTCAAGAGTCCCAATTCTTTTGCCGTCAGAATTCCTACAGCGTCCCAGAGAGGATTGCAGAATGCATACAACAAGATGACGGTTCTTTCAGACCTCCGCGAGCTGTACTCCCTTAACACTCTAGATACGCGATTCACGAATTCCTCCTCAACACCCCTGAAGTCCGCGAACGGGGTGCCGTCCAAACAAGCAGTAAGAGATGGAAAGACACAACCCGCAGATGCTTCGCCGCCACGATGGAGGACCACCGAGTTCTACATATACCTCGTCATCTTCTTGTTTTGCGTCCCACAGATGTACTGGGCTGTAGTCAGTGTCTCACAGCGTAAGAAGTTCAGACCTCCACACCGAAGCCGGAAGACAGTAGATTTGACAGATTTGAACAATAGCTGGTTCCCCAAACTACTCCAAATATGAACATCTACTATCTCCAGGCTGGCTATTTGGTCGGAAGGTGGTAGGTCACAAGAAACACAAGGAAAAGTGTGTGGCTTGCCAGGCTTATACAGAGTGCAGGACAACTCCGACGGGCAATATGCTGGTTTTCGAGACAACATCCCATATTTGGCAGCTCTAATTGTTTTGCATCCTCTCCTTCGCCGGGCCTATGAACGTCTGACCCTGACGAGTCCACCAACATCAAATGGCAGTGCCAATTCGCACCCTTCACTTAGCCAGTCGACAGCTGAGTCCCGGCTTCGACACCGTCTGGCCTTCGACTTTGGCTCTGCATTGATCTACATTGTTGCGTTGAACGGCTTCTCGGTCTTCAAAATCCTCGTAATCCTTTTCATCAACTTCAAGATTGCTACAGCCCTTCCGCGCAATACAATACCGGTCGCGACGTGGATTTTCAACATCGCCATTCTCTTCGCCAATGAACTTGCTCAAGGCTACCGATACTCGGTCATGGCCGAGGCCCTCGTGCCTTTCTTTTCCCCCGCGGCCGATTGGAGCAAATTCTTGGATTCTTATGGCGGGCTCAATCCACGTTGGGAGGTCCTTTTCAATATCACTGTGTTACGAATGATTTCTTTCAATTTTGACTATTACTGGTCGTTAGATCGTTCGAGAGCAGGAAGCCCTATCGAGGTATGTTGCGAATGGCTGACAGATGTTCTGACTCTTAACTGCAGTTGCTGACCATGTTAAGAAGAAGCAGCTCGATCCCTCTGCTCTCTCCGAAAGAGACCGGGTCAAGATGCCAGCTCCGGCATCAGCCTATACCTCGTTTCGTACATACTTCGCTTATGTATTATATCCGCCTCTTTATCTGGCCGGCCCGATTCTGACTTTCAATGATTACATCTCCCAATCCACCTATCGACCACCGTCCGTGACGACGAGAAGAACCGCTCTTTACGGGATTAGACTTTTGATCACAATGTTTTGCATGGAGTTTCTCATACACACCGCCTACATGGTTGCCATTTCGAAGGCCTCGCCGGACTGGTCTGCATATACGCCGTTTCAACTCAGTATGCTTGCTTATTTCAACCTGCAACACATCTGGCTGAAGTTAATGATCCCCTGGCGCTTCTTCAGATTCTGGGCTCTCGTGGATGGTATTGATCCACCAGAAAACATGGTTCGATGCATGAGCGACAATTATTCTGCATTAGGCTTCTGGCGCTCGTGGCACCGGAGCTTCAACAGATGGACGGTTCGCTACGTCTACGTGCCACTTGGAGGCGGGCCTGGAGGGGGATCAGGCAGAGTGCGCGGCATACTCAACATGCTGGCAGTCTTCACTTTCGTGGCCCTGTGGCATGATATTCAACTACGACTCCTGTTGTGGGGTTGGTTGATTGTGCTTTTCGTGTTACCGGAAGTTCTTGCGACCATGGCGTTCCCAGCATCAAAATGGAAGAATCGGCCGAATGCATACCGCGTCATATGTGGGATCGGGGCGGTCATCAATATTCTGATGTTGATGACTGCGAATCTAGTTGGTTTTGCTTTGGGCCTGGATGGATTGATGGGACTTGTGAATGGCATTTTTAGCAGCTGGCAGGGCGCCTTGTTTATGCTCGGGGCCTGCAGTGCGTTGTTTGTCGGAGTTCAGGTGATGTTTGAACATCGCGAAGAGGAGAAACGCAACGGAATCAATCTGAAATGTTGAGGCTGGTGGAGGGTCTAAACAATCGGCGGCCACTCTATCTTGCGAGAAGTCATAGCATGGTTGGAGAAGATCACTGCCCAACACCAAGAACTTACTCAACTCATACATTGCTGTGTCCCATTGCTGACTGCCGGAGCTTCACGTGACAATTTGGCTCTTTCGCCCGAGCTTGTCGGGCGAGAAGCACTGGTGGAGATGCTTAAAAATGGCTGACCAAGAGGCAAATGATGCGAGTACGCTCGCTATAGACTTTCACTAAACGGATCTGACGTTCGATTGTCGCTCAGCACTTGAGAATGTCGGGCAACCTTGCCGCTGCAATGCTCGATATAGACGTGGGCCGCACGATGTACGCCCTGATTACTTATGCTGGGTCTTCATCACGAGCAGGTATAAGTTGAGAAAATTTCCCCGCAGTTGTAGATAAAGCTGAATACATACCTGGTAAGTGGTTTGTTGCATTGACGTGACACTAGGTCGAGATTCACAATAGATTCGGAGTGTTCCCCAAGTGCGCAGATTCGAATTCCAAGTCATGTCTATCCAGGTATGTCAGACTTGGTTTGCGAATTGAATCTAAATGAAATCTTCCAGATGATGCTAACGGTTGATCTCTGGGCTCAAAAGAGTACGAAGGAGAATCCCATCCCGGCCAAGCTGTTCAACGAGAAGGGCGAACTGCAAAGACCGGTAGCTCAGTTCCGCAACCAAATCTCACGCGAAGCGGGCGCAAGATTCCCTCCTGAAAAGGGGAGATATCATCTCTACGTCTCGTACGCATGTCCATGGGCGCACAGGACCTTGATCGTCCGCAAACTCAAGGGCCTCGAGTCCATCATTTCCGTCACCTCAGTCCATTACAACATGTCCCTCGTCGACAGCTGGCGCTTCGTGGGTCCCGATGAATCCTTGCCCATGGAAGACGTGACGCCAGACCCTCTACACTCGGACGTGACACGTCTGAAGGAGCTCTACTACCGTGCCGAGCCCAACTACACGGGCCGATTCACGGTGCCCATGCTGTGGGACAAGAAGACGGAGTCAATCGTGAGCAACGAAAGTAGCGAGATTATCCGCATGTTGTATACAGAGTTCGATCAGTTTTTACCAAAGGAGAAGCAAAAAGTCGACCTCTATCCCGAGGAGTTGAGAGCCAAGATCGACGAGGTCAACGGGTGGACTTATGATAATATCAACAACGGCGTCTAGTGAGTGCAAGCCCCTCCCTTCATATCGTCTGTCCATGTTCAGGTCTATTCCTCTTTCCGCGATGCGAGACCAAGGGCCACTGATGACCGACTCTCCACCCGCAGCAAATGCGGCCTCGCCCAAACCCAGTCCGCCTACCACTCCGCCGTGACGGCGCTCTTCGCGTCACTGGACCAAGTCGAGCAGCATCTCTCTTCCACCTCCCAAGACGGACCCTATTACTTCGGCGCCTCCCTCACCGAAGCCGACGTCCGTCTCTACGTGACCATCATCCGCTTCGACCCGGTCTACGTCTCGCTCTTCAAGACCAACCGCGCCATGATCCGCACCCACTACCCGCACATCCACCGCTGGGTGCGGCATCTGTACTGGACCGTCGACGCCTTCGGGAGTACCACCAGCTTCGAACACATCAAGGGCCACTACTTTACCAGTCTGACCTTGCTGAATCCCAGCGGCATTGTCCCCGAGGGGCCCCTGCCGGATATTGTGGGGTTGGGCGAGGACAGGTAGAGGAGTCTTGACCCGTGGTTGCAATCATCAGAAAAGAAAGGAAAGAAGGTGCCCGGTCTGAGGTGCCCATTTATCTATATTTGCTGGATTTCGGAAATGTAGGCAGGGGCTATTTTAACGACGAAGAGGGCCAATTTGGCGGTCAAGGGAGAGATCTGACCTGTGCCAGTGCAGCGTAACTCGTCTTGTGTGGAATGGAGACCAGGACTCCCGGCGTCTCACTATGGGCGCGAGGGTGAGGGAACAAACAACTATACAGATTGACAGGTGCTTTGATCATTGATCAATGATAGTCCTTCGGAGTCGAGGCCGATTTCTCGTTGTGCCGAATGTGCACAATAAAACAGCATATCTCTCGATATATGTAGGATCAATATGATATGGCATGTACCGGGATGCAGCATTCATTGACTTTTATCCGCATGCATATACAACAAACATTACAAATTCGGGCCCCCCTACAAGGTGGCCGTCTCCAGTCGCTTAAGCCCCCCCTCAGCCGCCCCGATTCCCCATCCTAATGCAACTGAATGACATGGGACTGGGGATTAAAGGCCATGAAGCCTCGGATTTATGTACTAGGTACCCTCGCGCCCGGAGGTAGCCTGGAAGGCTGAGCCAAACTCCGCGACGTGCCTCAGACAACCACTTGAAGAGGGGGGGGGGGGGGGGGGGGGGGGGAGGGGGTTCTCCAGCCTTGTTTTGTCTACGTTAGGCTAATTCACTTGCTTATTATGGAGGAAATGGGTACTATTGGTGCTTGTTATGCAGTGAAGAAGCATATCAACATTGTAAGGGTAGTAGACGGGAACAGACCTTGTCATAGGGGACCTACCTAGGTAAGTACTCGGGTACCCGTATAAGAGGTTATGTATCTCTCGGCTGGAGCGGGAAGAACGAAATGGACGGTTTCTACAGCAGATTCTGCAAAGTCTTGCGTCGATTTGCGATCAGGTCCTGGGAGTCGAGCATTCACTCAAAGCCAACGAAACTCACTGGGCAAGGGATTCTCCGAGTACCAAGACGGTTCAGTTCCAGCACAAGCAACAACAATATGGCGCGCTCTTTTGACTTTTCGACCACAGGGACATCCGTGGCAGAGATGTTCGCTCCAGCGATCAAGGGCAAGACCATCCTCATCACAGGGGTGAACAAGGGCGGGCTCGGGGGCAAGATGGTCGAGATCCTCAGCGCGCACGCGCCCAAGACGCTCATCCTCGCGAGCCGCACGCCGGCCAAGATCCAGGAGATCGTCGACGAGGCGCGCTCCAAGTCGCCGGACACGACGTACATTGCCGTTCCGCTGGACCTCTCGTCGCAGGAGTCGTGCCGCAGCGCTGCCCATGCCATCATCTCAAACGCCCAGGTCGAGAAGATTGACATCGTCTTCAACAACGCCGCGGTCATGAGTATTCCGACTCGAACACTCAGCCCGGAAGGGATCGAGTTGCAATTCGCCACCAACCACATCGGCCACTTCCTGTTGACGAACCTGCTCATGCCCAAGATCCTCGCGGCAGCAAAGTCCAGCCCCAGGGGTAGCACGCGCATCGTCAACGTCTCGTCCCGCGGCGTCGCCTACAGCGGTGTTCGATTCTCGGACATCAACTTTGACAAGGAGATCGGGAGCCTGCCCAAGGCCGAGCAACCGGACTTTGCGGCCCTGGCAGCGACCGGCCGACCGGTCGAGCTCAATGAGACGTACAACCCCGTCGTGGCCTACGGGCAATCCAAGTCGGCCAACGTGCTGTTCGCGCTCGGGCTCACCGCGCGCCTGTACGAAGAGTACGGCGTGCTGAGTTTCGCCCTGCACCCCGGCGCGATCATGACGGAGCTCAGCCGCGAGTACCCGCCCGAGGCCCTCGCGGCCATTGTCGAAAAATTCAAGTCCGAATTCAAGACCGTCGATCAGGGCTGCGCCACGTCCTTGGTCGCAGGGCTGGACGATACCCTCGCGCCAGCCAACGTCAAGGACGGCAGCGGCATCTACTTGAGCGACGGACAGATCGCGCAGGCTCCGGCGTGGGCGCAGAATCCGAAACTGGCGGAGCAGCTGTGGGAGCTGAGCGAGAAGCTGGTCGGACAGAGGTTTGAGTACTGAGCGCAAGGTCACCGGTGCTCGACTGTGTGATAGAGGACCAATCCCAAAGTTGTATTTAAGGAGAAGCAAAACCGCTGAGAGCTGCACTCGCATCGGAAACTGTGCCAAGGGCCGCTATTCGTGGCACTAGCTCCCTATATGACCCTATATCAAGAAACAGCCGGTGAACTCAGGCTGTCCAGCATTATGTCAGTACTACCTACATGTCGAAGGCCTTGATATTTTACCATACTGTTTGTTGACGTGTACGCCCACCACACATCAATCGGAAATTGGGAAGAGACCCAGACTTAAGACTTTTTGTCGAAAGATTTGTCGTGCAATTCAAATGCCTGCATCACGCTCCCAATACCTCCTTGACTGCCCTCCAGCTGGGGATCTCGCCGAAGCCGCTCGGCTGAGTGATGACTTTTGCGCGACACCACTCCTTCAGCGTGTCAATGCTGTGTTCCCGCCCATACCCGGTCTCTTTGGCGCCTCCGAAGGGAATCCCCAGTATGTTCCGGAAGTAGTTGTTGACATAGACCAGCCCGACGTCGACCTTCTTTGAGAAGCGCCAACATCGGTCGCTGTTCTGGCTAAAGACGATGCTCGTCAGGCCGTATCTGGATTCGTTGACAATGTCGATGGCTTCGTCCTCCGTTTCAAACGGTGTGACCGTCACAAGCACGCCAAACATCTCCTCCTGGGCGATAACCATGTCCCTCTTCACGTCGGTGATCAGGGTGGGCGGCACGAAGAAGCCGTTCTTGCAGGCCGGGTCGTCTGGCAGCTGACCCTGGGCCGCGATCTTGACTTTTCCTTCTTTTTCGAGATCCTTGGCCTTTTGCAGGTAGCCAAGCACCCTCTCTTGCTGTGCCTTGCTGACCTGTGGTCCCAGGTGGGTGGTCGGGTCCAGACCGTTTCCGGACTTGAGCTTTTTCACTCCAGTAGCGAGCTTGTCGCAGAATTGATTGTACACCCCTTTTTGAACCAAGATTCTTGACGATGCAGTGCACGCCTCGCCTTTGTTGAAGAATGCTCCTTCGAGGGCATACCCGACTGCACGATCAAGATTCTCGACGTCGTCAAAGACGACGAAGGCATTCTTACCACCCAGTTCGAGCACCACAGGCGTCACTGTCTTCGCGGCTGTCTCGGCCACCTTTGCGCCGGCCACAGTTGAGCCTGTGAATGACACCATCTTTACGAGGTCGTGCTTGATCAGTGCCGTGGGGACTTCAGGCCCGAGGCCTGGCACAACCTGAATCACGTCCGGGGGCAGGACTTGGGAGATGATCTCACACATCCTGAGCACCGTCAAGGGAGCCTGCTCTCCGGGCTTGATGATCATGACGTTCCCCGCCGCAAGGGCTGGAGCCGTCTTTCCCCCAAAATGGATTGGCGGCCAGTTGAAGGGCAGAATGCCCGCGCAGACCCCGAACGGCTCGTAGATCACTGTCGCGTTGACGCTGCCTCGCTGGTGGAATTCGCCGGGCAGCTTGTCACAGATACTGGCAAAGAACCGAAAGATGTTGACGAGAAAGCTGATGTCGAACGAAAGAGCATCCTGCTTGGGCTTGCCGTTCTCCAAGCACAGCAACTCGGCCAGCTCGTCCTTGTGGGGCTCCAGTGCATCGGCGCATTTGAAGAGGAAGGCGCTTCGATCCGCTGGCGAGCGCCACCGCCAGTCGTTGTCGTATGCTTTCTGCGCGGCGCGGACGGCGGCGTCGACTTGAGCGGGCGTCCCTGCTTGGAGATTGGTGATCACTTCGCCGGTCGCTGGGTTATGGACTGGGAATTGCAGCGAGGAGTCGTCGGAGGAATAGCGCACTTTTAGAATCTCGGGATACGGGGGAGGCATGGCTGTCCAGTTGGGAATGGAGCTGAGGGACACCTTTGTGCACACCTTTGTGCTGTAGATTTGATGGGAGGGGCCCGAGCGATTGTCCTCTTCTCGTTTCTCTTTCTGAAACCGGGCTTTGCCGATGTACTTCATGGGCAGCTCAGCGACTATTCATGGTATATATCAGAAACAGTTGTGTTGTCATGACGTGTCTCCGGATCATGAGATGGATCTGACACTGCGGAGATGGCGAGACGCATTCTCCAATGAGGCCTCTCATACGCATGTCTATCTCGGCATATATCCGTAGACCCTCGCCGTTCTCATTGGAGCCATGAGGCAGAGGACAGTGGATGGCGTAACGCATATCTGTCATCGGAGCTGCGTTCCTCCTTACCTAGGTATGTTCAGGGCTGGACTGTGAGGATGAGGAGGGTCAGTGTGAATTGAGGGTTCACTGTCTACCTGATACTCTAGTGCTGGAATCCCTGAACAGCTCTTGTAAGCCCCAAATGCACCTCCCTAATTCAGACTGAGACGCTGTTCCTTCTCGAAGCGAATCGCTTATGCTGTCCTTACCTACGGCGGCTGCCCAACTGTTTCTTGAGAGTTTCAACAATTTGAGGCCGAAGATATTCTGACCGCGGCGGTCGTTAATCTCTAGGCTCTTTGCACGGTCATATTCCATATCCACTCCCGGCATCTGCTCGAAACACCGTCTCTGACCCGCCCCTCTTTTGACTTTTTGCTCAATATGTGTGTGATACCCGATCCTATCAATGGGAGTTGTGTGGACCGGGTGGTTGTTGTAAACGAGTCTAGGCTCCTGCAGCTCTGCTTACATACTGTCCCTGCCCTGAGGCCCGAGGGCAAGGGAAACGTTGCAGTGGGGCCAGAGCGTCTCTTCCCTGTTGCTCGCTGCTAAAGGGTTTCGCTGAGAAGACAGGAAAAGAGATAAGACCGGTGTGGAGGGGAGGTGCCGGGGCTCCGAACCACCGCTGCTCGCGCCGTTCACGGTTTGCAGAGCCTTGCCTTTAACAGAGATCAGGGCTTGTAAACATCAGCTAGCTAAGCTGAATCCCAGTCGGATCCGCCGGACGGTGGAATTACTCGATACGTATTTATTTTGTCGTCGACAATGCTCGCCAAGCCCGGCTTCTCGAAACTCTAGATGGGAGACGATTAGGGAGCTGGGAAGTACAAGATCCCGGTTGACGATGTTAGGCTCCGCGCGACTCACTCAGCAGACCCCGCCCTGTAGTGATTACAGATCTTGTTGCCAAAAACACTATTTATCACCGGCGGTGCGCTATTCACAGTCCGCGTTTAGAAGATGAGGCTACTTCTTTCTCTTCTCTCTCGATTGAGGACGGACAATCCGAACATGACAATGGAAAAACACAACACCATTTCTTCGGAAGTCAAGCTCAACTGCAGCCCGAGCCCTGAAGAGATCCCGGGGGTTCAAGAGGGAGACAGCCTGGCCGTATCGCCGTCGGAGTCGAGGGAGGTCTTGAGAAAGATTGATTTCTGGTCAGTCGTGACTGGGGCCTTCGAAATGAATTTTCCCCAAAAAAGGCTGACCAGATTGGGTTCTCAGCTTGATTCCCTTGATGACATTCTGTTACATGCTGCAACTATTGGACAAACTGGCCCTTAGTTATGCGACTTTGTTGGGGCTGCCGCAAGATCTGGTAAGAGGGAGGCACCGCCGCAATTTGCGCACCCCTTGAACGGATCCATGCATTGTATTCCTTCTTGTTGTTCTGCAGAAGCTTTTGCGCGCACTGACACAGCTTCTTCTATTCCCAGGACCTCCACGGCGCTCAATACTCCTGGTGCTCGGCCGTCTTCTATTTTGGCTACCTCGCGTGGAGCTGGCCTAGCTCCTACCTCATTGTGCGGTTCCCCACGGGGAAATACCTCGCCGTCACTGTGTACGAGATTTCTCTTCATATGAATCCGGATTGTTGTCTACCTGCTGCCCCATGCGCATCTTGATTCTCCAACTATCCGCCTTTTCAACTGCGCGCATGCCAGTCTCAAGCATAAAGCGCAACCTCCCTCACTAATGTAAAATAAATGCAACGCAGGTGTTTATGGGGCGGCATTCTCATGTGCCACAGTGCAGTTCACAGCTTCGGGGGACTCATGGCGGCGCGTTTCTTCCTTGGTGTGGCCGAGGCGGCCGTTGCCCCCGGATTTGCCTTGATCATCAGCATGTTTTACACACGCAAAGAACAACCTCTGCGGTAAGAACCCCGGCAGAACTTTCTGCACACGCTCTTCTCCCGGTCTCTCGGGAGCCGCGATTCCCTTTTCAACCTAAGTCGCTAGTCAAAAGACTACCTCCTTCCCAGTTCTTACGAAACTAACCGGAACGACACAAACAGACAAGGCTCTTGGTTTGTAGGAAACTCGCTCGCAAACATTTTTGGGGGCCTGACTGCGTACGGCATCGGCAAGATCCACATGCCGGCCATCACGCACTGGCGTGTGCTCTTCCTCATCCTCGGCAGTATTACTTCGATTTACGCGTTGGTTCTATACTTGTTCCTCCCGGATTCGCCGGACAAAGCCGTGTTCCTGGACGAGAAGCAGCGGCAAATTGCCCTGAAGCGCACGATCGAGAACAAGACGGGGTTCAAGGACAACGACGACTTCGTTCCGAGCCAGGTCTTCGACGCCCTGACCGACCCGCAGATCTGGCCCCTGATTCTCTATACTGTCTCGGTAAATTTTGCCAATGGTGGATTAACCAGCGTAAGTCCCATGTCCGCCCTATTCTCCCGATCTAGCACTGTCACTTTATACGACCCTTTGATATACTCTTTTTTACCCCCTCTAGTGGGCGTTCACTTCTTGGGTTGTGTGCATGCGTCGTGGCCTGTTGACGAAGAATGCTAACGACCGGTTCAGTTCACAGCCCTTGTCGTCAAAGGATTCGGGTTTTCAGATCTGAAAGCCCTTCTCGTTCAGATGTCCATCGGAGCAACGCAGCTCGTTTTCATCGCCTTGACTTGTAGCTTGGCCACTTTCCTTCCGTCAGTCCGGCTGGGGCTAATGATTAACAACACTCTCACCGCCACGGCAGGCATGGTCATGGTCTACCAATGCAAAAGTCGCGCGGCGCGAATGGGCGGGCTGTGTCTGGCGAGCGCCTTCGTGGCCAACATTCCCCTCTCATTGAGTCTGGTGAGCTCCAACGTCGGCGGTTTCACCAAGCGGTCCGTCACCAGCTCCACCTTGTTTATCGCCTACTGCGTCGGCAACATCGCGGGCCCGCAATTCTTCAAGCCCAGCCAGGCTCCCAGATATACAGTAAGTCGACCCCTTTTGCTTCCGGAACATTACAAAACTCGGGCCATTGACATCTTTTTGTCTTTCTTTAGACCGGCATCAAGGCAGCGCTTTCGGGGTTGGCCTTGGGCTCCTGGTTTCTTGCTTGTCTCCTTGTATATTACGTCTGGGAAAACGCGCGGAGGAATCGGCGTCATGGACAAAGCCAGAGACGACTGAGCGTGGTGGGTGACGGACCGCGAGAAGATCTGGATATGTCAGGCAAGACGGACCGACAATTGCCTGATTTCCGATATATGATTTGATTACCTAGTATAAGGGCAATAGTAAATAAGATGGCATTCCCTTCTGAGGCAGGATGGTGGGGAGCCGCATGCCCTTGTGATGGCCGGGGTGGGGATTTTTAATATGGTCCGTGTGTATGGACAGTTCCGCCGTATAAGGACTGGGGTCATTAGGCTCAGGGCTATATGTACCATCCCCGTGTAGGATAAAATCCCCGAGAGCATCTGCTAACCCTATCATGATGGGGCCATAAAAGTAAATAATTACTCTTCCTTACCTAGGTACTTTTGCCTTTATGAGCCAGCTCGTCGCCAGCATCGTTTCGTTCCCCTGTAGATTTTTCTTCCTGCGGCAATGAAGCGCACAGGATGGCAGAGGTTTGTTCTGCGGCGAGCTGTTGGGACTTCGACCTTGGGCCAGCGCGGCCAGCTGATCGGCGCCGGAAGATATGGCCGCGCTACAACAACCCGGGGTTGTCAGCGTCGTCCTCAATGCACCAACAGACGTCCACTCATCTTCTTGGGGGCGCACGGTTTCCGCCAGTTCAGCACAACACCGCAGAGGCGATATACGGATGATGACGACGATGAAGATGCTGGAGGCACGTACAGCGAGGCGGACTACGAACACGCCGTCATCTCGACGTTTGACCTCTTCTCCATCGGCATTGGCCCGTCGTCCTCCCACACCGTGGGGCCCATGCGAGCCGGCAACATCTTTGTCGCGGACCTCGTGGAAGCGAACCTACTGCACCGGGTCCACAAGATCCGCGTGGCCATCTACGGCAGCCTGGCCCTGACGGGCGAAGGCCATATGACGCCCTCAGCCCTGCTTCTCGGCCTGGAGAGCGCGGACGTCGAGACGGTCGATACCTCGTATGTGCCGAAGCGGTTCGGCGAGATCAAGGAGACCAAGAAGCTCTTCCTGGGTCGCGGGCTTCCGGCCCACCAGAAGGGCAAGGAGATCGCCTTTGACTATGAACGCGACTTTATTTGGGAGTGGGGCAAGAAATTGCCCTTGCACAGCAACGGGATGCGGCTGATGGTGTTTGATGACCAGGGCGACATGCTGGCGACCAACGATCTGTTTAGTGTTGGTGGCGGCTTTGTCGTCAACGGCGCCCTTTCTAGTAACCATGCAGCAGCCCCAAACAACAATGCAGACGGTCAGGACCTGCCTCCAACCAGCTCTGCCGCAGAATCCCCTCGTGATCTGGTCACTCAAGATGCGGGACATCATCCGGCTGATCTGTCCGAAAACATGTTCTACAAGGAGATCCGTCGCGCTGATGCCGCTGGCGATCGGAAGACCGGGCCCGAGGTCAAACTCCTGAATAACGGTGCCGGCGTGTCTGAGATTGGTGGTCCGGAGGACACTGGGAACGCCCTGTCGCCCGCCTCGACTGGCGGTCCAAGAGACATCGAGCCCGAAGACGACGGCACCACTACGACTTCTCGTCAGCCTCGCTACCCTTTCCGCAATGCTGCCAGCCTGTTGCAACTATGTCACAAGCACAACCTGACTATTGCGCAGCTGGTGTTTGAGAACGAAAAGAGCCACGGGAATTCCGAGGAAGAAATATATCGGAAGCTCTTTCGCATCTGGCGAGTCATGGACGAAAGCATCCTCGAAGGCGTCCAGGCTCCGCTCGACTCGACCCTGCCGGGCTCGCTGAAGCTGCATCGACGAGCTCCTGCATTGTACAGGCGGCTCACGAGAGGTCTCTATCCTTCACACACACAAGGAGCCCAAGATGACGACCGCGCGAGGTCCCTTTCTTCGAACACGGCCAATGCTTCCCTACCCCACCCGACAGCCGCAATGGTGACTCCGTCACAAAAACCCATGGGCCTGCGACGGGCTCCCCGCGTCCACGGCGCCCTCGATCATCCCATTCCACCACCTCCCAAGCGTCGCACCACTTTCCCCGCCATGGATTACTTGACCGCGTACGCTATTGCTGTCAACGAGACCAACGCCGCTGGGGGACGAATCGTCACGGCTCCTACGAACGGCGCCGCAGGTATCATCCCTGCCGTGCTCAAGTACACGATTGAATTCATCAGCGACGATCCAGAACGTGACGTGCCGACCTTCTTGCTCACCGCCGCCGCCATCGGCATGCTGTACAAGCGGGGCGCGACCATCTCCGCCGCTGAGGGCGGGTGCATGGCAGAAGTCGGGGTCGCATGTTCCATGGCCGCAGGCGCCTTTGCGGCGTGCATGGGTGCCAGTCCAGAGGCTGTCGAACAGGCTGCGGAGATTGGCATCGAGCACAACTTGGGGCTCACGTGTGATCCCATTGGCGGCCTTGTCCAGGCGCCTTGCATCGAGCGGAATGCCCTGGGTGCCGTCAAGGCTATCTCGAGCGCCAACCTTGCTCTCAGCAGTGAAACCGGCACACAAAAGGTGAGGTTAGATGATGCGATCCGTGCCATGCGCCTGACTGCCAGGGGGATGAGGAACGAGTTCAAGGAGACAAGTCTGAGCGGACTGGCCACAAGCGTGCCGTTTCACATCCCAGTCAGCGTCCCTGACTGTTGAGCTGTGCTTGTTAAATCGTATAATGTGGTCAAAGCGATAGAAAAAAGGTCTAGATGTGTAATCTCCGGTAAAGATTTTGGGATGGCGGAGAATGACCAGGTTAGGGGGTCAGCTTTGCATACATGTTGGATACTATTCTCCGTAGCCCGATGGTAACATGCGTTTATAGCGGTGCGATACGCCCTCGACCTTTTTCCCGTCCGAGTCCCTTGGATAACGGCAGCGGTGAAGGAGCATGGGCGACGGTCCGTCAACAACCTGCTCGCTGTCAAGATACTTACCTAGGTACCTAGGTAATAGGTGACGGCCAAATGTACCAAGTCGGAACGGCATGGCGACCCGCGACACGTTACCCCCATGACGTCACTAGGTAGGCACCGCCGTCACAGGCTCAAAGGCCCGGCATCATTGATCTGCGCCCAAAGCATTCGCCTGTGAGATGACGAGCGCGAGTTGCGGCAAGTCGATGCATGAATGACGAGGTTTTGCTGGTTTTATCCTTCATAACTCCTCTCGTTCAATCTCTCATCCACTGTCCAAAGCACTTCTAACAAAGCAGCGCCATTGAAATATATCTAGGAGCACCTGTGACGACAAAACACCCCAGGAGCTTGAGGAGCAGCTATTCTATCCTGATCTACAGCGACCCTCCACAGCTTCAAAATGCCGCCTCGTCTCCCTCGGAGCCTCCAATCCCTCGCACGTCCGCTCGCACGTCCGCTCTTTCCAGCCAACTCCCCTTTTCGAGCCTTCAGCACAACGCCCCGTGCCTTTGCTGCAGATCAAGACCCCGACCGCCACCCTCATCCTCAGCGAGATGCACAATTAGACCGCGACAAGATGAATCCTGAGGCGTCGGAGTACTCCAAGTCGGGGACCGATGATACCTCTGCTGCCAACGAGGAAGCCGCCTTCGATCCCAATATCACAGACCCTCAAGAGGCCAAGCGGAAAGCTGGAGAAGGCAATCAAGTCAATCCATTGGATGCAAGCCCGGCCAATCCAGAAATCAGTCAAGGAACAGCAGAAGAGGAGGGAGGGGCCAAGAAGAAGATGTCGGAAGGCGGAGGTGGGAGACAAGGTGGAGGAGAAGCGGGAAAAGGCGAAGAGAGCGTTTGAGATAGCCGAGAGTGCAGGACTCGTTCAAACCGCCGAAAGAAGAGCTACGGCAGTCGGGTGCCGTTGTACATACTAGCGTGGGCATACTCATCATCAAAAAACAGACGGAGTCCGTCGCCTGATCCTTCAAACGCAGAGTTGGGTATCATTGCACTTTCCAATTTATCCTACACTTCAGCCGCTACTCCCACAAAAACACCTCACTGAGCGGCCTTCCATTCCTTGAGTCCAAGTTGAAGAATCTCTTTTTGGCCGAGCACCCACACTTTGTCCTTGACCTCTCCCTTTTCAGCCTTGATGGCTGCGGCAATAGCTGCTTTTGCGATGACTTCTGCATCTTGGGCCCAGGCATGCTTCAGGGACTGATGGAGTTTACCTAGTCCCGATGCAATCCCTTGAAAGAGGCCCTCCACAAAACGGTGTTCTTGACGCTTCCCAAGGATAAGCCCTGGACGAAGAATAATCGTATGATCGAAGTCCAGGGCCTTGACGTGTTCTTCAATTTCGCCTTTCATTTTGGGATATCCAAAGTACGAGTGAGGGTCGGCACCTCCGGCCGAAATCAAGACATAAGTCTTTGTTCCGGCCTCTTTGGCAGCTTTGGCCAGCTCAATATTCAAGTCGTGCTCGAGCTTGTACTGCTTGTCGAACCCACCGGCGGCAGCACGAGTCGTGGCGAGGCCACAGAATAGTACAGAAGCTGGCGGGGACAACGACGAGATATGAGCGGCCCACTTTGAGGTATCCTTTTCGACAAACTCATTGACCGGGATGGATTGGCCTGTGGCAACTGGCGGAGATCGTCGAGCGATGACCTCAATGCTGGAGAACTGAGAAGACGGATTTGTCCTCAGAGTTGACAGGATAAAAGAACCCTGTTCCAGATGTCAGCAAGCAGGCATCCACTGAAGGTGATGAATGGATATGGGAGACATACCACGAGGCCCGTGCTGCCGAGAATAAGAGCTTTTGCCATTGTTTCAGAATTGATGCAGAGTCAAAGATGGTTGAGTGGTGGGTGGTCGTGACTTTCAGGACCTGAGAAACTCCCTTCCCTTGCCTTCTAATACTATTTGAAGTCCTGTTGGAAGAGACTTTAGGCGCACCAACTCGGCCGGACGAGATGAATGGCCGGCAGCATCCGTTACACGCGGCGAGGCTTGACAAATGCGTGGACAGCCTTGCAACGGCTCCGAAGCTCCAACCGAGGCAGCAACCAGAGTCGCGACAAGCTATGCCCGAAATGGTTAGAAGGTCTTGGCCACAAACACGCGTTGTCCCCTACATTGATTCAATCATTTGAGGCAGATAGGCAGATAACATCAGCTATCTGGAGTCACTCTTCCTCCATTTCTCGGACGGACGACGGATGTCTCGCACCCTAGAGCCCTGAGTGACTATATCATCCGGAGAATACTTGAGAGGTTTTAAAGCTCATGTAGCGACATTCCGTCCTCGCCCTTGTTGGCCGACCAGCCACGACGAGGCAACGACCACTGTGCCATTCCTGCGTCTTAACGGTCATGAAATGCAAATGGCTTTTTGCTGACCCCTTCTCTGGTTACTCTCCATCTCTCGAAACGACTCCATGATACCTGCACAGCTTATCTATCTGCTCTTCGTCGGGGCTGGTTGGCGAGGACTTCTTATGACTAAACACGACCAGTGTTCTTGCAAATGACCTTAACGGATACAGATGTACCGTCATAACTCCTCCACGCCATCTTTCAATCATGCAGACTGCGCAGAAGTGTCGGAGAGCAGGTCCTCAGATGTGGGTAATCGCACTTCGATCAGAGAGGCTCCGGGTAGACGTCACGTGAGTACCACTTTCCAGGACGGTTCTAAATGTGAAACCATCCCTTGTATCATGTCGGAAGATCAATTGACCAGCAGTCTCGTCTTGTCCGCAACTCTTCGTGGTGATACCAATAAGACCGAGCGCTACTCCCTCTCAGCCTCGCACCTCAGTTGGGGCAAACGGGCGAGCCGCTCATTGGTGGATGCGGGCTTCAGCCTTGCGCCACGTGACAGTGATCCAGATCTTCTTTTTCTGCACTAGTCGAATGGCGTGATCGACCCTCCACAAATTTTGCCCTCCGACTGCATGTTTTCTGGCTGCCGATCGATAACGCAATTCAAAAAAATAATGAGGTGCATGGAACTCGGTCGGCAGTCGGCCCACGACGGTCTATTCATTGTAAATGCGTCCTCCAAGGTAAGTTTGCCTCTTCTCGTTCCTCATCTCTCTTTTCTCTGCAAAGCTCGCAAAGCTCGCAACTATGCGTCTCGAACTACCCTCTTCCAACGGACCAGCGCCGGAGAGAGACTCCAAGATGGCCTCGCGTGCCTCGAGGAACCTCCCCTTTGGTCAAGCGCCGTCCCTGTCCTCGATCGCTGGCCCTACCTATGTGACTGCCCAGATTCTCGTCCAGCAGGTCGCCTATGCTCTGTCCGACAAGATCTTCTCCTATTCCCCGGAGACATTTGATCTCGACATCGCCGCAAAATCCTGGACACAGGCACAAGAGGCGAATATCAATGGATACACCACTGGGGTACAACCTATGCAGATTCGAAACGGAGCAGGATCAATTGCTCTAGGTTACATGTTCTCCAAGGACTTCGATTTGAAGAAGAGGCATATCCCACAAGGTCTTCTGGCTCCAACGTCGGCGCTGAAGTTCTTGCGACCCGTTCTAGACCAGCTGTCCCTGCTCTATTCCGTCAGCAACCCATTCGTGGCTCATGTGGCGGCACTCGACTACGAAGGCGACAAGAACGGAGGTCTGGTTTCAGATTACGTCTCTGCTCTGTCCGCTGCCGAAGATCTAGGTCTAGCTTTGGTTGCTAGCCAATCCGCATACGAGACACAGCATATGTCGCTGCTTGCCACTCTGCTTGCTCACGATCTGCCCACGCTACATGTCTACGATGGCCTGAGGATCGGGAGGGAAACCACAAGGGTCATTGACATCCTAGACAAGTCAGGGTTGGGCAGCGCATACAGCTCGATCCTGTCCTCCATCGCGGATGAGGACAGGAAGAATTTGAACACCGAGGGTAGAGCATTGAGAACTCTCCGGGCCCTCAACGATGAACTTGGAACGGACTACAGACCATTCGAGTATTTCGGTCACGAACAACCCGAGGTCGTCCTGGTTGCCTTCGGCTCGGTTGAGACTTCGCTAGCTGCGCAGGCGGCGTCGGTGCTGGCCCAAACCGGTAGCAGGGTTGGAGCCATCAATGTTCGACTCTATCGACCGTTCGCAGAGGAACAGTTTTTGAAGCTCATTCCCAAGGGCGTCAGAGTGATTGGTGTCCTCGGTCAGGTCGTTGACTCGCAGGCTGTGCAGGAGGCCGGTGTCCACTCCCAGCTTTATGAGGATGTGCTTGCTGCTGTCTCGTATGGAATGCCAAGTCATGGCCACCCGGAAGTGCAGGAGCTGAAATATGCCCGGGCTGAACGATGGACACCGTCGTCCATCTCGTCGCTCTTCCAGATGCTCCTGGGCAAGGCTGCTGACGACCAGGGCATTACTACATTTTTGGACAACTCTGTGCAACGGTACACTTTCTGGAACATTGATGACGCACCATCTGCATCTGCAGCCACCTACCTAGCGGAAGCTTTAGCTACGGAATCGGCGCAGAACGTCACGGTGAATACCACCCACGACAACTCTATACAGGGAGGTATCCACCGAGTCGATATTCGAAAATCTCCCAGAAGCCTGGATGCTGCATATCCCATCACTTACGCCAATACCGCTGTGGTTACAGATGTCAAGCTGTTGGAGCAAATCAATGTGGTTCGATCTGTTCAACAAGGGGGCAGCATCATTGTCCTATTACCAGGTGTCAAAGACGAAGACGTGGAGAAGAAACTCCCTGCAGTATTCAAGAAATCGATCGCTGAGAAGGGCATCCACTTATATCTGATCAATTCAAACAACACTGCTCTCTCCACCGAAAACCCCGAGCTTGAATCGCTGATACTTCAAGTCGCCTTTCTCCGGGTCGCGTTGCGAAATTCCGAAGAGACCGGTCTGCAGAAGCTTGCAACGATCAACAACGATCTCGAGACGCTCAAACAAGTGGCGGCTGACCTCGAGAAGACCCTGCGCCAGATCGAGGTGCCCAAGGAATGGGCCGAACTGGAAGAGGCAAAATCAGCTTTACCCACCAACATCTCGCCCAACAGCCTCACCTCGTTCGACAAGACCGAAGAGGAGCCACCGTCTCTCCTTCGTAGCTGGCAAAAGGCAGCCAAAGGCCTCCTCTTCAAGGAAGCTTACAATGCTTCAAGCGTGCTTCGACCCGACCTGCCCGTCAAGACATACACGGTCCACGTCAAAGAAAACCGTCGCCTGACACCCCTGACGTACGACCGGAACATTTTCCACATTGAATTCGACCTCGGCAGCTCGGGCCTCAAGTACGACATTGGCGAGGCGCTCGGCATCCACGCCGAGAACGACCACGATCAGGTCATGGAGTTCATCAAATGGTACGGTCTCAACGCCGAGGATGTCGTGGAGGTCGCCTCGCGCGACGACCCCAACGTGTTTGAGAACCGCACCATCTACCAAGCGCTGATGCAAAACATCGACATCTTCGGCCGTCCACCGAAAAAATTCTACGAAGCGCTGGCCGACTTCGCCGACGACGAGACCGAGAAGAAGAACCTGTTGACGCTGGCCGGGCCGGAGGGGTACAAGGAGTTCCAGCGCCGCGCCGAGGTCGACACGGTCACGTTCGCGGACGTGCTGCTCGAGTTTCCCTCGGCGCACCCGTCGTTCCACGACGTGGCGCGCATCGTCTCGCCGATGAAGCGCCGCGAGTACTCGATCGCGTCGTGCCAGGCCGTGACGCCCACCTCGGTCGCGCTCATGGTCGTGGTGGTGAACTGGACCGACCCCAAGGGCCGCGACCGCTTCGGCCAAGCGACCAAATATCTCTCAGCCCTGAAAGTCGGCGCCGCCGTGACCGTCAGCGTCAAGCCCAGCGTCATGAAGCTGCCGCCAAAATCGACCCAGCCGATCATCATGGCCGGTCTGGGCACGGGTCTGGCCCCCTTCCGGGCCTTCGTCCAGCACCGCGCCATGGAGAAGGCGCAGGGCAAGGAAATCGGCTCCGTCTTGTTATACATGGGCTCCCGCCACCAGCGCGAAGAGTACTGCTACGGCGAGGAGTGGGAGGCGTACCAGGCCGCGGGCGTCATCACTTTACTCGGCCGGGCCTTCAGCCGCGACCAGCCCCACAAGATCTACATCCAGGACCGCATGAGGCAGACTTTGGACGACATCGTCAAGGCCTACATCAAAGAAGACGGCGCATTCTACCTGTGTGGCCCAACCTGGCCTGTCCCCGATGTCACCAACGTGCTCGAGGAGGCCATCGCAAAGGACGCAAAGGCAAATGGAGTTAAGAAGATCGATACTGCCAGGGAGATTATGAAGTTGAAGGACGAGGGGAGGTATGTGCTTGAGGTGTATTAAAAGGCGCATGCATATATCTATATAAAAGTTCCCTGGCGCTGTTTCAATCGTGTTTGTGGGGTGTATGCGGATGCATAGATCAAGCATAGAGCAAGTTTGCACAAAGCGTACGCTGAAGATCCTATGAAACAGTCCCAAGATCTCCTAACGGCATATCTTCCCATCTAATTTCTTGCTACCCTCCTTCCCTTGACAGTCCTGTTCCCTGTCCCTCCCGTTCGACTGTTGGTACGCCCTTCCCTTGATTTGCCGTAGGGCATTGAATCAGGTGGTAGATCCACAGGAATAACCACACAAAGGCGGCAAGCTGTGGACGCGTTACTGGCACAACTCTTCTTTTGACGAGCTCACAACCCTGGTACTCGGCGCTTCGCCTGCAAAACAATCCACTTCGGCTGAGATTCTGCGAGTTGGTGGACCTCAACCCGAGCAGTATTGGATCACACAAGATAGATATTCTTGAAACGAGGTCGCGGCCACTGCTCACGGCTAGCGATAGGTTCCGCTAGGTACACTTGCCAGCAACCCCGACATCGGTACCCAGTGCGTCGTTACGTGAATCTTCAAGAGTGTCTTGCATCTTCTTATCTCACACGGGCCTAGAATGTACTCGAGGGAGGTTCGGATGCACACAACGAATTCAATGTCGGAGGAAGATGGATCCTCGCTAGTGATACGATCTAGGAAAGATATGCCCGGTTGTAAGGGTGGACCACACAACACAGCTGGACCTATCATCGTCTTCTCGGTTAAGCCTCGCCCTGCTCATCACCACTAGCAGACGACCACCCCAGGTCCCCAGGATATCCGGTGGGTCGAAGAGTGGAGACAGCAGCTTGCAATATACCGATATGTTCCTGGCAACTAACGAAAAGTCAAGATTTAGGATGGTCGATAAACCCAGTCGCTGGTGCAGGGAACTTAGCGCAAGAACATCGCATTCTTGTCTTAGCCGGCTTTCTCTCATCCCGCATGTCACAATAGGCCGTCCCCAACCGGCGATTCAGTACCGGATGTGGAAAAGTGCTAAACGCCTTAGTGTGATGAGAAGTGCAGTTGTCTTTGGCACAGACATCCAAAATGCTTGATAGCACAAATTTTAGTGAGGTCGCTGGCCATTCACACGGTCGTCGGCTGGACATCCATGGCGTATCCTGTTCTCTCGCCTCTCACGGCGAGATCTCTATATATCATCAAGGTCGGCCACCCTGACCATTTGGCAAGACAGCTTTGATCTCCCTAGAAAGGCTTCACCATGTCAGAGAAAAAATCTTTCGAGGTCAAACAACGACCCGTGGACGCCGAGATTGAGGCTGGAGCACTCGCCCCAATCACCGAGCACACTGGCACGGTCCATCTTACCGAAGCAGCGGAGCTCTACGGCGATGCACACGCAGCCGAGACTTACCGCTACGTTGCCAGAGGGTTAGTCGGCCCCTTGCGGTGGAGAGGATGGGAAATTGAGACCTCGACTACCGAGCCTGACTGACATTGTGACAGACTCAAAGCCCGACACATCCAGTTCATGGGTCTCGGCGGCTCTATTGGGACAGCGCTATTTTTGGGCATTGGAAGAGCGTTGGCTGCTGCTGGCCCGCTCAGCATCTTTCTGGGATATACCATCTCTGGTGTGGCAATTTTTGGAACAGTACGTCCGCCGCCTCTTCAATCCCCTCCCTTGCGATGAGCCCAAGTTGAACGTCTTTACAGATGCAATGCCTCGGCGAGATGACCACCTGGCTACCCATGCCGGCGGCCCTTCCTAGCTTTGCGTCCCGCTACGTCGATAAAGCTCTAGGATTTGCGGTCGCATGGAATGTGAGTGCCCGCAGTACTTAGGTGGGGGTATACCATGCGTTACGCTGTCGCTTACTTTCCATCGGCAGGGATGGTACAATTATGCAATAACCATATGCATCGAGATTTCAGCAGCTGCCGTCATCATCGGTTATTGGAATACGACTATCAACGTGAGTTGCTGTTTCAAAGAAGCTAAAGATTGGTACTCGACCAGGACTTAACCTAGATTAGGTCGCCGTATGGATCAGCATCATCATTGTGCTCCTGTTATTCCTCAATCTCTTCGCCGTCTCCTTGTATGGCGAAGCGGAATTCTGGTTCGCCAGCCTCAAGATCGTCACAATCGTTGGGCTTCTGATACTGTCCTTGGTTCTGGACCTAGGCGGCGGTCCAAATCATGACCGAATCGGTTTTCGATATTGGAAAAACCCCGGAGCCATGAATACCTTTGTCGCCGAGGGCGCCGAAGGACGGTTCCTCGGCCTCTTTTTCAGTCTCGTCATGGGAGCGTTGTCCTTCGGAGGTATCGAGGCTGTCGTCATCGCCGCTGGAGAAGCGAAGAATCCAAGGAGGAATCTTCCCAAAGCCATTCGCCGGGTCTTCTGGCGACTTGTTTTCTTTTATGTCCTCGGATCGCTGGCTGTGGGACTCCTGGTCCCCTACAATGATCCTGACCTCCTGTCTGCGCTGGCGACTGGCGCTCCGGGTGCGGCCGGATCGCCCTGGGTCATTGCGATCAAGAAAGCCGGCATCCCAGTCCTCCCATCCATCATCAACGCTGTGATTTTGAGCTCGGCGACCTCTGCGGCCAATGCATGCTTGTATAGTGGCAGTCGCTACTTGCTGGTCATGGCTCAACAGGGCTTCGCACCCAAATTCTTCCTCCGATGTTCTCAAAGGTAGAGGGGCAAACAATGCTGTCTCCGGCGCGGATGTTAACTTCTTCCAGGGGGATTCCTTATTATGCCGTCGGGTGTACAGCCGTGATAACTGCCTTGACATATCTCAGCTGCTCCGCTGGACCGGTCAAGGTCTTTATCTGGCTAGCAAACATTTCCGCCCTCGTCTCGATGTTCTCGTGGTTGACCATTTGCATCACATATGTCCGCTTTTACGCAGCGCTGAAGAAGCAAGGCGTAAGTCGAGACGACTTAGCTTTCAAGTCACCGTTCCAGCCTTACCTGGCCTGGGGAACCATTGTGTTCTTCTCTATCCTTATGCTGTTTAATGGGTTTTACTCTTTTACCCCTTGGGATACCGACACTTTCATCTCTACATACATCACCGTGCCGTACGTATGGCCCCTGCCACCGCCTGGGGGAATGCTGACGAATTCTGCCAGCATCTTTTTCGGACTCCTCATCTTCTGGAAAGTGTTCAAGAGGACGAAGGTGGTCGACCCGGCGGAAGCGGATATTTGGACTGGGAAGGCAGCCATTGATGCTGAGGTCTGGCCAGAACCAGCGCCCAAGAATTTCATCCAGAAGGCGAGTTCCTCCACCGGCCACGTCCACTCGATGGTTCTCATCGCTGACGTCTCGCGCTCACTCTAGGTGTGGAATTGGATTGTGTAGCATCAACACCGGCCTTTTCAAGGTCATGTTCGTCCCGGCGAAGGTGGAATCCCGGACACCACAATTAACCGACTATGCGAAGATGAGAGGTGATGAGCGAAAGTCATGGGCGGTGCATGGAGAAGTGGTACAAATATGGAAGGGGGGGACTATGGTGCTGCTGTAGCTGGAGCAGGCTCGTTGGATGATGTTTTAGGAGTCTTTGATAGACCAAATTGGCTGAAGAAGCTGTAGAGAGACGTACCTCGTAATAGGGGAGGTGTCACCAAAGGTGGTTGGATACGTCGCCCCTCCAATCCGGGCATCAGAAGTTATCGTAGAATGACCCACGGGGAGCGCGGCTCGATGTTGCCCCTCATATGGTTCCATGTAGAAAATATATTCCTCTTGGAGCCTCGGCAGCATATCATCATCTCTCTTGCCGTTCGCTCCGCCTCTTCAAATAAAATAGATGAAACATCTTACAACAAAGACTCAGTCGTCTGAACTGGCCGCGATCTGACATGCCTGCTCTACGAGCCTGCGATCGATGCTACCGGTACAAGGAGAAATGCGTCTTTCAGGACCGCGGCTTCACCTGCTCTTTATGCCGAAGGGTTGGCCGGGTGTGCACCACCCTCCGGTCGCCACGTCGCCAGGGTCGAAGGCCGACAACCATGCGTCTGGGCCCAGACAGCTCTGTGCAAGTATGGGAGGTCGCAAATAGTAAGATGGGCTCTCGCTCAGGCGAGAATGTAATCATGGTTCGGTCGCTAGCAAGCAAAGGTGCGCCACGAGATTGGTTCCCTGCTCCCTGCGAAACCAACGTCTTGACCACCCATGCGCACTTCTTCGCAGCACCAGTGCCGGGCCCGTTCACGTACCGATTCCAGGACAATGTCAGTGAGGTGTTGCAGTCCTCGCCCAGATTGATCGCCGGGTTCTACTCGACCTACGACTTGTTCATGCTCGGGCCAACGTTCGCGCCAAGGTACCGCGCCGCTATCCGGCATTCCTACAGCTCTGCGCCCACGCTCCTGCAAGACATTTACGCGGCACTGTTCAATGTTTGCAAAAGAGCCAAGTTAGACCCGGGCCCTTTGGACGAGTCAGACCTGGCGCCGGGAGCTTGGTCTCTGTGGAAACTTCGGAACATGCGGATTTGCGGGCCTCGGGACGCTCTCGCGACCATGGCGCTCGGTCAGGCATTGGCGGCATTCGACTTCATGACTGTCTGCAGAGGGCCGTCACCTATCCTGAGATATGCCCTGACGGTCGTTCAACCATGGTATGAAGACTTGGCAGAAGACGCGGCGTTCGACCCGGTCACAATCAGTCCAATCTTTTGGGATACCATCTGGTGCTTGTTGAGGCGGGAAATCCCCGTCCTCCAGTTCAGACTCGGAGATCGAGTCGTGGTCCATCATGTGGCAGGCCTTTGCACCACATTGTTGCCGATACTCTACGATCTCTGTGTGATCAGCAACGAGCTCCAAGGCTGGGATGCTTCTTCTTCTTCTTGGTCGGGCGCCAACGTTCGCATTCAACAGATTGAGCAGAGGTTGCTCTCGTGGATGCCCAGGCCACCACCGGACTTCACGAGCAAGTTTTCAGAGCAGGAGATCCTTGCTGTGAACGCGCAGGCTCAGATGTACCGCTCTGCTGCGCTCCTGATAGCCACTCGCCTCCTGAACCCGCTGGGCACCAACGATGATCTCGCCAGCTGGTACGCCCACACCATTATATATGAATTTGCCGAGTATCGAACGTCGACTGTGCCAGGGACACGACTACACAATGTGGCCTTCCCGATCCTCGTAGCCTCGATGGAAATTCCCGATATCCCGTCCGAGGTCTGGAAAAGCATCACGTCGCTGGCCTTGGCTCCGCTCTGCCTCGCTAAGATGCAGGCCATGCGTGACCACATCTGGGCAGAAAGACGTGCCGGATCCACGAGTTTCATGTTGGACTTGGTCAATCAAGCGCCATCATTTGTCGTGATGCCTTGAAAAGAGTGTTCCAGAAACGATCTCAAACATTCAGATTGGAGACTATCCTTAATATTTGGCGCTTCTGCCAGTGCTCTGAATTCTGTATCGTGGCTTCACATGCTGTAATGGTGGCCACGAGCATTATTTCGCATCTACGTGACACATAATGGTGGATTATAAGTTCTTGATGGCTAAGAGACCTGTAAATAATCTTGTCCCTTGCCTTGACCATTTTCTCCCCGGACAAATTGGCAAGTTCTCTTCACAATTTCCCGCCATCCAGTTTCGCCCTTTCCAAAATGGTGGCGAAGAGTGCTTCGGCGCGTCGAATGGCTTCATCGGATATCTCTAACAAGACCATTAGCTCTACTTCGGGGATACGATCCTCTTGGAGGTCTTACGATAGTGAACCACCAACCGCTCATTCTTGATAATCAATCCGTATTCCAGCGCCATCTTCTCGAGCTCGGGTCGAGACAAGCCGATATCCTTGAAATTCAAGAAGACCATACAAGTCTCTGTCGGACCGAGCAGCTTGCCGCCATGGCCGACCCAAACTTGGGCAAGGTGTTTGGCTTTCTGATGGGCGCCAAGTAGCAGGGACCCTTTGCCGTCGACTCTCCCGCCAAAGGTGTCTCTGAAAGCCACCCGGGCCATGGCCGTCAGCACCCCGGCTTGGTGCATGCCTCCACCAATGCTCTGTCTGACCTTCCTTGCTTGTGCGATCGTCTTGTTGCTGCCGACCAGGATGCTCCCCAGTGGAGCGCCCAACCCTTTGGAAAAGCACAGGTTCACCGTGTCGAATTCTTGTGCATAGTCTTTGAGAGTGCCTCCCCCAGCAACCACGGCGTCCCAGAGGCGGGCACCGTCAAGATGCATCTTGATCTTGTTTTCTCTGGCGAATGCCGAGATCCTCCGAATCTCCTCGAGAGGATACACCAATCCATTGAGTGTATTTTCCAGGGAGATGACCCTTGTCGGGCTATATTGCACATAGTCGTCCAGAATGGCCTTCTCCTTGATATCCTCCAAAGTCAAATATTTCTTGTTCCGCGCTTCTACTGGTTGGATACTTGCACCCGACAGGCTGGCCACACCCCCAGCCTCATAGTGAAGGATGTGCCCGTGAGAGTCACAGAGCACCGAGTACGGCGGTTGCATCAGAAGCGCTCTCAAGCCTAGTTGATTGCTCATGGTTCCCGAGAGCATGAAGATGGCATCTTCGTGTCCGAGGAGCTTGGCCATCTCGGACTGAAAGTCTTCGGTCGTGGGGTCTTCCCGATAAACATCGTCTTTGTAAGTGGTATTGGCGACGGCATTTAACATGGCCAATGTGGGCACCGTCACGATATCGCCTAAAGAGATTCTCAGCTTTTCCAGCACAAAGAACGTTCTTGGGAAAGGGTCGTTCAACACGTACTGCGAAGGTCGAATTCTGCAGGGGCATGAGCGTCACCATGAACCCCATTAACACCATTTGTCGCCATCGTAGGTGGACTGAAGGTTGAGCTGAAGGTTGAGCTGAAGGCCGGGAGGTGCGGAAGAAGAGCAAGATTGCTGGTGGGAGGCACCGAAACGAGAGTCTGACTCGAGGATCAATTTGCATCTTGGGTTTCTCGCTCGAGCGGCCCGCGCAGATATTTCTTATCATGTTCCAACAAGTCTAAGGGGACGTGTGTCCAAGCACTGCAACAAAGCCAGGAACCATCACGTCTTCGCAGGGCCGATAACTCATCTTCTCCGGTCTACGCAAAGGAGCTCCACAAGCACTCGGTAACAGAGCCAGTCCCACCCGGCGCGTTCTTTCAATATCAGGAAGGCGAAGAAGGGGTGACTGTGATACAACAATTACTCGTCCGTATCAAGCCTTGTCTCTGAAAGCCCCGGCGGGATCGCATTGGCCGAAGCCTTTTCCCACCTTGGAAATAACCCTCCGGTGGGGGCGGGCGTCGGTTTGTCTGACGACCAAGACTAGAGGTTGAAATCTGTGTCTCCATTGTGTAAACTATCAGCGCGTCACGACAAAGACGTCCTCTGGATGCAAGAAAAAAGATTGATGCCTTGAGATCTTGTCATGCTGTCGCTCCACCACAAGCCTCGGCCCAGATCACAAAAAAAAAAAAAGGGCGCGGGGGGGGGGGGGGGGATTCAAGCCGAAAGCCTCTCTCGTCCTCGTCGCAAGTGGCCGGCCTCGACCTATAAATTATAAATACTTTCGGCTCCTGATGGGGACTCTGGTACTGGTAAATGACCTGGGAGAAGAGGCAAAGCAACGGCTTGTTTGTCAGGTGTGTCGACATTGAAAATGTGGTTCAGACAATCCAAGACGCCTGAAAAAGAGGGCTTCCTTCGTGCTGCAAGTCAGGTAGACCCCTTGCGACAGTCGAGAACTGTCATTCCTCGTCCCCCCAAACTAATCCACTAACACTCGAACTGTCGGACAGGCCCGAACGAGCGCCGATGCATCGGTCGCGAATCCCTTGGTTTCTACCGTTCCCTGGTGGTAGGAGGGATATACCAGTTTGTCGAGCCCGTCCAAGTGGCCTCTATTTCCACCTATATCCATGCCTTGCGCTACTGTGTGCGTCGCCACCCACAGCTATGCTGCACGGTCGCCGACGCCGACACCAAGTCGCCTTACTACAAAACCTGTGCTCGCATGGATCTGAGTCAGCATGTTCAGATTCTCCAGCATTGCGATGGCGGTGACGGTGGCGCGGCTGGCATCCAATCCGTCGAGAGCGCTCTGCGAGCCATCCTAGACTCTCGCGGACCGTCTTCCATACCTGCATGGAAGATCACCGTTGTACCGTTCTCGCAGCAGAGCTGCTTCGTGGGGTTTTCTTTCGCTCATTCGATTGGCGACGGATTGTCAGGCCTCATCTTCCACCGAACCTTTCTCGAGGCCCTCCAAGACCCCATTGTGGAGGAGGATTTGATCTGGGCACCGAAACTGCGACAACTCGATCCCCCGTTTGATACACCGACGAACCTGCCGATTTCCTGGTCTTTTCTTCTGCGGCCGCTCCTCGGGTCAATGCTTCCCGCACGCATAGCCTCTCTGATTGGAGTCGGCGAGAAAGAATCATCTCACACCTCGTGGACGGCATCAAAAACGTTCTACAACCCCGAAACCCACTTGACTGGGCTCAAAACCTTGTCCATCGACGGCCCCGTGGTACAGGAAGCTTTGAAGACGTGCCGAAAACACCGGGGAAAGCTCACGGGACTGCTTCACCAGTTAATCATCAACGCCCTGTCCGAGTCCCTGGCCCAGTACGAGGGTGGTCGCGACACTACTCTCGACACTCTCGTGACACGGACAGCACTGAACATGCGAGGGTGCGTCGACAAATCCAACGAAGATGACATGGGTAACTTCGTCACTGCGACGACGCGGAATCACGCCATCAAGAAAGTCTCGGGATCGAACCCTTGTTTCGAGATCGACTGGGCGTCGGTGCGCAGCGACAGCGCCCAACTCGCCGCGGCGGCAAAGGAATTACGAGACCAGCCCCTCGGCCTGCTCCGATACGTGAGCGACGTGCGCGGGTGGGTCTTGTCCCAGCTCGGTCGAAGGCGAGATTGCTCGTACGAGATCAGCAATCTCCTCGCCTTCCAACCGTCGGGCCCCGGCCGCCCCACGAAACGCAGCGCCGCCGTGACCGAGATGGTCTTTTGCCAGCCCGCAGACGCCCTCGGCCCACTCCTGTACTTCAACGTGGTCAGCGTCGCCGATGGGCCTCTGACCCTGACGGTCACCTGGCAGACTGGCGCACTGGCACTGGATTCGGGCCATGAAGAAGAAGAAGAGGCGGCCTTTGTGGAAATGGTGTGCCGAAGCATCGAGTCCGGCTTCACTCGCGTGTCGGGTTCACCGCCCTAGTTAGTAGTCATGGCGAGGAAGGAGGTGGGATATTAGACAGCAAGTTTTCCCCGACGTAAGGGTCGGTCGCATTAATGGAAGGCTGCTTGGCATGACAGATGACAGAAAGCATACAAGTGGGACGGTGGTGGTAATAGCTAATTCCGCGGAACGGGCAATGAAGTGGTCAACCGCCTGCGATTGCTTGAAGATCAAACTCGTCCATACTGATTGGCGAGTGGCCAGTATAACCAACCAGACGGATTGAATCTTCAGATATCTGCTGCGTCATTTTATGAGGTGTGACCGAAGAAAGCAAAAACCGGACCCAACAGGTTTTAGTACAGTGGTTCACACGAGACGGGTCATCCGTATAGCGGGCCCGAGTCATGTAATACTACCATTGGTCTGAGGAGTCGGGTATCTAGGTAGGAAAGTACTAAAGGCAGCAGCTTTTGCCCGGAACACCAGGCACATTCTACCCCCTCCCCATCCGGGGCCAAAAAGATTTGCTTTGATGCACCAAAGTATCTGGCCCCAATGATACCTGAGAAAGAAGGGGCCTCACGAAAGTAGATACCCTCAAGAGGCTCTTCACCTGTGTCGGTGTCGCGTCTTTCCATTGAAGCACACTTCGATTCCAAAATCATAGAGTGGTGTGTCCAGAGTGGTTCACTCCATCTATAATCCCCCCCTATTTCTCAGCCTTGCCGCACAGCCTCGCAAATGTCGTCCTAGACGATGCATAAGTAACAGTAATAAGTTGGGACTCGCCTCCTAGTCCGCACGCGCGGATCCCCAATGTATTATCCGGATGTGGAACGGGAGAACGCGATCACCTGGCTTTCCCTTCCCGCAGAGGCTTGTCACTTAGGCTTGTTGATCATTCTGTCAGGAAATTTCTGCTCTAAATTCTGGCTTGGTGCTACTTTTCAATCCAAATTACTAAACAGCAAACTTTTTTCTTTTCTCCGAGGCATACCTCTCCTCCGGCAGCCTCGACCATCTGCGTCTCTCTATACTCTTACACAAGTCTTGACGGGCAAATTTCGCTTGTCTCTGTCAGAATAGCCCACCCGCGTATGGTCAGTCACGCCCTCTAAGCACGACCAGCACCCCTAGGCGAGTTTCGTATAGCCTCGGCCTTCTTAATCTCCTCGAGAATCATATCCCGAGCAGTCAGAACACCATCTTCCTTGCCCACAATAGTGATGGCTTCTCCTTCTTCGCCCTTGCCAGAATTTCTGTTCGGGACTTGTATGTCACAGCCGGACTCTCGGCGAATAGCATTGATGGTCTTACCGCCCTGCCCGATGATGTGGCGGTGGAGTCGAGGATCCGGGAGAATAAGGAAGCCAGTGTGTTGAGGTTCGGCAGCCTTCTCGAGCAGTGATTTGATCTTGTCCTTGGCCTTGGCGACTGCGTCGTCAGAGGCGTCCTTCCCAGCCAGAATCACCCATGGGATCTCCCCCGAATCACCGTCTAATTCCTGCTGGTTGGAGACCATGTTCCATGAATATGCCTCTTCCCCAGGCTGGTCAGTGATCAGTGGCATATCACCATTCGTGGTCCGTGTCGGTGGTCCACGGTTGGCAGCGCCCTTCGGTGGCGGCCTCTGTCCATTATGATCGACACGAATGCCATCCCGAGAAAGCTCTCGGAACAGAGCACCGTTTCTGGAAATAACGTGATGCAAAGATCGTGGAACCATAATCGTTTCGCCCTGAGGCTTCGAAGTCATGCCTTGGACGCGCTCCTTGGCCTTCGAGACATTTTCCGGACGGCCGGTGATGGTGACGCCAGTGAGTCCAGTGCCTACGCGAGGCACATTAAGAGTCACGTCAAATTCCTCTTCAAGTTTCTTCCGAATACTACCATTTGGCCCAATCAGTGCACGGTGCTGGCTAATGGGAACATCAATTGTCTCGGTCGTTGAATTCTCTCGCGTGTCGACGAAGGCTTGAATGGCGGCGAGAATCTTCTCAACAACGTCGGCGGTACCCCTAACAGTGAGCTCATCTGACTCGTCCCCTTGGCGAGGGAATCGGACGTGTTCGGCACTAGTGCCGGTGCCGCCCGCTTTGGCGACGAGATTTTGGATGTGAGAGCCTGTTCGAGTCAGCCTGAATTCTTCTTGTATGTTCGATGATAGTACATACCGCCAGCGCCGATCAGAGCGGGGTGATGCTTTCTGTCCACCTTCAAAGTGCGCGAAACAATATTATCATAAGCCTTGGCGCGTTTTTCTAGCTCTTGTTTGGCCTTCTCGACTTGCTGCTTGGTACCTTTGATCTGGATCGTTACACGATCAGAGCCGTCAGCTTTTGGAATATCGATTTGCGCTCCCGTATCGGCTCGAAGCTTCTCCATCTCCTGACCACGCCTGCCAATGAGAGAGGCAATCTGCCCTTGTGCCACCGAGACAGTCGCACTGTGAGAGTTATCCACCAAGTACTGGTGGAGACTCAGCAGCTCGTCCCGGACCTTCTCGGCCTTCGCTCGAGGTCCTCGGATTCTGATCTCATCATGAGGATGGCCCCGGCCAGCACCAGCTTCGCTCGCGGTGTCAGCAACAGAGGCGTCATCGCTGAACTTCTGCACCTTTGGGAAGTCAATTCGCACCGCATTATCGACCTTGCTTTGGATTTTCTGCAGATTCTCTCCGTTCCGGCCTACGAGCATACCATGGTACTTGGGATCGATTTTGATGGCGAAGTTGACTTCGTCTTCCCATTGTTTGGCTAGCCGCTGAATTTCCGCTTTGCACGCCTCAGCCTTCTTGGCGGGACCTTTGATGGTGACTTGACCATCCTCGCGAGTGTCGATCTCCACATCGTGTTTCTCACGCAGGGCCTTGATGTTGGCACCTTGCTTTCCGATCAAGTTCTTGTTGTATTGCGCGGGGAAAGCAAAAGTCGTAGTATATCCACGCTCTTTCTCGTCTTCTTCAGCCTCTCTTAGAAATTCTTCGATCTTCTGGCGGAGTTCCGCGATATCAGCCTCGCTCGGACCGCGTAGATAGACTCTTTCGGACGGCGAGCCTCTAGAGACGCCATTGGCTTGTCTTGGACCGCCTCTAGCACCTCCAAAGTCCACTTGAACCGGAAAGGCCTCCGGAGGCATAGGCCTAGGCTCATTGTTCACAAATCTCTTGACTTTATCGTGGAATTTCTTTGGGACTTGAATATCCTGGACCGAGATACCTTGATGAGGAATATTGCTAAGAAGCAATGCTTGTGCCTCTTGAAGAGCTTTCTCGAAATTGGCGATTTCAGCTTTGCTAGGTTTATTGCGAGGAAGTGAGAAGGGCTGCTCCTGTGAAGGTCCCTCGTAGACGAGAACGACGGGATCTGAGCCGTCCTCAGGCACGATCATATGGACACCTAGACTATCCCTCAAATTGGAAGCATGCATTTGTTCGAGATGAGGATGGAAGAAAGGATCGACTTCGACCAACTGAATCCTCGCCGAGGGATAAGCTTGAGTGATTTTGGAAAGCTCGTTGCGTGCAGACAGTGCCTTCTGCGGGTCGTTGCTAATGACAGTCCAGCTCGGGGAAGCACTGCTGCTTGGTGGGAAGATGATTTCGGCACCATGAGACTTCATGAATTCGCGCTCGATAGCCTTCTGCTGAAGGTACTGAGCAAGCGCTCTGGAGTGACGCTCCGGGCCTTGAGGGGCGTCGTTGAAATGCTTGTGCATATCGACGGCTCGATTGTGCTTTCGAGACATGAGTTCTTCGGCCAGATTCCGACCAGCTTCGAGCTTATCTCTCGGGCCAATGATGTGGACATCCTCCGTCTCGTGATCCGGTGGTGGCAGAATGACAGCACAGCCAGTCTCCTCCAAGAACTTCAGAGGGTCCATCCCACGCTCGCCGACAATATATGGGTGTAAAATCTGTTCAGCGGCAAGCTCTTCGAGTAGTAGCTCTTTTTGGAGTTCTTCAGCCAACTGCTCAAGGAACAAACGTGCTTCTAACGTAGCAGCTTGGTCGCCAGATATGACAATGTGATTGTCTCCGTGAGGGACAAATGCAGGGGGCTGGTCCGCTTCGGCAGGTCGTGGCGGCGGTTGGTGCTGCCATGTGTGATACTGCGGTACGTTGATACGAACGTCCCGGTCTTGCTCCAGCTTTTGGATGCGATCCGCGTGTCGACCTGCAATGAAGGGGTAGAACTCCGGGGGAATATTACGCACGGGGAGATCGACCTTTGGCTGAAGTGACTTGACCTGGTTGGAGATTTGCTCGTAGACTTGTCGAACTTGGGCAGCATTTCCACGGATCTCGACCACATCGGTCTTCACATCTTCGGGGCTCGTCACAGGTTTGGTATCACGATCAATATGTATACGAACATTGAATTGGGATTCCAGCTTTTTGATATTCGCACCCGCTTTGCCAATGATCTGAGCGGAGACAGTGGATGGTATTTCCAATTTGACTTGTTTCTCAAGCGTCAGTTCCTTGGAGACGTACATCAAAGCCTCGGTGACTCGGGCTTTGGGGCCTTCGGCAATGAATTCAGTTCGGGTCGCGAAATTGGTGGACTTGGGAGTGACAATAACATTGAATTTCTTCTTGACGTCGTTCAAGACCCGTGATAGGGGTTTGCTCTTGTCCAGGTCGGCGTTGTCAATCTCAAAGGAGTCACGGTATCGTCCAGGAAGGACGACGTTACTGCGCGGGCCGGATGCGGTGACAGGAGTCCCGGCACCGGGGGTCGAGTTCGGTGTCAGAGCGCCGGAAGAGGTCGGGCGAGATCCCAAGGCTGGAGAACCATTTGTTGGAGCAGCTTTGGCAGAAGCACTGGCTATCCAGCCGGGCTGTCTTGCGGACGCAGTGGTGGCAGTTTTCGTGGCAGCTCCCAAAGCTGGGAAAGCCTCTTCAGACTGAGTATCAAGGACCGGAGGTTTGTCAGCTGCCTTCTGCTTTCCCGCAGCCTTTGCAGACATAGGGACATTGGCAGCCCCATTGCTTGGGGTTGTAGTATCTTCCGCCTCTTCTACAGCATGGTGGGAAGGAGGAGGGTGTTCAAGGTCGTCTTCATCGACGACATCTTCGACCGTCACATGATGTGTTTCTGCAGCCTCATGTTTCTCCTGCATAAGCTGAGCCGGGGTCTTGGTCGTGCTAGAGGTAGCATTCGCAGCAGTGTCTGCTGTTGCGGTGGCCATGTTGGTGGTGGTGGCTCTAAAGAAAGCCTCGAGAGAACCGTTAAGGGAGGAACCGAAAGAGCAGGACGGGGAACCGAGAGCGCTTTAAGGTCAGGGTATGACAAGCATGAACTTCTCGTCACAGACTGTTTCAAAGAATAAGGTCAAGCAAAGTGAATAGCGACTTCTGTCACTATGTTCAGGGCGACGGTAAGAATAGGTGACAAGTGTTGTGATGGATCAACACAACCTTGAAGTTGCCATGCGGGAACAAGGACGTTGGTGTCTGGTTATATTACGGGATGTGGAGAAAGGCACCCACAGTCACGGTGTCAACTGAGACTCGAGAAGCCCCGGGCTTTTTGAGTCCTCAGTGGTCCTGCAGCTCCCTCGGAGCGGAAAAATATAGTTTTGGGTCTTGACCGTTTCTCGGTGTGGAAAAACATGGCTCCGACGCATGTCCCCCATGTGCCACGTTCTGCTATCTCTCGAGAACATTCCAGCTGGCACCATTGTCTTAATTATCGTCCAACAGCGACCCCAATGCTTACATTGCCAATAGCTGTTTGCAATGCAGCCGCGACTTCTCCTTATTCTAGGGTCCATCACGGCTTGCCTTGCGGTTTGGCCGCAACCTGCCGAGATCAAGACCGGGAAACGAGTGTTGTGGCTCGATTCAGCCATCCATGCAACTCTTCGCTGCGAGGAGCAAACCATTGATCTGTATGGCACTCCTGGCTCACAGGGAAGTCAGCTGGCGAGTGTGCTTAATGGCGTTGTCGGATTCACACAGGGTCTGATGGATAAGCTCCAATTCCCTTTCGTGCAGAGAAACAACAGTGCCGTGCATGGGTTCTCCGAGAGGTCAATTGTGCAGAATAGCGTACGAGAGACGGTTCGATCAATCCAGCAGTCCAAGTTCGTCCCCTGGAAGCTTCACAGACGACATTCGACATTCGAATCTGATCCAGATGCTCCCCGTCATTACATTTCCACATTACATATCCAGCAGACTACTTGTCCGGGATCAGAGCCTCTACATCCACAGAGCTATTTTGGGGGCGATGAATCATATGTGATTGATGTTGACGATCAAGGAATCGCCTCTATCAAGTCGAACTGCAGTATTGGGACAATTAGAGCCCTGCAGACTTTTGAACAGCTGTTTTTTGCGCACTCGACAAAATCGGGCTCGTACACACCATTTGCGCCTTTGAGCATAGCTGATAGGGCGAAATGGCGTCACCGTGGGTTGAGTATCGACATAGCAAGAAATCCCTTTGACTCAAGAGACCTGATACGCACAATCGATGCAATGGCAATGGCTAAGTTGAACAGACTGCACATCCATGCGACCGATTCGCAAAGTTGGCCTCTCGAGATACCTGCTCTCCCAGACTTGGCGCGGAAAGGGGCGTATCAACCTCATCATGTCTGGAGCGTTGACAGCCTTCGTGACATCCAGATGTATGGTGCTGCTAAAGGCGTTTCGGTGTTCATTGAGATTGACATGCCAGGACATACGGCTTCTGTGGCGTACGCATTTCCGGATTTGATTACAGCATTCAATGAGTTAGATTGGTCGACATTTGCTGCAGAACCCTTGAGTGGCCAGCTGAAGCTCAATTCATCGGATGCTCACAATTTTGTAGCCGCTGTCCTTGACGACCTCTTGCCGCGAACACGACCTTACACTTCCTTGTATCATGTTGGTGGCGATGAGTTGAACCTCGCGGCCTATCTCCTCGACGAGACTGTTCAGAGCGACGACCCGAAAGTGCTGCAACCATTGCTTCAGACATTTATTGACAACGTCATCGACGCATGCGTCCGCCATGGCCTCCAGCCAATTGTCTGGGAGGAGAGTAAGCTTCCCCAGCCAGCGTTTCTCGGTGTTGTGGCAGTTTTAAAGAGTTCCGTCTGCTGTTCGATGCTAACAATAGACCAGTGCTGCTTGACTGGAACCTGACGCTACCTTCTGCCTTGGACAGCACTTCGTCGAGGCAGACCTTGGTTCAAGTCTGGCGGAACAGCGAGCGAATCGAAGAAGTGTTGAAACGAGGTCATCGAGCAATATTTGGAGATTACCATTACTGGTATCTTGACTGTAAGTACGTCCTGCTTGAATGACAACCGTCGCTCACCATGAAAGGCGGTTTTGGCGTCTTCCTCGACCCTTACCCATCGGGCAAGTCACCTCCCGGAGTCCCTTACAACACATCGGGCGGATACTCGAGCAGATTGAAAAAGCCATACCTTGACTATTGCAACCCCTATCACAATTGGCGGCAGATGTATACGTACAATCCGCTGGCGAACATCAGTGCCGATCTCCAAGGAGGCATCGAGGGAGGGGAAGTATTAGTGTGGTCTGAGCAGACCGACTCTAGCGACCTTGATTCAAAGCTGTGGCCTCGTGCAGCGGCTGCCGCAGAAGTGCTTTGGGCGGGCGTGAGAGAAGAATCCATGCTTGAGGACGCCACCAGAAGACTTGGAGAATGGAGAGAAAGAGGGGTCATAGATCTGGGGCTCGCGATGTCTCCAGTGACCATGACATGGTGTTTGATGGAAGGTGGATGCAACCTGTAGCGATTCCACGCGGTAGGGTTTGTTTTCAAGGACGAGTTTGCGATTGAGTACGGGTAACTGGTCATCTGAGATCAACTTCGAGGGCTATTTGGTCCAAGGTTCGTCCAGAACCTGAAAGGGGATCCCCTTGCGAGATGGTCTGCTTGTCATTGGCCTGCACAGACGGTCTAAATAACAGAAGACGTACTTCGTATAACTCCAAACGGAATACGAAACTATCCTGAAACTCCTTTTCTAGGAGACAGCCTGGAACGTCGTCTATTCTTACTGTGGTGTCTTGAATCCAGACATGCGAGAATATATCAAGCATTATCAAGGAGGCAACAGGGACGAATACTACTATGTAAGAACTTAACAAACTCCGGGGGAGTGGCATGATCTAGATAAGCAATAAATAGTCCAGGATTGTTTAGCGGGTGGCTCGGGAGGGAGGGGGGCCTCACCAGCCTGGAATGCATTCAATAAGGGACCATGGGGACGAAACCTTGACCCTGGCCCGTAGCCCGCGGTGCCATGAATCACCTAAGGAGCTATTCGTGCGTATGGAGCAATTATCCAAATCCATTCGGCCATAAGAGCTCCCAGCCTCGGACGAGTTCCTCCTGATAATAACGGTAGATTATTCTTGCTCTTCCCCGCCAACAAAGTGTCGTGTGTGCACCCTGACACCCCCATCCAGCATTCCACTGTGACAGACATCTGTGAGGATGATGCTGCAAATCCGTCTGTGGCAATATTTCCTCCTTGCGGCGCTCCTCGCATACATTGCCTCGGTGTACATCAGGAGGTACAGAAAATGGAAAAAGGTCGAGGCCCTTGGTGGTGAATCGCCCCGGGTCACGACACGCTTCATATTTGGTTCGGCTCCCATCTCGGCTTGAGCGTCATCATGAAGAGAGACAAAAAGGGGGGGCATGCTAATAATCAGTCCACAGGCCTCGACTTTCCTGTCCATTCGACACTGGCGATCCTGAGAAACGAGGCGCTGGAATTCTGGGACTGGATCTACGAACACACGGGCACCGACAGCAAAGGCACTGGTTCCTATACGGCCGAGCTCCATATCCTGGTGGATGCCCGTGTCCTCTTCACGGCAGACCCAGAAAACACTAAAGCGATCTTGACGACGCAATTCCAGGACTTTGGCAAAGGTAAGGGCGTCATCCAAACTTTTGAGATGGCAGTGTGTGGACTCTTCTAGTGGCACACAAGGCTAAGTCTGGCTTCTAAAATATAATAGGCGAAGAGTTTCACAACGAATGGTACGACTTCCTAGGTGACAGCATTTTCACCACTGACGGGCAACAATGGCATAACTCGCGACAGCTCATTCGCCCAATGTTTGTCCGCGAGAAGGTCGCCGACTTGCCTTTGATCGAGACTCATGTCCGCAAATTGATATCGTTGATGGGCGCGGGGGATGGAACCCCGATCATGTTGAACAAGTTGCTCTTCAGATTCAGCCTTGATGCTTCCACCCACTTCCTGTTCGGCCACAGCGTTGGCAGCTTGGACAAAGAGCAGTCGGAGTTCGCTGCTGCCTTTGACGAAGTCCAACGCGTCCAATCCCTGGAAGGTCGCTTGGGGTATGTGCCCTTCCAACGACTGGTCATGTCTATTCGGCTTACAATTTGCGCAGGCCCCTGAAGCACTTCCGTAGCAAGAGGTCCTTCTATGAAGGCTTAAAGACAATGGATCGTTTCATTGAGCCTTTCATCACCGAAGCATTGTCAATGACCCCGGAGGAGTTGGAGACCAAGTTGTCTCGCTCAGATACCTTTATCCACGCGCTGGCCCGATACACAAGAGACCGAAAGGTGATGCGCGACCAACTCACGGCATTACTGTTGGCCGGCCGTGACACCACAGCGGGCACACTGTCCTGGGTCTTTCTCGAGCTGGCTAAGAATCCCCGAGCAGTGGAGAAACTACGTGCCGAAATCAAGGAATTTTTGGGTGACGATGGTCGACCACCGACTTATGAGGAGATCAAGGACATGAAATACCTCACATACACCCTGAACGAAACCCTGCGTCTTTATCCGGTAGTCCCTTTCAATGTCCGATCCGCACTTACCGACACTACATTGCCTCGAGGTGGGGGCAAAGACGGCAATGCACCGGTGGGGTGTCCAAAGGGTACGGTCATAGGATACAGCACTTTGTCGATGCAGCGAAGGAGAGACCTATATCCGCCAATCTCACCGTCGTTCCCTTATGACCCACTGGAATGGTGGCCGGAGCGCTGGGCAACATGGACTCCTAAGGCGTGGAATTTCATCCCGTTCAATGGCGGACCCAGAATATGCATTGGACAGCAATTTGCCCTGGTAGAAATGGGATATACGATAGTCAGGATTCTGCAGGAATTCGACCAGATCGTTGATTATGGGAGCAAACGCATCATGCACGCAGAGATTATTCTGACTCCAGCGGAGGGTGTGAAGGTGGGATTTCTCAAGGGCGAGAAAAAGACAGTGAAGGCTTGAATTCAAAGGGTGACGGAAGTATAGGCATCGAAGGGTGACAGGTCGCTCTTGTGTTGAATTTGGCACTGTACCAAGGAATATTGGAGTGATTCTGTGTTTGAATGTTGGTGATGGATATGAAACGCAGTACCAAACGCGCATTGAAAAGCAGCGAGATCCGATGAGAAATCTTCCCCCCTATTAAATCACCGAAAACACAGACAAGAACTGGCTGCTCTAAAGTACACATTTGGTCACGTGTCAGATGCCAAATACTGCGTCGCCTCTCGTAGTTTCTACCATCAAGGCTACACATTAACTATCGACTTGATCTCATCCCAGGATCTCGCGCGCATTTGTTATCCTATTCAGATCAACGAGAGGCTCGCTCAGATAGTCTCGAAGTCTCCCCGATCGCTCGATAGGCTTTAACAAAGGACTTTTCTGTCATTGTACCGCAACCACCACAAAGCCGCGAACACTCTGCTCGACCCTCCTAGCGAGGCGAATCCCCCTTCTCCTAGCCCCGTACACACATCTCTCGATTACCTCTTACTCATACAATGGCAACAATCGCCCTCGACACGCCGCTGGCCGAAGCGCTCAGCAGCGCTGTGCACTCCAAGATTGTGGAAGAAGGCTGGACACAAGATGACGACACCTCATTAGCCGAATATATCGTTCTCATGCTTGCCAACGGAAAGACCCAGAATCAAATCGCATCAGAGCTTGCTGGCGAGCTGTTGCAAGATGCGAAAGGGACGACGGAGTTCGCGCAATGGCTGTTCGATCAAGTCAAGTTGTTGTCTGGAGGCGCAGCCGCTTCTGATCCGGCCACAACATCACAATCCTCAGAACAACCGGCCCAGGGCGCTGCGCCCGACTCATTACCTTCAAATACTGCAGAGAACGGGAATTCTTCGATACCTGCTGCATATGACATGGATATGGTTGACAATGCACCTGAAAATGCGTACGTGACGCCCCATACTCGGCAATGCATAAAATCTCTTGCTAACATTGCTCACAGACCTCGAGGCCCTAAAGGTTTACATGGTGGCCGACCTGCTGGCAGAGGTGGGCGAGGCGGTGCAATCAACAAATCCGGTGATTCAGCTTTACATCGAGTCCGTGGCAACGACCGAATAAACTCTCACGGTAACATGCGCGGCGCGCCTAAAGGACCGCGCAACGTTCAGAACAGAGATTTGCGCCCTGGGATGCAAAAAGCGTTGAACATGGGCATGACTGGTTCTGCTCAAGGGATGCAGAACCCCATGATGATGAACGGCGCACAACAAGGTCAAGGGATGATGCAGATGACCCCGCAACAACAGATGGAATTTATGGCTATGATGGAACAACAAACTCGCATGCTGGCACAGTTTACTGGAATGATGCCAGGAGCGGCGAACCCCGGGTTCTCACAAGGCACCAACCAGCCGAACAGTCAAGGTCGGTCCTTGTTTGACAGGGTCGAGCCTGGGCGTGGCCGTGGAGGTGGCCGTGGTCGAGGTCGAGGAGGCAACAACCAGAATGGTCATATCAAGTCCCCTCCAAAAGCAAGCGATCAAGACACAGCCATGGAAGGCGATGGTCAGACGCCGGGCGCCGAAGCAACTACGACAGATGCGCAAATGACCAGTGAAGGTGAACGAAAGCCACAAGATCCGTCCAACACCATGTGCCACTTCAATCTTCGATGTACCAACAAAGACTGCCCTTATGTCCACCAATCTCCCGCTGCGCCCGAGGGAACAGTCGTTGACATGTCTGAGACATGCACATTCGGTCCTGCCTGCAAGAACTCGAAGTGCGTTGGGAAACATCCTTCGCCAGCGCAGGTCAGGGCCTTCCAGGCACAAGAGCTTTGCAAGTTCTTTCCCAATTGCACCAAGCCCAACTGCCCGTTTAAGCACCCAACAATGCCGTTGTGCAGATTTGGAGCCAGCTGCAAGACCGAGAACTGTCCATTCACACACCTGCAGGTAGCCTGCCGTTTCAACCCGTGTACGAACCTGAGATGTCCGTACAAGCACGAACCGGGACAGCAGAAGACGACCAATTTTGCGGATTACACCTGGACACCGGAGAAGCAGGCCGAACAGGACGAAGCAAAGCAACATGTCAGTGACAGGAAGTTTGTGGACGATCAAGCGGGGGAGGAGGAGCTCATCAAGCCAGAAACGGGTACAGAAACGCCGATACGTGAGGAGGTGATCACTTAGTGGGAGGCAACCAAGCTGAACGAAGGAATATCGGAAGGATAGAACCATGGTTTGGGAAAGGCAAAGATGATGATGATTGCCTCATCATCGGGCCGGAATGTATTTGTACATTATGAACTCAAATGGCATACAACGCGGCATCACCTGTGCTACGTTAACTGGGTTTCTGATAATGATGGACCAGAAGACGGCCTTGACGCCGAGGGAGTTTGGAATTAAAAATGACAATTCCGGGGCGGCGCACGCATTGGATCTGACTCGATATTCATGTGCTGTTTATCTCCGTGGTCCTTCTCTCTTTCTGTTGTTCGATGAGTTCGTAGGAACTAATACAGATTCTAGAAGCTGTTTGAGGAACCGTATTACGTCTATGAGGTACCTCTCGTGCCTGTAAGCGGCAGCTGTAAGCGGAACAAGTCACTAGGCCCAATCATATAAATATGCATATAATACCTAGGTAATCCGTCACTCGTTCTGGATACTCAGTATGAGACCCGCTGTGGGTGGTGCCGATGGTACCCTAAGCACAGGGTCGGCATCACCGTCCTTCTTTTTCCAATCGTACGGTGAGCAAGGGTCTCGACGTGAAAATCGATTCTTCAAGCCATATATAGAATCACTCCAATCCGATTGTCTGCGGCCTGAAACGGCGGTCCGTTCTATGCTTCCCCCAGCATATGTGACACAGAAACCACTAAGGGCCTAAATTTGCATCCTGGAAAGGACTATTACGAAGGGTATGGATCCGCGAACAGGCCTCGCTGAGGTCTTGAGGACGTTGCAAAATATCCTGTCTTCACCTGACCTTGCTGTCTCACAATACTTGGTCCGCTCGGACGGGGACGGGACGACGGCCAGGTTTCCAGTCTTGCCTCGAGACATACCGCCTTTACTACCTGGTAAACTCGACGAGACTGTTCCTTCTTCACCGTCTACCAATCAGCAGGGACAGGCAGCAGCAGCAGCAGCAGCAGACGGGGACGAGGACGAGGATACCCTCGCAAGACTGGCAAAGCACTTGACTACAGACATTCTCCCGTATCTCAACCTCTCGTCGCTCTCGCCACACTACTACGGCTTCGTGACCGGGGGCGCCACCCCAGCGGCCCTACTAGGCGACCTCCTCGCTTCCATCTACGACCAGAATGTCCAGGTCCACCTCCCGCGAGAGACCATCGCGACGACCCTCGAAGTTGCAACTCTCAATTTGCTCGTGCAGTTGTTTCGGCTGCCGGAGGCGGCGTGGGGGGTTGGAAAACGCAGCTCTGGAGGCGGGGGCACGTTTACTACTGGTGCAACGGCGAGCAATGTCCTTGGTCTGGCGTTGGGGAGGGAATTCGTGCTCCGAAAGGCCCTGCAGAGGCGAGGTGTCTCAAACTCGGGGGAATTGAGCTGCGGCGAGCATGGGGTCCCGGAGCTCATGGACCAGGCCCAGATCCGGAAGATCCAGGTGCTCAGCACGTTGCCTCACTCGAGCATTGCCAAAGCCGCCAGTATCGTCGGGATCGGAAGGAAGAATGTCGTTTCCTTTTCCTCGTCACAGGGAGACGGTCTGAAGATCGACCTCGCCCGTCTGAGAGAGGAGGCGGCAAGACCGGACGTCGTCAACATCCTGGCCATCTCGGCCGGCGAGGTCAACACGGGCCGCTTTGCCACGGACTCGCTCGACCAAATGAACCGTCTCCGCCAAATCTGTGACGAGGCCGGGATCTGGATTCACGTCGACGGCGCTTTCGGGCTCTTTGGCCGCGTCTTCCCTCCGGACGGTGACGACCACGACACCGAATTCGACGCGATAGTACGGGGAGTTGACGGCCTTGAGCTCGCCGACTCCATTACGGGCGACTGTCATAAACTGCTCAATGTCCCCTACGACTGCGGCGTCTTCTTTACCCGCCACAAGAGTCTGTGTGAAGATGTCTTCCAGAACGGCAACGCGGCGTATCTCACGAGCGCCACCACCAGCGCCTCGACGAACACCGCAGGTGTGGATGCCTACGACGCGATCCAAAGCCCGTTAAACATCGGCATAGAGAACTCACGCAGATTCCGCGCGTTGCCTGTATATGCGACGCTCAGGGCATACGGGCGCGAGGGTTATCTGGACATGTTGAAGCGGCAGATTAGGCTGGCCAGGAGCGTGAGCAGTTGGCTACTCAGAGACGAAAGGTTCGAGCTGCTGCCCGCGCGGAGCGGCCTGGGGCAGGAGAGCGAACAGGAAGCTCTGGCCAAGACATTTATTGTGGTCCTGTTCAGAGTAAAGGACGAAGAATTGATGAGAGACTTTGTGAGGAGGGCGAATGACACCGGCAAGATCTATATGACGGGGACGGTGTGGGATGGGAAGCCCGCAGCGAGGATTGCGATAAGTAACTGGAGGATCGATATGGAGAGAGATGCCAAGTTGATCGAAGAGGTCTTGGACGAGGTGGCTGGAGGACGACGGTGAAGCAGCAGCGCTGCCTTGAAGGGCAATGATCAAGCCTCGATCGAGCGTCGGCTGCACCATCGCTGCCAGGTGCAAGCCCGTCCTTCTTTGAATGATTCGGAATATAGAGATCAAAATACCGCACCACCAATAATAAAAATGCGCTCCTCCTCCCTCTGCACCCATTGCACCACCTTATTCGCACTCTGTGCCAACGCATTCCTCGACGCTGTTGGACCCGCTACACAATAGAGCTCAAACATGGGCGTGACCCAAGCCAGCGCTGTTGCCGATGCTCCAACACTATGGTGGACCTTAACCGCGGCGTGTTTGGCATGCACGCTGGCATGAAGATTGTGGTATAACGACATCAGTCGTCGACGCTGTTTCAATGTCTCGAAGCCCGGCGAGAAAGACGGCATAAAAAACTGTACGTTGCCTTTTGATTTGTACAGGAAGTGTCTCAGGACGGTGCCGGCGATGATGTCTGTGGTTTCGGGTCGGCCGGCCTGGACAGCTGCATGGATGATATGCATGCTCTTGTTTCGGTGAAACTCGTGGACCATGTAATTTTTCATGCTTTGCAAGTCTTCGAAGCTTTCCTTGTTGGTGCTCAGGAGGATGATAGCCACCGAGTCCTCTTTGGCGATATGTTCATTCTGGGCCATTTCGCGAACCTGCTCCCCACCCATGTCAAGAAAGCTAACATACATGTACAGATAGCCGGTGTTGTTGAAGCCGGGAAGACAGACAGGAATCCAAGAGTCTCCTCCACCAGCCTTGACCCCCTCAGCTTCAAAGAGCATGTTGAAAATCAATTGCAGATCACTGGGATGCAGAGAGTGTTTCTTCGGCCGGATGACGCTGACAAGTCTACCTCCAGCAACCACAAGCCCATAGAGCAAGTCGTCCACTCGAGCTTTGATCATGGTGCTATTGATGATGTTGCGGTGCGACTTTCTGATCTTTAAACATTCAAGAGCGGACAAGAGCGCAGACGGCGAGCCTCGCGTGAAGCTGTCCGCCAGCGAGGACAGCAGGACTTCAGTACCTTGCAATGGTCGTCTGAGGTCGGTCGACGGGCGAACCGAAAAGATGTGTGTTAGAGTTGGTAATGTCAAGGTCGACAAGATCTGCATATACAGGGCTTCAAGCTGAACTCGGACCTGTGCCTCACTTTCCGGAAGACTTGTGATCCCCACGAGAAACAGGTTTGTCTGTGAGAGGACAACAAACAAGACGCCATCTGCCTGGAAACTTCCCAGCTGGTCACCTGCATCTGAATATGAGGAGATGATAGCCTGGATGATACCAACATAGCTCGAGATGACGGCGTCCGATCCATGCCTCGTATAAATAGGCTTGCCGGCTGCAGATAGGATGATGAAATGTTTGCGCTTGGACATCCAGAGCTTTTGGGCCACTTCGTCGCCGACGATCTTCTCATCCACCTCTTCAAACTCCTTATCGAAATCTACATCACCTTCGTCATATAGGCTATCCGTCTCTGTCTCGAACAACCCTCGGGAGCTGCTGACTGATGTAGAAAGATTTTGCTCCTCTTGCATATCTCCCTCGAATATGCTTTCCGCATCTTGGATATACCGGCCGATTGGTGCATAGCTTCTGATGCTCGAACTGTCCTCCCCAACATCACTGGTTTTGTTGCTCGGGGACGGACGAATTGAGTGGCTGGAAGGGGTACGGGAAGCACTGATGCGCAGCTCTTTGGAGCCATCAGGTCGGTTGTAAGCGTTGACATCGGTCATGGACATGGCCGTTGTTGCCCCTCCAACGAGGCCTCGAGTAGGAGGGCGAGAAGAGTGACCTGTAGAGGGCATAGCTTGTATGAGGCTTAATTCGCTGGGTCTGGGAGGGAGGGGAGGTCGGTCTCCATCTGAGGCGGTCGAAGTCTGACGACTTCTCGTTGTCCCGGGAGTGCTATTGTTCGTGCCATCCATCCTGGAGGCTGGTGCACTTGGAACTGTCTTTGTCAGTTTGTTAGTTGTGAGGTCGTCGACTGTCCGGTTTCGGGCCTAGCCTCCATCATAGGCGCTCTTTCCCGCGTTTTGGTCATTGCTCATGACGTTCATGATCGCGGGGAAAGATTCCTGGCATCACTTCGGAGGGTCAATCGACGACGACCTGGATGTCAACGAGGAGGGATCAAAGGCAAAGGGCTGCGGATGGATGATGGGTGAAGGACAATAAACGATGGCACGGACGTTGGGCTTGGCGGCTGCCTTTTGGGAGAAGCAGGGAACCACCGTGTCTTCGTCAACGTCCAAGTCTCTCATATATCACCGAAACCAAGACAGGATTGCAGCGCCCACTCGATGGTGTTCTGCTTCACACTGCGGACTCTACTCCATATTTCAGACATATCATGATAACTTTGAGCCGACTCCGACAACACCCTGTTCTCAACGTGTCACTCGTCGACCTCGCTCACCCCTTAATACAAAGCCTCGATGGCTAACAATTTGACCAGCCGGTGACTGAAACTGGCAGTGCCAGAGCTGTGCTGCCGGCAAGTTCGTGATGACCACCGATACGAAAGCGATCCGCCGTTATCATGCGGGTGTTGAGAGAGCGCTGGGCTTGTGGGATGCCACCAACGAATGGGCTGACTATATTGCCTTTCTAAGTCGATTGGCAAAGGCTCTGCAAGCATCTCCACCTGACGCAGAAGTCCCGTTCAAGTCGACTCTGGCCAAGTATCTGGCACTATGTCTGAAGCCGTCTCTGCCATCAGGCGTGCATCAAAAAGCCCTGGAGGTTTACAACCTAATCTTCTCTCTACTTGGGAAGGATGGACTGTCTCGAGACCTGCCCATTTGGTTTCCTGGAGTGTCACATACCCTCACATTCGCCACACTGACAACGAGGCCTCTGTTCCTTTCCCTCTACGATGACCATCTCCTGCGGTTGTCCAGCCATGCACTAAGGCCTGCTTTGAGGTCGATCATCTTGTCTCTCCTCCCAGGAATCGAAGAGGAGAACAGCGAAGATTTTGACCGCACTCTGAACACGGTCAATCGCCTACGACAGATCTTTGCAGATGACAACAATGAGGAGTTCTTCTGGCAAAGTCTGTTTCTGGCCTCCATTACGAGCACGTCTAAGCGTCCAGGCGCATTAGTCTACCTGATACGGCAGCTCCCCAAACTTGGTCCGGTGACAGGTCAGCCATCTGGGGAAGTCACTCGAAAAGGGGAATCAGGTGAAGCTTTGTCAGAGGCTGTCAAAGCTGTGACAACTCCTGAGCCTGGCTTGCTTGTTAGATGCTTTGCTACGGGACTTCAGGACGAACAACCCCTGGTTCAGCGGGGTTTTCTCGATCTCTTAGTATCCCATCTGCCTCTCAATGCTCCAATACTACAATCCCTCGTTGTACCATCGGACCTGGATATCCTTGTCATGTCCGCGATGTCAGTCGTCCTCAGAAGGGATATGAGTCTGAATCGCCGCTTGTGGACCTGGTTCATCGGCAAGGAAGACAAGCGAGACGGGTCAACAGATATGGTAACTGGCTCACATGTCGAAGCGCCAACACCCACGGCCCCCAAAACCCAAGAAAAGGTGAACACGAGGCATGATTACTTTGCTGCATATGGTCTCAAGTCCGTAATTCGAAGCCTTGAGAAAATGCTTCACAGGGCATCATTGTCTCCTGTTGACAGAGCCCGTCCTTTCCGCATCATGCTCTCATTGATGGATCGCTGGATCATTGGCAAGCTGCCTGTCGAAGAATTGTTCGTTCCAGCAATGCAGGATCTACAAAAGTATCAGACCGCGGCTCCTTCACAGTCTTCATTCGACGAGGTATTCCGGAGTGCCAATGTGTTCTTCGACGCAATTGAACCTCAGTTGATCACCAATCAGCTTTTCGGTCTGCTGGTACGAGGGGATCTGAATCTCATTGAATTTATCTTCTCAAATTTCAACTTGCAAGAGGAGGAAATGACGACTATTCATTTACCCATGCTGTGCCTTGCAATCTCGGAAATGCTCCTTGAGAAGATGCAATCTGGGCAGCACGAAATTAGTGACCGAGACGATTCCTATCAAGAGCGATTAGCGAGGCTCATGGAGGCTCTCCTGAGCTTATTGCCACCTCATCCGGGAGGCGTTCCTTCGGAAGCATTTGGTCAAATATCGGAGGAGCGTTGGCTGATGAAGCTGAAGACACTTTACGAAGAGTCGTCTTACGTGAAAAAGGCAATTTTTGACCTGATTCCCCCAACTGCCGCCGCTCAAATTCTGCTTCGGAACATCGCACTCATCATTCTCGACTGCTTGAATCACCCTTCCAGCAAGATATTGCTCGGACCTCTCACCAACAGTCTCGTCAAAGCCATAGCCAGAAGTAGCAACTTCCAGCCTCTCCGTGATCTAGGACTTGAAGATCGACTATATGATTTACTGAAGCTCTCCACGCCAGACATTAATGTCAAATACGAAACTGTTCGAACGACCGCGAGGATAGTGGATAGTTTGCATGTATTCGACTCTAGCCGGTCTACTTTGACGGAGCCCTACCTCCTTCGGCTGATACCAGAGTTGATAGCGCAGCTGTGGGAAGTTCTTTTGCCCTCTACTCCACAATTCCATGTTGAGGCTGTGGAACAGATTTGGAACCTCCGCACGATATCACAACATCTCCTTCTCGTGGACAGCAAGATAGCCGATTTAATGTGCGGGCAAGACCAGCAGGGGCCGTGTCTCGAAGATCAACTGGCGCGATTCTCGACCCTGTGGACGCATACTCGCTTTCCGGAGGTCAATGTCGAACTGTTCTCTTCCAAGCATGGTGGCAACGAGGACGACGTGCCTTGGTCTCCGCTGCGGCAGCCGATCTTGAGCATCATTGACGGGCTCGACATCTCTTTACCAGATGACCGGCGGCGAACCTGGTTAAATAATCTTCCGTCGATTCGACCCGTCTTCAAAATCGTCTATGCTGAGTCTACGGACACGCCGAACGCTCAACTCTCATTGCTAGCTTTACATAGGCTTCGAAAGATCTTGGCTCTCGCGCGGCAGTCGAACGTGCAGCGTAATGAGCTCTTCGGACGCGAGGGGTTTTCAGAAGTGGTGTTAGACATGTGCATTGAGCACATTGCAGGCGAACAGAAGGGGGAAGAAAGCCTTACGACAACATTGTCAATTGTGCGATTGATCATTGAAGAAACGGACGTTCAACACTATCATGATCTAATAAGTTTGTTGTTGAAGAAACTGGTCGACATGCCCCAGGATAGCCCCTCGCAGGAGGAAATACTGGACCTGCTGCGAATAATATTCGCAAGACCGAACTTTGGCAGCCCACCCAGTGAACTTATCCCTATCTTGATTTCGGCCATCTCATCCCAAGCTATTGATTCAACTATCGACAAATGGATTACACTCTTGTGTAACACAATCCCCTTGTACTCGACTCAAAATCTGTTCGCAAACATGCTCAAGCTGACAGCATGTTTCTGTGAACGGACCAAAGACTACTTTACGCTGATGCAACAGCTGTACGAAAGGCCGAGGACCACCGTTCAGGCCAACGGAGATAAATCCACCAGGATGGCAAAGCATCCAGAGAGATCGGTCAATAACTTACTCGCCGGGCTTGAGTACATTTTAGCAAGAGCGCATACACATCTAGTGGATCACGCCTCAGGGGTGGAAGCAAATCCCAACACTTCAGAAAAATCCCAGTCGCGGTCGATTGCGAACCATCGACTAACCGTGATTCTCTGCATGCAAGACACGGTCAAATTATGCGGCGAGATCTGGGCCTGGAGAATGCTCAAAAGGCCATCAATTTCTGCCCCCGATAACAAATCCTTTGCGTATATCTCCACCCGGCTAAGGACTAGAACTCGAAGGATTCTGGAGAATCTCGCAGACGCCGAACCGCAGGAATGTCTCGAAACACTGATGGGCATGTGGATCGAGGCGACTCGTCGAGATTTCCAGCAGGACATCACTCTGAATTTGATGCAAAGCCTTGACGGAGCACGACCGAAGTTCATGATGCCGGCTACATTCAATGCGATCTATAACCGGACAAACCCATCAGCCTTAGACCAGTCTCAGAAATCCAGCTTGTCAGTGGACGTTAGTGCACCTGAGTTGATGGCGTTTCTGATCGCTTACACGAGCGCGCTTGAAGATGATCTGCTTGAGGAGATCTGGACTGATTGCACTGCTTTCTTGCGGGAAGTTCTTGCCAACCCTATGCCGCACCGTCAAATCCTGCTTAAGCTCCTGGAATTTGTGGCTGTTCTGTGCCAGAAGATGGAGAACACTAACTTTGGAGAAGTCTTGAAAATGCGTCGCGAATTGAGCGATTTGTGTGCGAGACTCCTCACAGCCATATTCACGATAAGGCCCGCTGGACTTGACTCAACTGCTCAGCCAACGCCGGACGTCCAAACCTCCACCGTCGCGAAAGTCCTCCGGCGAAAGAATCCGTTACAGGTCAGCAATGCCATTGAGGTCTTGTGTGCAGCCCTGCCAATCATCGGCAACACGCTTGGAGATCAAGACAGGCTAAATGTCACGCTTCCTGGAGTGGCCACCTACGTTACCGGGCCAGCTCTTCGATCAAAGCAGTTTCCCCAAACGGTGAACATGGACATTCTGCAACTTGTGCTTCTCATGGCCAAATCCCAACCGAACAACAAGGTTTGGAAGAAAGATATCCAGGATGCCATCAACGACAATAAATTTTTCCAGTCGGCTCCGTGGTTGGCTGAAACAGGATGGCTTCCAGTATTGAAACAGCTGTGGCTTTCTGATAAAGGCTTGATGGGCGAGTTCGTGTCCCGACTGACAGCTCCAACGACGGCTGGGCTGATGTTTGGTGTTGGCGCTGCTGCCGCGCGAACGGAGGCAGACAGGAAGACGCAGCTTAACCTGCGGCGGATTGCTCTGCTTCTGTTGGCTGGCGACATGGACGCTTTCGTGTCAGACCTTGGCCAGATCGTGAACAGACTCGAGGAACTCCTCACGGCAACCCCGTCGTCGTCTCCATCTTCTGGCACTCGCGGAGATGTCTACCTTGTTCTTCGGGCGGTGACATTGGCTTTTACCCAGGTGCATCTAATCTCCATCTGGCCAATAGTGGATGTGGAGCTTCGAGAGCTATTCACGAGCATGCAGAATGGCGGCGAGTCTGTATTTACGGGCTATTCACAACTGCAGGGAGCCAAGCTGCTGGACCTACTCCTTCTCCTGAAGCCAGAAGAGTTCCAACTGCACGAGTGGTTGTTCGTGACCGACACGGTTGATGCAGTGTATCCTCCACACGACTTCAAGTCAACTGCCATTGCCGACCTGATGGTGAGCAAGGGAAGCCACGAGACTGAGCTTCCCACGGTGCCAGATACTGGAGCGCGGACGCCATGGCTCTGCACGGACGTGACGCGGACATGCGAAGACCCCATTACTCTTCTGCGGCCGTTCTTCCGGCAATTGAGTATCCATGCTTTTGAAGACACTTACAGTCTCCAACCGCCCGATCTTGCGGCATGTAGGAAGGATCTGCTGGCGGATTTGTTTGTGGACTGAATGATTTCATTTTCGTGCTCCTTTGACGCTGTCGTTTTCGGTCCATAGAGAAGAGTGGGAGCTGGGATCATGCAAGAAGGAAGGATGTATGTTGGAGCATAGCATTGGTGCCGTAATGGTGTCCTTGGGAGCTGCTGGGTACCTACCTAGGTAGGTAATAACAATGTATCCAAGCACAGCCACTGTTCTAGTCAAATGATGGTCATTGCGGTTGCGCCCCAGAAATGTGGAGAAATGGTGCTACATAATACCTGGTGCCTCCCTGACGGAATATATTGCTCGTCCTAAAGCGATCCCGCCCGAACGTCGATCCCGCTCATAAACCACCGACAGTTCCACTTCGACCGCAGTCAAGCTCGACCTCCCTCTTCTAACGCGGGTCTCCAACACATCAGCTTTGCGCTCTTGTGCTACAATCCCAGCTCGAAACCTGTTCTTCCCGAAAGCTACAGAAAAGCTATGGCGTCCTCCCGCTTCCTCGTCCCGCGCGGCGTCTCCTTCGCGCCCCGAACGCAGCAGCTCAGACTCCTCCCGCAGTTCCAATCGAGATCCTTCCAGTCATCGAGCCGGAGATTCCAAGAAGCCGCCACGGCGGCGTCCGTCCCTGTGAAAAAGCCCATGGGAGCTTTCAGAGGAGGGTGAGCTTCCCCCCGCCCATTCGAAACGAACGAAAGAAAGACCATGGGGAGCTTCGCAAGGAAGCTTCCGGCAAACACACAAGTTCTCAGTTCGAGAAGACGGGGGCTATCAATGAAACGAACAACCCGCTAATAACTGCGCTGTGTGTGTGTGCGCGCACACCTTCTAGACTGTTCGGATTCTTACTCGGTTCGACCCTGGCGGGCGCGTCCGTCTACTACTACATCCTCGAGGAATACAAGGTGTCGAATGAATTGTTGACAGAGGATATCTATGTACGTGGGAACTGCACAAAGCTCTCCTCCCTTGCGGCATCGATTCCCGAACACTTCCTACGCCGGGAAAATGAACCCCACCCCATGGCTTTTCTTCCTACTCCTCCGAGAGAGCTCTTTTTTCATAACCGAATACTGACCATCTCGACCCTTACAATTAGGCCCTACAAGCAGCCGTGCAGCGCATCCACTCGTACGTGACGGAACTGGAAAACAAGGTGAACCAACAACAAACGAAGAAATAGAAAGTCAAGCCCCCAACCCAAAGCAGGAGGAGGAATGGGGGGGAGGGAAACACCCCGTGAGTGAGAGAGGGTGTATTGCTGGACCTAAAGAAGATCGAATCAAGCTGGTGGTGGTATGCACCCTTCATTTGCGCCTGGTGCAGGGCCGAAGCAGAGCACATAATTTCACGCAAAGCGCAAGGCAAGGCAAGTCGAAGACGAAGACGAGGGGACCCCCGGGCGCTTCTTTGCGAGCAAATGTAAAAACAAAACCCATCAAAGCATCCATTCCTGAAATTCCGGTCTCTCTCTCTCTTGCTCTCTTTTTTGTTTCATAAGGGATTTATGATAGGAACTGCAGGTGGTCTCAGACGCAGGCCAGGTTTTTTGAAAATGCTTGAAATATCATCACTCACAAACAGCTCAGCTCACTGGACTATGGCAGATGGGGAGGAAGCAGGAATGCGACCAAAGACCGAGGAGGTCCACGGTACAGAGACCACCGAGGCACGCACCGCCAATGCGTTCGGAGCTGGAGCTGGAGCCGGGAGCTGGGACTGGCGAGTGGTGCCTGCGGGAGACGGCGGGTGAATCACACAGGCACAGCACAACACAATGCCGGTGGTTTTGGTCTGCCCAGCTGCGGACAAGAGGGCAGGATAAACGTCTCATATTGACGGTGCAGGCTCTGCCCCCTTCAGGCATCCATCCGAAGCAAGAGGCTTTGTGTGCGACAAACCAGTCAACACGGATCCATGCCCTATTAAACCCAGAAATCGCTAACCCCCCCTTCAGTACTCAACCAACTCAATTCTTCAAGTCGACGCTTCTACTCCCGAGTCTATCAGCCGCCTCGACCGCCCGTCGGAACCTGTCGACCAGCTCCTCCGTCTCCTCCAACCCGACCGAAATCCTCACCTGTTCCTGCCTGACATTGTACGCGCTGGCCCATTCGGCCTTGTTGCCATACACGCCCAGCGCATAGGGCAAGGCCAAGGTCAAATGGGCGCCGAGATGCGGACCCTTGTGGACGTGGAGATTTTCGTAGAAGGCGATGGTGGCTTCGATAGTCTGGAATTCCACGCTCAACAGGCACCCATACCCCGGGTTGGGGAATTCAGGTGTCGACCGGCGCATGAAGGGCGTGTAGTTGGGTAAAGTGTCGAGGTTGACGGTCGGGTAGAAGACTTGTTTGACGGTACTAGAAGGATCGAGCGCTTTGGATTGGAGGTACTCGACCACTCTCTCGGCGTTGCGGTTCAACACGGCCGAGCGCTCCAAATAGTCTCGACTGTTGTGCTCGAGCGTCTCGACGTCGCCGATGTACAAGTCATCGTGGTGGACACTCTCGAACAGCCCCTTAAGCTCCTCGTACCGCGGCGACAAGGGACTCAGCACGGCGCTGCCGGCCATGACGTCGGCGTACCCGCTGAACGACTTGGTCAGAGACGTGACGACGATGTCGGCAGCCCCCAAGACGTCGACGTTACAAAAGCCCCCGACCGTGTCGTCCACGACGAGCAGCGCGCTGTATTCGTCAGCCAGCTGTCTGAGCCGGCGCAGGTCGGGCGTGCTCAGCAGCGGATTCGAGGGGGACTCGGCCCAGATGGCTTGCACTTTCCCCCCCAATCCTTGTTGGGTAGCGAGGTGTTTCTCGAGCCGGTCGAGATCCTGATCCGACCCCAACCCAAAAAACTCGACGCCCGGCCCGAAGTCCTCGAGCACGTGGATTGTCGAGTGGAACGAGAAGCCGAACAGGGCCGAGGGTGAGTCGTACTTGCTCAACAGGTACCGGTGGACCCAGTATATCGAGGCCATGCCGGTCGAGAACAAGTAGACGTCACTGGGCGACACTCGCGGGTTGTTTGTGGCTGGAGCGCGGTTGAGGAGCCCGGCTATCCTTTCCTTGACCTGTTGCCGAGAGGGCCCATCAAGAGTAGCAGGAGTAGCAGCTATCGTCGTCGTGCCCAGTTCTTGGCCCTCCTGGACCTCTCGTAGCGTGCTGGTATGCTTGAGGCTGTCTTCCGCAAGGCGGGAGGAGATGCCGACGCCAGCGTTCACCCAGAAGCCGTGTACCGTGTCCATGTATTCGACGGGGAACATGACGGCGTACAGCAGGACGTGTGCCTGGAAGATGCGGATGGAGAACCTGTCCTTCGGGATGGCCCCTTCTCCCCTGCGCGGAGAGGTCGCATATTCTTTGCAATCACGCGCCGCCTGCCAGGAGGGGAACAGCAAGCAGCCTTGTTCCGCATCGCCGCCGGCGAGCTCGCTGATTTTCTCAGTGAGCTGTTTACCTTTTTGTGTTAGCATTTCTCTTATCGCTGATGCTGGAAATGATAATAATGTCAAACGAGGCAAGCAAGGCCGTCAGGCCCGTTCAACGGAGGATCTGGGGCTGACGATGGCTAGCTCGGATTGACACGTACCTCCAAGACATCCCGGTGCAGGACAAAGCGCGGGTACATGCTCTTGAGGGACTTGAACAGCTCCGGGTCGCCGTCTCGGAAGCGCACGACTGACTGCCACCCCTGGACGTGGACGGTGATGGCATGCCTTGGGGCGGGCGGCAGCGCTGTGCCGTGGGGGGTTTGGACTTCCAGCGCCATGACTCTTGTGAGTGCTTGGATGGAACCGAGTCCTACCTCGTATTCTTGTATACTCTTGTATCAACCCGCTAGGGACGCTTTGGTGGTGGTGGTGTTGTTGGTGTTGGTCCTTCACTTGGCAACTTCGGTAGGTGGAACTTAGTACTGCCCTTGAAGAAGAGGAGGAGGAGGTGTACGGAAAGGAGGAGCCATCGGCCAGTCCGTGACTGATATGGAGAAGAACATGATCAATCTGATTAATGCTTGTAGCTCGCAAACGCTTTCGCATGGCCTTAGCCTTGTCATCAATCCAAGGGGGCGGAATCTTTTGTCACATCGCCTCCGCCCTTCACCATGTACGTTGCAACACTGTGGGGTACTGGGTCATTTGTGCATGGCCCAGCCCGCCTGAAAACAGGTTCCTGAAATACTATGTAATATGAGGGAAGCGGCGTGGGTTTGGAAGATCTTACACGAGACCTTTCCCGTCGGCTGCGGGGGCCTCATCCGAGGATCAATCAACCAAGTACCTCGTAGGAATATGAAGTAGCTCTTCCGCACGGCCCGGATACTCAGAGGGACAAGAGGGAGGCTCTTGGGTGAATAGTGAATGCGAGCAACTCGGGCTCTTCGGGGACCGATATATCCATCTTACTCGGATCTGTCCGTCTTTTCGCCCCCTTGCGACCTATTCCTCGTAGTGGTGTGGGGAATGGGTGCGAGGTGCGAGGTAGAAGAAGGGAAAATAGGGTGTTTTGTATTTCATTCTCTTCGTAGAGTAGTATGGAGAATAGGAAAGGATGCGCTGTGTGTGTCCATCAGTCGGGCCTAACACATATGGTGTTTCCCCAATAATACTGCGAGGTAAATATCCTCGATACGGAGTGGCGCACCATATGTTGTGGCGGTGGATCTTTGTGAGCCTCGTCATCACTAGGTCCCAACTTCGTACCCTGGTAAGAGTAGCCGGTATTTATGATACAGCAGCAACAGCCTGATCGGCATCGGGCTGGAGGCCATCCTGGCGGATAGGGTGACCCATACCAGTATATATTATGGAGTCACACATCGCCGCTATGGGAGGGACGTACAACATGCATAACGACTGGGGCCAGCAGCGTGACTGAGGGTAGGCCGTCGACCTCACTGGATGCCACCCGTGGATGGAGTGTTCCGACCACATGTAGTGCACCACAGTGAGCCGTTACCCCCTGACCCAGATGGCATTGGGCACTGCCTTGCTTTGAGTCGGATGGTTTGGCTTCAACGTACCCAGGGGGGGGTCATAAGGTATGGGAAGGGGTAAAAGAGCGTATGGCCGTCCAGGGGAGGGTGAGAACAAACACTTGCGCGACGGAGGTCAAGAGTGGAACGACTAAAGGCGCTGCGAGGTGCATCTTTGAGCGACTTGTATACTCAACAGCAGGACAGAGTCATGACCGTGCAGCCATATGCTGGACTTCGCCATCCGTTTCCCCCGGGGCTTTGAAACCAGAAGAAGAGAAGGAATGTCATCTGTCAAGAGTCAGGCAAATTTCACCAAGAGAGGACGCGCAGTTGCCTGGTGCTTGAGTCCCTCACCCTCACACCAACACCGTTGACGCAAACACTCAGCGAGTACGATCCTGCATTCGAGCAGGTAAAGAGGCAGACGCAACCCGCTGGGGCTATGTTGAGGGCTATGTTGAGAGAACCAACGGATGCCGAAAGGGATTGCAAGAGCATCCATCCACCCATTTGAATTTGAACTTCCTTTTTCCCGTCATGACATGAAACAATTCTTGCAGCCTCTGAGCGTGATTTGAAGAAGACCCTTTCTGGCTGCCCTTCGCTGTGCCTCCATGTTTTCACATTTTTGGGCTGTGAAGTTGGTGCGCGTTTCTTGCACATCAAAATCCCGCTCCATATCCTCCCTGTTTTCTTTGAAAGACCCTTCCACGCGACCTTGGCAGATATCAGTTGACCCTCCTCGGCACAATGAGTCCTCTTGTAGTGGTATTTACATCATAACAACATGCCAGCTGGTGTGTTGAGCGGCTCGCGCATGAGCGTCCGCTGCTCTGCCGCTAAGGAAGGCTCTTTTCTCCCGGGAATTGATTCCTCATTGAGACCACGAAGGCCTGATCATGGCTGCAGCGTCAGTCATTCGGACTCCAGACACCAAAGTCTCATTCGAATGGAGATGTGCAGATGCAGTTCCCAGAATAATTTTTTTTGGTGCACGCGCCGACCTAAAAGCCTCTCCCTCTGCCACGTCCACGCCCACCTCCTCTTCCCCGCCCTCTCCCGCCACCTCTACCTCCTCGACCGCGTGAATCGCCTTCCTTTCTCGCCTTGTTCTTCGGTTTCGGCTGGTCGTCGATGAGCAGCGTGTCGAGGGGCAGAGAGTCCGGCAGGATGTAGTATCTGATGGTCGAGCCGCGGATGTTGATCGTGTCGAGACTGACGGTGTCGCCAGGCGCCGTAGGGTTCGTCCGGTTCTTGATCGTCATCTTGACCGCCCGCAGGGCCGTGTTCATCTGCGGAGACACCGACGTGATGGTGCCGGACACGATGGTGCCATTCTTGAGTTCGATCGTGACCGATTCATTCGCGCATTTCATCAAAAATCTGATCCACTGGTCGTCAGCAAAACCGCAACTTTTCTCCACGTTTACAACAGCAACAACAGCAAGGGACCCGCCGACGCTCTGGGGCGAATGCGACCCCCGGTAAAGGTAGTTTTGAGAGGTGAAAACCGGCGTTACGAACCTGACAAGCTTCATTTTGCGCCAGTCGCGCCGCCGAGCGCAAGATTTGCAACAACGCCCAAATCGTCCGTCACCGGGAGAGTGCTATATAGCGACTGTATTGAACGAGATACACAGGTGGGACAGGATCGTTGGTTGGGGTGTAAATGGCGGTGCAGAGAGAGTGACCATAAATCTCAAAAATTGTGGAAGGCATTGGCAGCCTTGTGAGGAGCAGCCTTGTTGCCAAGCACTCGGAAAATCAATCCGCCGAGGAGGAGAGCACGAGAGCAGCAGGAGCAAAACAGCTGGAGGCCATTCAAGGCTCTGGCTTGTAAAGGACAAGAATATTACGAGGTAACCTCCGGCTGTATGCTATCAATGGAGACCAACCTCAACGCTTTCTATTGCTGAGTCCCCAATTCGGACATGTTTGCGCACGCTAGCAAATCTCCATCCCTCTCTGACCCTAGAAGAATCTCCCTTCCTCCAGCTCACTTCCTCTTCTTCACAACCAATATAACCATCCGACTTCCATTCTCGACATAATCCCTACCCTTGCCCTCTGGCACCTCCTCGATGATCTCTTTGGTCTTTCTGACCAGCAGGTCCAGGACGTCCTCCACTTCGCCCCTTTCCACCTTTTCTTTGTTGGCTTCTCTCCACCGCGTGATCGGACTCGCCGTACTCATCATGGGTTTGAGTTTGGCGAAGTCCACTCTCCGGAATTCCGTGAAAGCGAGCCCGTTCGAGAGTCGGCCATCCCTATCCGATTCAATCCTCTCGAACTCTTTCTCGTCAAACTCCTTCAGGAGGGTCTTCAATTCTTGGTCTCCACTGTCGTCAAGCCGATCGAGACATTCCCACGGCAGTCCCAGGTTGACATACATTTCTCTGGCCAGTCTGTTTCCGGGCAGCTCGTAGGGAGCGAGGACTTGCTCTTCGAAGGTCTTAAACCATTCTTGGAGTTTCTCGACGTTGGGGGTGTCTGGGTGAGCGCGATGGCCTCCGTAGCACCAGATGATGACGCTGCCGCCGGGTTTGAGGATCTTGGCTGCCTCCCCCCAGAAGCGAGGCATGTCGAACCAATGCGCCGCGGTGGCGGCTGTGATGAGGTCCACACACTCCAACCCTCCCTTCCCGTCGCCTGAGAACTCCTTCAGCGCGGCCAATGTGCTCAACTCCTCGGAGGAGCAGACCTCGAACTTGACCGGTTCGCCCGATTTCGTCGTAATGCCCACGGACTTGGCCGTCTCAATCATGTTCTGGCCGGGATCCGCGCCGATGGCGTGTTGAAAGCGCGGCGCCAGGGAGAGCGTCGCAAGGCCGGGTCCGCAGCCCACGTCGACCACCAGGTCCAGCGCCCCACCAGAAGAGGTATGTTTCGAGATGATCAGATCGATCAGTGCGTCAGAGTATCGCGGCCGGGCCTGCAAGTACTTGGCTGCCGACGAGGCATCGTAGTTGCGGAATGTAGGATCCCGGGTATTCGACTGCGGAGACGTCGCAGATGCCATCTTGATGCACGAACAGGCGTCGTTGGGGATTGGGATGGTCTGCTTTCTTCCAATAGTCCTTCGCGGGTTTATATAATTCTCTGAGGGGTTCGTGAGCGGAGCACCTCTGCCGAACCCAGGGGCTGTGTCGGTGCCGGTATGGGGCTGGTGGGTAGGTGAGTGAGTCAGGCAGCAAGCAAGCGAGCGAGCGCGCGTCGTATCCGTATTTCTCACCTAGTTTCCGTCGAGTACCTTGTACAGTATGGGAATTTTTTGCGAGTATATATGGTTATCTAACGGACAAGGCGAGTATTGTGTCTTTGCAGGTTGGTCAGAAACAATGACTCTCTATCCCGAGTTGGGTGCCAGTCGCCTACGAACGGACTTCAATGCGCCTCCAGTTGGGGGACGCGCACACTTCCTCTGCTACTGCCGAACATGTCCGGATCGAGGAACTCGAACAACCTTGCAACGTCGGCCTGCTCCAAGCTGCTCCGTGCTCCGTGCTCCGTGTCCGTGCTCCGTATCTACATGTGAAACACAGCACGGCCTTGCCCGTTGGGGAATAAAACCCAGGTATATACTGGCATGGCCTACCTAATATGTTGGCTGCGATGATTCACCTACTAACAGTCCCGATTGTAAGTTCTCATATTTTAACGCCATGGGCGATGATACTGTGGAAGATGCTTTAGGAGCGCTCCAGCTCGAATTCTTCTATGTATCCACAAATTCAGCACGCTGTGAGTGGGAGGTGGCTGACAAACTTCGTGGCACGTTGTTTGACTGTTACAAGCTCCCGAAATCATCCATCGTTCTGATCAGACCTCATACTACTTTCCCCGGTCCGAATAACGTGCTTCAGGGACAGTGACAAGCAAGTATGCCCGAAACTTCGGAGCTGTGTTTAACGTGTTCATCAAAACTCTTCCGATTAGTCCCTTACTCATGATAGGTACTAATGGGGATCGCCCATGAGAACCCATGCCCTTGCTTCACGACAGCGAATCGGCGGATCTGGCTATAGATCGTCTGGCCGTATGAACCTGGGATCGTAGAGCCTGTGTCATCGCCTCTCGCTTCTTTAAGATTCTCTCGTGCGTAAGTTCACATTGTTCTGGCCGAAATCTCTGTATGGGAATGTGACGGCTGGCTCCTCGATTCAACCGGGACTCGCGCTCTTTCGTTTGTATTTTCCACATGTCTCTGCAACGGCCTGCAAGAAGCCAAACCTCACTGCACGGTCGTTTTGGGTTGTAAGGCGAGCGACTCGTGTGTATATAGGTGTCCGAACAAGCGGCAACGGCAGAGGTCAACAGCAATATCATAACCAACTCCGTCGTTCTGCGTATATATTGTCCGAATCAATCTCGTTCGACTGCGTAAGACATCGAATTCGGCTTCCAGTATGGCGAAAGCCTGCCGTCTGTGGCAACATCGCCTAAGAAACCCTACCGCCGCCCAGCGCCGATCAGAACAAAGCCATTCGGGGTAATAACTCATGTTGCAGAGCCAACTCCGGATCGAGGTTGACAGTACCTCAATTCGCACAACGTAAATTGGCCAAGACGACTTCTGGCATGAGGCACATATCAAGTTGAAGGTCCACTTGTCAGTGAGCTTTGATCCTGTCCATCGGGAAAGAAATAGGCTCCAACAGCAACAATCACGTAACATGCGCACAGCAGCGCGCCCTCCAAATAGTTGCTGCGTCCATCCAGGACCAGGAAGTTGACGATGAAAGTGGAAACAAACAATGACCCAGTCTCAAACAAGCTGAAGTAGAGAGACATGTCTTTATCCATGATCCAACCCAGAATCACGACGAATGGAGTAACAAAGAGCGCAATTTGAATCGACGATCCGAGCGATACGCCCAAGGCAAGATCGAGCTTGTTCTTTGCGGCGACAGTAACAGCCGTGACATGCTCGGCAGCATTGCCAACGATGGGTAGGATGATTAGCCCAATGAAAGCCTCCGACAAAGGAGAATCGTCCACCAAGTGCTCAATGCTTCCAACAAGAAACTCTGCACAGAGTGCAACGAGACCGGTGGAGGCTAGCAGGAGGATTATCGATGCGGTTTGGCTCATGGGAGGAGCGTCTTCCTCTGGGGCAGTATTTTTCGGCGTAGAGCGGCGTGCTATCCGCGCAGCTCCCGGACTTTGACTTTGGCGATTATTTGGTGCCGACTGATAATGTCGAAGGGGATGAGAGGAATAACTTAGGTCTTTGCCTTTGAGGGAAGGCTGCGTTGACGATCGGAAAACGGGTGGTGCGCGGAAAGAGAGTCCATGAGGCCCGATGTTTGGTTTCTTGTCCTTCGCTGAAGCTGCTGGAGGATTGGTTGGCAGGCCTTCCGTTGATGCGTCTTGCGACTTGATCTCCTGTGGCTCGGCAGTCTTTTCTGCGTGAATATCAATCACATTCGGACCCACTTGTACGGCGGATTCCCCATTGTCTGCTTCGGATTCGACTTCGGTCTTCACCTCTCGTCTCCTGCCAAGCTTAGCCTTGAGCCTCTTGCTTACACGTCGATGTGAGCCAGCACTCGTAAGAGACGACCTTGAAGAGCTCGCGGACGAAGAGCTCGTAGAGTCGAAACGTTGAAGGATACCCGGCTGTGCTTCCTCATCGATAATGTGTTGTGGCGTCCCTTGGTAAAGATATGCGTGAGACTTCAGTTGGAAAAGTAGATAAAGGACATAAATGATGAGTAGAATGACGGAAGTCCCTCGGCTGAGTTTGATGACTGCACGGTCAGCTTTCTGAAGGTCACTGAAAGACGCGTGGAAGGCGGTCTGAGTATCTTCGTTAGCAACTTCTGCACAATGAGTCCAACGCAGCAGGAAGCATGAAAATTTACCGGAATCAGCAGGCTAAGGACCGCAAGCGCCAGCAAGCAAGCCGACATCTGGGTCACAGTGCTGTCATAAATTTGCTCCTGGAATTCTAGGCCTCCGATCAAAAAGGCCATACCCAATATAAGGAGGAGGTTGGCAAGAAGTGAGCCGATAAGGGAAGCTTGGACGATGCGAATTTCATCCTTGACAAGGGCGATACTTGTGGGAGGTTAGTATTGTACTCGAGTTGAGGTTTAGACACTACGTACATACTACATGGTGTCAGAAATAGGCGTCATTGATGGGTAGAAGTGACTTACAATATGATCAACTCCACTGCGTTTCCAAAACTCACATTCAGTAGAGCTCCCAAAGTAGGCCCAAGTCGATGCGCCACGCTTTCAGTTGCGAATGTGAGAAGCCCAGCCAAAGGGATGATGGCAACCGCGTTGACAGCAAAGACCACATTCTCGTTGATTCCGGCAAAGTGGATGGCGATGCCCGCAGGCACAAAAACCAGGAGAACATTCACCCAACTGTGGAATAGGGCGACCTTGACATTGGCGACGACGCGACTGAAAATGGAGCCTTTGGGGGGCTTCTGTTCTGTCGAATCTTCATTCTGCGATGGACTCTTACTCTCCGAGGAAGCTTGATTGTCCTTAATGGCCGACCATGGATTGAAGTTGTGCCTGTGAGCAGACGAATGTGCCCATGCTCTCACGCGATCTGGGTTGAGATTAGCGAGGAAAGGAGATGGGGACACACGAAAAGGGGCTCTCCATACGCATCTTTATTTGTCGACGTCAAAACCGCCAGCCAGCATATTCCAAAGAGCAGAAGCGGAAAACAGGAATCTGACTGGGGCATAAAGATAAAAAGAATCGAAAGAGAAGAAACAATCAAAGCCAACCTTGGAAGTGAAGAGAAAAGTATTGCAACAGTCAAAGTGCCACAATGACGGTGGACAGGTTTGACTGGGACTCGGTTTGGGAAAACACATCTGGGCAGGTGGCGTCCATGGAACAGGGATGCATGCTTGGCGTGCCAATGACGAGCCTCAATCTCACGTGACTTGAGATTTGATGATATCAGGATCTTGGCACGGAACCAATGATGGCCCATCAGACGCCGGTACTAACGGCACTAGTTGCACTAGTTGCACTAATCAGCCCCAACAATAGAGCAATACTGTGCGAGTTCCCGCTCCGAGTAGCCTGAACACCGCTAATAAAGCCACCTAGCCACCCACTAGCCACATGTACTCCGTATCTGTGCCGTCCATTCATTCATTCATTCACTCAGCCACCCACTAGCAGCCACATTAATTTTGGCCTTTCCACGCTTTCAGGAGGTACCTTGTAACCTGAGCAGCCTGGTGAGCCACACAAAAAACAAGTGGCCAAGGTAAGCATGCACCCCGCGCTGCAGGCACCCCAGGTACCACAACCTTCAGCCACAGTACCTACCTAGGTATAATCAACAGGTCCAATTAACTCTCAAAATGCTGCTGATAGTGATTGTTCTTGGGTCGACGGAAGTTCGTCCCTCGCGCTGGGTGTCGGGAACACTGATGATGCCACAACTTTCCAGCGGTCGAACACCATGCGGGCAAGGGATTCGGTAGGACAGCCGATTAAGCCCAGCCGTCTCGCCGTCAACCCCAGACGAGGAGGGAGAGTAGACGATAGGGCGGGCCGATCCGCCAATCTCAGTGTGACCCCAGGCCTACCAGCCACATATGCAGATGCCGTTAACGATTCATTCCATTGGGTGTCTTAGCTCCAAATTAATCCCTCATGTAGCTTGCAGGCCGGCTCCGATGAATGCTGGCACCTGTGAGAAACCCTTGCACCATTATTTGACGGGAAGGAAGACCAACCAAGCTCAGGCCATTCTCGCAGTAAGTCGCGAGGGGCTTCGGTGAGCACAGAGCTGCCAGAATTCGAGTCGAAGAGGGTCAAGAGAATATCGAAGACATTGTTGAACAGAGATTGTTTGTGTTTGTGGTATTCCGAGCTGGGGATTTGCAGATACAGGTGATCGAGATTGTAGCTCTGGTCCAGGTAACGGTAAACCCGCTCCTTGCGAGACATGCTCGACTGTGGTTGCGCACTGGTCATCGAAGACATGACTGATGAAAATGCTGAATGAGTGAAGGAGTCTCCGCTCGTCTGTGATTTCGTGGATTATGTATCTGAAGGTCTCCAAGGTTCCCAGGGGCCCGGAGTTGTTGTACTTGAAGCCCCAGAGATGTCACCGATCATGTGCATGACAGCGGATGGAAGATAGCCAGTCAAGGGTCATGTCAACCACAGCGAGACTTTGAGACCTGGTCCCCATAGGTTCCGGCCATGTAGACTACGATCCAAAATCATGTATGGAAGTTGAAGCTCACAATGGCAAGGGACCTTTGGTAGCCGAGGCAAACCCTGGTTTCCCGTGGCCCATGCCAGGGACTTTTTTTCCTGAGACCAATGTTGGCTCTCAATGCAGTGAGTGACTGCAGACCGGGACAGGTTGGGAGCGACCTTCAAGCTCTGGATGAGTCAAAAAGCCAGAACTATGCCTTCACACCTGGTCGGGGTATAGGCCAATCATGTCCCACTCATTGCAGTGAAAGAGCCAGATGGGTGGTCTGTGACCCGGCCTTTGCGTGCGTCATGTGCGGGCGAGTTTGGGGTGCAGCTCAAAAGGCCCATGCATGCATGAACCGAGCGGGTTCTTTCCGTTCACCCTCGTAGAAAAGCCCCGATTACTACCGACACTTTTATACGAGGAGGGATGCAAAAAACCCAACTTTGCGAGGCATGAGCGAATGGAACTACGCTCTGGCACTGATGAAGGTTCATTGCTCGTAAAAAGACCACAGTCTCGGGTATGAGTGGCCCAAGCCACAGCTCTCGAAAACAAGTCAAATGGAGGTTCTCGGAGCAAACAATGCGTTAGCCAAAACTCTAACCGCCCCTCGAATGAACAGATGCTGACCATTTGTAAGGAAAACACATGTTCGCACAAATAGTGCATTTGGGATTGATGGGGAAAAGAGACGGACGAGGTAGGGGCGCAAGACCAAAACATGACTGTGAATTCCAGGGAGTGTGCTGTTCGCCAATCTAAGTTATCAGTGGTATCGATAACCATACGAGGTTAATTCCCCCGCATTGACTTGCAGCGCCTACGGGGAGCCGTAGGTGAAAAGATTCCTGCCTGGCGCAGACTGGCTTAAGCTCAAGGTGTGGCTGCCGGGCACTTGGATTAGCCCACGGTACCAGCCCACAGGCTACGCTGGTGACCTGGGGACCTCTGAGCTGTAGGTGCGTCCTTATGTGCCCGCGGCCCGGGAGGCGCAGAGATCATACCTAGGTACCTTAGGTTGGTAGGTACCTATGTACCTAATGTCCAGGGGTGCTGCTGAGTGCCCCTCACCCCCGCAGTCGTGCGATGCACACCCTCCTCCTAATAGGTACCCTCGAGTTAGAACTTGAGCATGCCGCCTTTTGTTTACCCCTTGCTTCCTGCCAGAGCACGATTGTTCATTGTGTCACCTGAAAAATTCATACCCTCGTGGGAAGACACTCGGGGATTCTGATGTCGGAGAGGAAGAGGAAGGAAAAAGTAATTGCACCAAAGTGCAAGTCTGAAACTGCTGGGGCTTTCCCCGAGCCGGAGTTTTCAAAACACAAACGGTTGAACCCTGTTCCGCAGCCACTGATGCAGGACAGCAATCAGGTCAATAGAGGGAATGAAAAAATTTTCCATCCCCATGCAGAGCCTCACGAGCCACAGTGGTGATGGTGGTGGTGGTGGTGCACCTGGCATACACGAGGAAGTGGAGGGGCGTTGGGCCATGTCAGTGGGTGGTCAGAGAGACTGTCTCCAGGTCCGTGGGTCATGGTGTCATGGGTGTGCGCAGCCGAGAAGATTTTTGGATGCTTGACAGCGGCCCAAGTCGGTTCCATGCGTGCACTTCTGCATTGCGATGATCCCGATGATCGATGTGCCTCCCGCGTGGTTGACCGCTCATCAGTGAGCTGAGGAGAATAAAGTGAAAATACTCCGGAACTCAACTCTCTTCAAGGAAAGTTCCATCCATCTTGCCTCAACGGGGTTGTAACTTGTGGCACATGTTATGGGTTGCACAAGTTCCCTGATGCGGCCCCAACCCACCACTACGCCCTCTGTCGGTGGTAGTGGCTGTGTGGTCTAGCAAAGAAACGTTTTTGACGTTTGGTAGAGGCGGCGGGAGAAACGGGCTCTGACGCGAATACTGGTCAATACCTTTGCAACCCAACTCTAATCAATGCGTGGCACAACCCATCACAGGAGAGTTGATACCTAGGTACGTGACAGTACCAGCGACGAATATGGTTCTTGAATTGTCCAGCAAGAATAGCAAGCAGTCCTTCACCCCAAATAAGCTAGGAGCGCTCAAGTCCTGGTCACGCTGCGTCGAATAATCCCCCATGGTTTTCCGCTTCTTGCCAGGCAACTTGCCCTCACACGCTGCGACTCACCATCGCACCCACGCCAACCCACGCCAACAACGAACTCTCTCACATTCTCCTTCAGTACATATATACTCTCAACACTCGAGAGTTTCTTACCCCGTCGAATAAATAATTTCTCCTGCTACCTATTCTCGTCCGCAGCCGGCATAAGCTTCCTTCCCGTGTGAATTACTCACCTTCTCGAAGCCAGCCTGCGCCCGACACCGCACACACCGAACACAAACTAACCACCACACGCATCGCCAACCACGCACCAAAATGAGGTAAGAGAAATTTCCACAGTAATCATCCATAGCTACCATGGGCATGGTGACTCCTCTTCGCTTCCTGTGGGCTGGGCCTGCACCTCGAGTGCGGTCACCCTCTCTTGTCACAAGAACGGAAATTCCGGCGACTGCTCAATCCCCTTCTTAGAACGAGTACGACTCGGTCCAGGGTACTTGGGGAATTCGCTTCAATCGCACTACCAGAGGATCAAATGTTGCACAATACCAGGTGGTGCGCCGTAACCTTGATCCTAACGGCACTTCTGAACGTTCCAGCGATGATCCAGAGGCACCGTCGCTGACATGTATGACAGCTCCTCCACACAAAGTGTCACCTCTTCCCAGTCAGACTCGGCTGCCTCTTCAAGTACCCTGCATGCACCAGTATTCGAAATACACTCCCCCTCTTCTCTGGTTGGGCCTTCAATGGCACTCCAAGCTGGGCAAGACGGTGTGGACGACTATGCGATGACTATGATGTTGCAAGAACCTCGGCTGGAGACTCCATACTTTGCTGGGCAGCCACTCGGAGAAAGGAGGATGGAGCATCTGGCAAGACTCGATATCGTTCTCGGCGACCTGCAACATGCATTCGCAGGTCAGTGGCATGACAGGCTTCCACAGGAAGAACTGTGAATCCAAGGGTGGTGGGTTGACTCTCCTACATGTTCAGGTCAGTATGTACCTCAGACATTCCTTCCACACTCGCTCATGGTTGTCTCTCAAGTCACTCGTTCAATTTCCTAGGGTCCAAGATGTTACAGCTGAAACGAAGTAGCAAGATGGTGTGCCATCTTGAGCAAGGAGAAGAATAACTTTCTTGTGTAATGATGTGCTGACACGACATATTTGCATGATTCAACCTGACGTCAACTTGGTGGATAAAGCAGAATCGCAGGGTGCAAGACGAAGCAACTGACAATGACAATGACAATGACGACGCGGCTAAGCATGGTGATGCGTTAATGTCGGCATCTTTTTCGGCGCTCTCGATGCCGACAGGGACTTCGACGAGACCGAAAGCGAAAGACAACTTCAGCTCTCCAATAGATGCCAATGCGGATGGCCGTCGACGCCAGGCTCGTGTCCTCTCGCCCAGCAGCCTTCCCGTCAGCCATTGCCGATTTGCGGTTAGACCAAAGTCATCTCGGAATAACCTTTGGCCGAAAGACTTGGCAGAGGACATTCGCACTCGGGCGTGGCAGCGAACCGGCTTGGTGAAGGAAAAAGGCAACAAGACAGCCAAAAAGGCAACACACAACGATGATGAGGCTCAAAAGTCCCACGCAAGGCTGATATCGACGAAATACTGTCGAGAGCTGGATGAAGCATTGCGAGCGAGACCATCCTTCGGTTCAACCTTATCAAACGCAATAACATTTGATACCCCCTGAGGACGGATTGACAGCTCGTCCTCTCAAGAAGGTGCAGGTGAGTGGAAGAAGGCCAAAAAGAGACCGTGCATCATCCACGGGATGCGACAAACATCCAATGCAACGATCTAAGCATTGTTGAGATCGTCTGGGCTCGTCGACAACCTCCCGGTTGAAGGAAGAGTTGAAAGCACCACAGAATGGCGAGGGCAGAGCTCCTTAATAATGCCGGCAAAGAGGGCTGCTGGTTGCCACAGTGGTTCCAGCCCAACTTGCTTGTGCTCACTGCTCAACGCAATCACGCACGGCAAACAAGCGTTGATTCGGTGCCCAGGCAGCCCGCATTGACTGCTAATACGACCTTGGTGAAATTAGTGAGGCTAAGCTGCTTTTAGCGGAGCCATCTTCCGACTGGACCCGTGCGGACCACCCAGCTTCCCTGTCTCATGCAACCCCTACCTAGCGAGCTAGGTAAGGTTCATGGGTCTATCACACTTGGGCCACGCCTAGCCACGGAATACCCAGGAACGAATGGTGGCTGCCCACGACCAATATTTGCAACTCCGGTCTGCATCCAGACTTTAGCGCGGCACTGCGCCTTGAGTGCAAGGCTGCATACCTCTCGATGCGTGGATGAGCAACCTGTAGGACTACCGATGTTGAGACCGTTTGGAATGGGTCTGGACCAGGGCCATCCTGAGGCATTTCCGGCATCCTGATTCCTGAGACAGGCTGAGCAGGGATGCTTGGAAGCGGACCCCAAGGACAATTTAGCTGGACGACCCAGAAGAGCACACAGTACACCAAAACAAAACCTTCGCGAAAGGTCACTTGGCGGGATGGTAGATTGAGTCAGTGAGATTCGTCTGACCTATCGCGCTGAGGAACAGCCTTTTGTTAGTGCCGCTGCCACTTACATCCCGAGGATACCGTCCAATAGCCAGGTCGACAGCATACATTCATCGCGATTTGATCAGTACGCGACCAGATGATGCCTAACCCTCACCAGTGAGCTGAGGCTAGGGCCAGCACACATAATCACGAGGATACAGTCGATTGTTGTCTATTGACCACGGAAAGACATATCCAGCAGGAACAAAGTTGCTCTGGCCATGATGAGACCCAAAAGTCCAAGGGCATGTTGTGTGGTCAGGTCGTTTGTCCACTCATTTGAACTTCATCAGGATATTGGCGGGACAGCGTTCATGAGTCATTCAATTTCCTTGCAAGTCACGCGATTTTAAAAATCAACACGCCCTGGAGTGATTGGTCCTTTACTGTGACCGAGACGACGAGTGGCGACCAAAAACAGCTGGAAAAATAACCAAGCCCTCGAAAAGGTGAAAAAAAACAAGAACAAAAGAAAGAACTCGCCCTTAAAAATACCTAAGTTACTTCGAAAAACATTTCGGAGGCATCAGGAAGATGTCGCCAGAAGAGCAAGAGAAGATCCTGGAATTCCAAGCTGAGAAACGAGGTCATGAAGCCTGTTAATATTCAATGGCCTCATCTTTCTTCGTGGAAGGACGAATGAAATGGTTGAAATTTTAGGGACAGTTGCACCAAAGCTGCGTGTTCACTACTTGTGCACATTAGGCAACACGAGGCAGGAGGATTCGGTGTCCGGGAATTCGGCGGTAAGCAGTAAGATGGTCAGCCTGTCGCTCTTGTTGGATGGGGCTTTGCTACTGAAGAGATTTCTCGCAGTGTACGGATTGCACCCGATCACTCGCTGATGATTGTTTTTTGCTATGTTATTGATGTTGTTTGTGGAGGAAAGCGTTGTCCAACCTGGGTTTCAAAGATGAAGAATTTTGAGGAGTTGTTGAGACTGGTTCTAGTCGATATTCTGAAGGACGAGCGAGGGTGTTGTGTGCTTGGACAGATGAGGCTGGGAATCTTGTTCAGGTGTTGACGATGGATTCTTTCAAGAAAATGCAAGACTTAGACAGCGCAAGCCTCTAGGCGCGAGTGTCGGGAGTATCCACGACGGCATCTATGGATATAGGAGAGCAGACGACCTCTATAACACAACGATGAAGAAACGGCGGCGACGCCATCTTTCCAAAGTGTAATCTTATGCGAGACGAAATGGACTTGACCGAACTAGCACTTCAATAGTTTCACGGACGTACGAGGACTAGTAGGTACTGCCGAGCAGTTGGGATGGAGTCCCTTGGGCGACCCTCAATCTTGGTGGTTGTGCCTGAAACAGTGGATAAGTGAGGTATTAATTAACGTCGTTGAAAATTGCGGTAGCCTAGACTGCCTGCCTCTTTTCTGTTTCAGCCTCGTCGCTGTCGGTTTGATCTGCTGCAGGCAGCTTGTTACTCGTCCCAGTCCATCAGGCAAGCAGGCAAAGCTACATGGGTTACGAGGGAGGCAGACGGAGAGGATTAGTGTTTCTTGTTTCTTTTTCTGTTTCCTCTCTGTTTTTTCTTCTCCCCTGGCCCCCGTGATTCCTGCCGCCTAAGGGTCGTGTGCTAGAGTGTGTGCGTGAGTGGACGAAAAGCGCGCTCCCGTGCTCTTGCCACACTACCTAGTACGTAGTAAGGTGACATCTATCTCGTAGCGGGTGCCTGTCCCATCCCATCATAGGTGGTTTTGTTCCTATGAGACACGAACCGGGTTTGCATGGACTCCAGTATGTCCACTACTACCACCAGGTACCTCATAGTCTAGTAGTTGGGTAAGTATAAGTATCAACACTCATAAACCGGGCAACAAAAGATTTCTGCCCCAAAAAAGGGAAAGCAAGATAAGAAAAAGTCCAGAGGGACCAGGCGTCCCGTAGCGTAGGTACTACTCCTAGGTACAAAGGAGATTTCGCGCACGGTGCGCGTCTCGATGACATCGACGTCGACGTGGGGATTGCGGGTTGGACACTTACTTAGTTCAACCCGTACTATTTCCCTAGTTTTGATGTCTAAGACTAACTAATAGCCTTCCAACGAACACGGGGCGCCATGAAAAACGGGATGATTGATGTAAATTGATTAGATTCTTTCTTTGTCCGATATAACCAACCAATAATAAAAGTTCGCCTTAGCACCTGCGAGATTCAGGGCTTCAGGAAAAAGCGAGCAAAGGACTTTTAGGTACAAAGGTACTCGTGCCCTCGTGATGGACTCGTATGGTCCTTCTCTTTTTTTTAAAAAAAAAAACTGTAATAACCATCGTTGCCGCTCTCGAGGGAGGAAAGGCGTCTAGGGATTAAACCACCCCTCAACCACGTGCTTACGTACTGTACTTCGTATATTAAGTCCTGCTCCGTCTGTTTCAGCTGCGGGCTTCGAACCCAATCCGCAGCTCCAGCTCCCGCTCCCTCTTCAGCTTGAGACGGGAAACCCCAAGGCTGACAGATGGGTTCGGATAGAACGGGCCTTCAGGGCGTGTGGGTGCAAGGGTTTCCGGCGCCCGAGATACGAGTATTATTACATGAGAGTAAACTTTGATGACTACAAGTGGACATACTCGGGACTCTGTAGAAATGAAACCCATCTCTCAGCCTGATAGTCAATGTTTGCTTCATCCCGCTGGTGCCGCCTTGTGTCTAGCAGCTTGTCTATGTATGTCTCTTCTCATTAGCCCCCGACATGACAATGGTATCTCTCTAGGCTAACTTTGCTCAATGACGTTCATTTCGTAACACGTGAAAACCATCCAAGTCTTCATCTGTCGTTCCATCATGTGTGATTTCTTTCCGGCTCCCAAGAACACTGGACTCCGGTGCCGCTCGTGACGATCAGCGGAGCAGATATCACTCACGCGAGTGGGCTCTAATGCATGCTCTTCAAATGCTCCACCAGTGCCTGGACTTGCTCTCTCACTTCATCCGACAACTGCTCCTCGGGCTCCCCCAGCACACTCATCATCATCGGTGCCAGCTTTGGCGTCAGTTGCTGAATCGTCGGGTCCTGGTCGCGGTAGAGTCGGACAATCATTGTCCAGACCGGCTCGTTTTCCTGGTAATCCTCCTTCAAAGGCAGGATACCGCTGTCAACAAGTGCCGGCAGGACCTGCTGAATGGGCACTTTGTCCTTGTGCTTCAGAATCAGCCTAGAGACGCATCCCGCTGCGTTGTCCTGGCACCGGCCCTCGGTGATGTGCAAGATCCCTTCGAGTTTCGAGAGAATTTGAGGGTATGCTTTGACAATGTTGCCGTCGTCTTCGGATTTCTCGACCAGGCGGCCCACTGCGTAGGCAGCGTTGGACTTCGTTTGAGGATCTTCGTCCCCGAGCCGTTTGAGGAGAACGTTCAGCATCTGCGAGGTAAATGGCGTGACGGCACCTTCCATGCCCGTGATAATCTCAGCGAGGACCCCACATGCAGACGCCCGGCCCAGGGCTTCTCCACCGCTTGCATATCGCAGGACTTGTTTCTCGAAGATCTTCCACAGCTCCCCGAAGCTTGGGCCTAGTGCAGCTGCAAGTCCCGAGATAACGTCCATGGCACTGTCTACGACAAGCCATTCCAACTCTGTGGATTCCAGGTCATCATCATCCAGGGCCTCTTCTGCCATATCGATCTGGCAAGCATGTTTCTTCGTGATCAGATCAGTCACTGTCTGGACGATCTTGGTAAGGACGTCAGGGTAGCTGAGGAGAGATGGGCCCGTCATCTTGAGGTTCTCGGAGAGAGCTCTCGAGATTTCCGTGACGGTAGCACTAGTAGTACCGCAGGTCAGCTTTGATTCCATCACTGGTTGGTGCACATCGGACGCAGACAACATCTTTCAGAGGGTTGAAGATCGCGTTCGCTTCATCCACGACTTGCGTGTCGGAGTGAGCTGGGATTAACGAGAGTATCTCATCTTGTAGACAAACATTGCTGGGGGGGACTGCAAATAAAACATCACTTACGTGTCCTCTTCCTCGGGCCAGACGTTCAATGTCGCATTCATCAAGACCTCGCCAAACTTCTTCAGTACCGGCGTCGGTTCAACCTGCAGTGGCAGGCCAGGCTTCCATTTCGGGAGCTCGCCCGATTCTTCCGAGATATCGTAAAGAGCGGCATACGCGCGATGCAAAGTGCTGATGGTGGCCTTGCGCACGTTCTCATAGTTATGTTCCACTAGAGGCAGGAGCTTTTCAATCGTCTTCTCAAAGAACGGCAGGTACGCCGTCTTGGTGTTGGAGACAACGTCACCAATAACCTCAATGGCGATTTCTTTCTCCAGAGCTATAGGAGTGACAGTTGCCAGATCACCCCAATCGCTGTCGTCGTCTCCATCGATCTCGATGTCCTCGATGTCCCCATCTTCTTCTTCGTCATCATCCGCCGCGGCAACCTTGACCTTTTTTCCGGCAATCGTCACCTCCTTGCCGAGCAAGTCCCTTGCACTGTCGCCAAGCTCAACTTCCAGATCGGCTTCTTCTTGGTCAATGCAGTCGAAAAGACCCTGTACTACTCCATCCAGGAAAGGCGCGAAGTCGGTCTCGTAGACCTTGGCGAGAGAACCCCATAGAATGTAGGTGCTCTCCTTGAGTCTCGAGTGCTCAAGACGTAAGGCCTCTTCGCTGGTCTCCATGAGCGGCCGTACGTAGTCCTTGAACTCGGCTGGACCAACGGCAACGGCCATCTCACCCATGGCATCAGTGCAACTAGCACGCAGATCAAGTTCCTCTTCACTTTCCTTCTTTGTAATATACTCTTGCATAGCATTCATAGAATCACGAAGGTAGGGCAAGAAAGGTGCCTCGACCGTTGAGGCCAACGAGCCCAAAGCGCCCGCTGCCAATGCCTTGATCTTGAAATCCGGGTGCTTAAAGAGCCGCTGAAGCAGTGGAGCCAACTTATCCAGGTATGGAACAGCATCTTCGGCATCCATGCCGTCCACAACTGCGTCGATGGCACTTGTTGCAGACTTCATGATGTCGACAGTAGGTCCTTCCTCCTCACCCTTGTAAGCACCCATTGCTGCTGTCAGGTTCTTGACGAGGAGCGGCATCAATTTCTCATGCGCCTTGCTGATATCTTCCGGCATGTCGTCAGCTAGCCTAGCCGTTGTCTGCAGAGCGGCTTGTCTGACGATAACCTCCGAGTCTTCCAGCAGTGTAAAGAGGATTGGCAACACCGAAGGCAGTTGCGTGCTGAGGAAATCTGGAGCTCCTTCGACTGCCATACCTAGAGCCAGGATCCCGGCTTGGCGTTGTTTTGGATTGGAGCTTTTGGAATACTCGGGGAGCGCATTCAGCAATGGGACGACGACTTGGTTGGCAGGGAGGCTTTGAGCCATGGTGTCTATCAGACCTAGAGCCGAGCGAGCAGGCGTAATCTCGTCGTCGTCAGCAGAAGCATCGTCAATCTCGGTGACAATTTGCAACATGCTCTTCGTCAGTGGCTCCCCCATCTTGGCCCCTTGGACTCGCAGGCGTCTATAGATGACACACTGCATCAAAAAGCTGATGGCTTGAGTCCTCGTGTCATCGGCCATCCCTGTATTGGTTGCAATCTCGTTCATAAAGACGACTAGATCCTGGAAATGCTTCGACATGAGCTGGTACTCGGCAGTCAGGAGGGTGTTGAAGACCTCAAAGGCGAGCATAATCTGGTCTTCCTTGCCCGAGTCGATTGTGTCTTTCAGGACAGCAACCATGGAAGGAAAGATGTTTTGAAATGCCTTGATCGAGGCTTGGTCTTCTTCAGCATCGATAACCAGTGCCATCTTGGAAATGGCCAGCAGGGTGTTGACTCTGACTTCCAGGCTCTCCGGGTCTTTGATTGTATTGCTGAACAGTGTAAATAACTCTTTGAATTTGGAACTGAAGCCATCTCCCATAGTTTCTAGTATGCTATACAGCACATACACACCAACCGCGCGCTCGGCGGCTTTTGAGCTGGTGGCAGCTTGTTGCAACAGGCCAGGCAGTTCGGGCCATTCACCATCGTCGAGATCAATTTTTGCAATTGTACTTATCAGGCGCGAAGATGAATGCCGGACGAGAGAGGAAGGCTCAGCAAGAGTTGCCTGAAAGAGTTGGGTTCGGGCTTGTTGGCGCTGATTGTTGGGGATCTTGGTCCAGTGTTTCGAGACCAATGGCCTGGCCTGAGTAGCAGCCAGTTGTTTGAGGTCTGCGCTTTCGTGTGAGATGGCGAGGTGAATTAGAGCGAGAAGGGACTGTGGCTGTTTGTAATATTCGTTCTGGAGTACACTCGTGGCAGCCTTGACATTGCCTTTCTTTGGATCGAGGATGATGGAGAGCTGCTCCAAGAACTTCTGTTCGTCCATCGTAGCAGGGCAGCCAGCGCTGCTGTCTTGCGGCAGTTCAATCAAATGCGGTAGAAAAGTCAAAGAGGAGAATATCTGCAGGGTCCCAGAGCTGGAAAAGGGTTTAAGCTAATGTCCCCAGCGCAGAGTCTTGGAGGACACAACGTATAAGAGAATTGAATAAAACAGAAATTTGGGCGCAGTCTCGAGGAAATTTTTTGGGCTCCAAAATCCCAAATGAAACTCGAGATCAGCATCATAGCGCAGCAAATTAAGGTTCGCTCTAGACCCAATAAAGCTTGGTTGCCAGTGACTCGCGGCGGGGCTGACCCCTCGTGCCAAGAAGTTTCACGTGACTTTTTGGTCACATGATTACACGAGTCAGCCACTTCGCACCTGACCAGTGCCGCACAGTTGAAATCCAAACACTCCAGAGTCAACAAAACCTTCGTTCCCCCCCCGGCTTCTGATGCGCCTCATAGAAGTTCGGTTACCAATCACAACATTAAGCCCCAGAACTTGCAGGCAATCGCTCCTTGCTACGCGCCACAACCGTCACCAGTTCATCGAGCTCAGCATATGTACTGCTTCGGTTGCATAGGTTCCCCGGGCCTCGACTCATCTATCCCACCTGAGAGCCGGAGAAATAGCGACTTCTCAAGGCCTGGAATCCTCAGACCATCGAAAGAAACTAGGGTGAGCAGTCGGTATCCAGGCTTGCAGATACCTCCTCGGGCCGCCAGAAAATCCGCAACCCAATGTTGTTTTGCGCCAAATTTGCCTTCATGGAGACGGCTGGGGACGGGCGCCCGGAGAAAATCACCGGCGAGGCTAGGGAGTGTACGCCTAGAGACCCTCCCCTAATCACCAACCCAGTTCATCGGCCTCTGAAATTTTCATAACAACGGATTATCATGAGCCAACTTTGCACTAATCGGAACGCCCCTCTCTGTGAATCAGAGAGAGCTCAGCTCGTCGATCTCTTGCAATTGCCTCGTAAATGCCACCCTCGAATTTGCTGCTTACTCCATATCAGATGGGTTCTATATGCTTCACAAGGGAAACCAGACAGTGAACGGGCACACGCCGAGAAAGTACTCTGAAGTCAGAGTGATCTATCTTCGCCGAGTAAAAACAGATGTCGCATGCCCATTGTCAGAGACGTCGGACACATTGGATGGATCGCAGTTTCCTCCATCCATTCATGTCGTAAGTGTGGATGGTTGCATTGTTCCTCCGAGGAGCGCCTAGTATAAATATGTCGCGCCCCAGCCCACCTCGCAGAGTTCGGATATCTCGTCCGCCAAATTCTGTCTTACCTGCTTTGGCTGTTCCACCGACCGAACTTTGCTCATATTCTTGAGCCTCCTCGACAAGACCCAGTAGCACGTCCTTCCAGGTACCTTCCTACGATGGCGCGCATTCTATAGCATGAATTGTCGAGCGAATTGTCATTTCGAAGCGGATTCCGAGAGATCCAACAGTATCTCGGCATACCAAATGAATTCACGGGAGCGATTCCCCCTCCATGTCTCAGATGTTGGCACCGCGGCCACCCCAAGGCGGCGAAGGATCCCAGGAGCCTCCATCTTCTCAGCGCCCTCGAAAAATATCCACCGCTTGCGGCGCCTGCAAGCAGCGGAAAACAAAGGTATACCGCGCGTTTCGAATGTTCACCAGGCGTGTCTCTGACCCGGAACCAGTGCAGTGGGGGCAACCCTTGCGAGGCTTGTGCGACGAGAAAAAGTCTATGCATTTACGATGCAACTTCTGACCAGCGACGGAAAATTGCGAATCACCGAACTGCCCAAGAACTCGTGGACAAGCAGCTCGCCCTCGAACGGCACCAGCAGCTCCTGGGAGGAATTATCGCGACCGTGCGAGCTGGCGGGTTCAATGCGACCGAGGACTTGCTCCGTGTCATACGATCAGGCGTCGAACTATCACAACTGGCTGCCCACGTTCGAAACGAGTGTCGAGCTAATATCGCCATTCAACAGGCTTACGAACAGATTGAGTTTGTCATCGATGGAGGCACAGAATTGCCCTCTCCGGCCCAGATGCAAGTTTTACCAAACGATGAATCGCGTGGATCAGCAGAAGAGCAAAGTGACGCCAGTTCCATCAAATTTTCCTCCAGCGGCCGACCCAAGATGGACAGACCAAACCCGCCACGCTGAGAGGGAATATACTTGAGGATAGAACCGAGATGCGGCATTGGTTGAGCCATCAATGATGCAAAGAGCTTGCGATCAGAAAGCCCTATATCTTGAGTAACGAGGATGCCACGGCTGGGTATGTTGATGACGGTCGTTCTCACCGTACCCTGGACCACCTCGTCTGAGTATTTCCTCTTTATCTGCTGCTTGATCAACCGAGCTAACCCAAGGACTGGAGATAGGAGCGAGATTACTCGATCGAGTTGCATTGCTCGTCTACCGGAGGCTTTATCGGCGCTATTTCCTGCGTCATACATGTTAGTAGCCGGATTTGTGAATTGGTTCTGGTCCGCACAGAATGGCACTTACCGATGAGGGAAATGCTGAAGGGGACCGGAATCTGCATTATATCGATATTGGAACGTGAAAGGATGAAGGGTGGCGAGAGCTAATGACCACGAACCTCCAGGCGAGAGGCGCACTTGCCAACGATGACTGGCTTTGGAGTATGGATCCCCGAATCTGTGCAAGTTTTGCTCGGATACTGGCCATAGTTGGACAGAACAGTTGGAGCGTCTGGAAATGGACTCCGGCTGAGCTACGAATTTACGTGCCGTCGGACTCGCAAATCTTCGATTCAGCCGTTAAGGAGTGTTTCTGTGGAGCAGCAGGCCCTTTGGTCGCTTTCTCAGCATGTGAAGCGGACTGGGCGAAGGCGACACCGTGGGACCTGATATCGATCCTCTCGCCACGGATGGTGGGAAATAGACCTAGGTACAAGGTACAGGAAAATACGCTGGTCAGACAGGCATCGTGAAACCAACATTGGTCAGGTTACCTAGGATGCTTGGTAGCTTTCCCAACCCATGGAAACCACGGATTCCTGACCTTCCCCGCTGAAAGAACAACGCATCACGACAGTTGCTGCCAGGGGTAGAGACGTGCATTCTTGTGAATCCCAGTTGCATTCTAGATTGTCGACTCATGGATAGAGTCGACTATGATCGTTCCGTCATATTCCTGCTATCGCTCTTCCGCCGCAGAAAGATGCACCGCAGTCCTGTCTTTCCAGAGTGTGGGGCTTTTTGGAGGGCTCTTAAGACATAAATACCCAGTGGGTGCCTCAGCATCAAGTGCTGCAGACCATTGTGTTATCCATGGTGGGTAGATCGCCACTGTCGACTTTGGACTCTGTTCTGGCCCAACGGACAGATCATGTGACTAGGCCATGGCCTCGGTCAGACGGTCAGACTGCGCTTGTCCCCCGCAAGCAACTACGCCATAATGCGCAAATGGGTCGTCGTCTGTCGAATCAATTTCTGCTCATCACCATCAACCCCTCCATTTCGATATCCGACGAGCGACTCACCGATCTCACCCTCCATCATCTCCCAATGCTTGCAGCACTTCCAGCATTTTCACCACCTCCTCCGCTTGTGATCTCCGGCTTGCATATGTAGTTGTGAAGCTTGCTGCCAACCCCTCCCCCGCGCCGACTCCTTCTCCTCCATTTCGAAAGAAGATCTAATCTGGTCAACCAACCATGACTCGTAGAGTCCATGCCCAAAATCCTGTGACGAATGGCCAAGGTGCTCAGGGCCATTACACTTCTGAAGCCTCCTCCTCGAAAAGCAACCAATCATCAGTATTGCGACCGGCCTGGGAGACACTTCTTGTGGTGCACCCGCGTTCTAAACTGAAAACGCACCTGGTCCCGGCCGCCCACGGCCACGCCTTCGAGGTGAAGGCTTCGTCCCATTTCCGCATCGTCGATCTCCACGGCCAGCAGGTAGTCGATTTTATGGCATGGACACTACCCTACTCGCCCGCCACGAACTCGGAGCATTTCTCTACGAGCTACACTCGCTATGCACTGGGAGGTTCCGCGTCTCCGCAGGTAGGCGAGGCGCTCTACACGAATCGGGACCGAAAAATGTTTACTATCGTCGCGGACATGGTCAAGACCCACGATCTGCTTTTCATGGCTTGTAACCCGGGCTTTTATGCACGCCAAGGCCAGCCTGTCCATCGCTCCTGTGCCACTAATGTTGCCGAAGCGATGAAACCCTGGGGCATGAAGCACTGGAGCGAAGTCGTTGATCCGTTCAATGTCTTCCAAAACACTCCCTATTACACGATCAAGGCGCTGAATTGTTCCCGGCCGGGAGATTTCCTAGAGATGCGGGCGGAAGTGGACGCTGTGTGCGCCGTGAGCAGTTGCCCGTTTGAAGCAGATGGATTCAATGGTGGGAGAGCCACAGAAATTGCTGTGGTGACCGAGGTCGACGATGAGGATGAGCAATTGGAGCATTGAAGGTAATCTTGTCGATAGGCCTACACTTTAGATATATACGGCTCAATGAAGCCCCTTCCACGAGGACCTTCAAGATTCTGCTCCGTATCTCTGCAGGACATCGAACGGGCTGTCTCGTTGCATCCAAGTGTGACGCCACAGTGTAGGCGCTTCGATGACACCTGGGGTGGGTTGGACTTGCCAGCTTGCAATATGTCGCCGTTGCCCGGGGTCGAAGCTGCTTAGCAACAGCGAGAGGGGTCGGGTTTCATGTCAAGATCACTCAGAATTGGTGCCGCAGTGCAACTTTCACATCCATCGCCCTGCAATGTGCGCGGCGTCACCGCCGTCAAGCCCCGAGTGCAAACGGTGCCAACTCCTCTGCAGGAGCTGTCATAACATCAGTCGCGTTCTGTGGCAAGATCGTTTTCATTCGAGCATTGGACTTCAGCCTCGTCCAACGACGGGAAAGGGCGTGGAGCGAAAACAATTTCGCCTGACTGGCCATATTTTTCGCGTATTTCGCCGTCAAAACAGCTAGATACGCTGAGGCGAACCACCATCAGCAGTTGCCACCGACATACTTGTGTAGACGGGCTACAGGTCCGTCTCATCACCACTTGTCCCTCGAAGTTGGTCTTCCAACCCTCTCAATGCATGTCTGGTATTCCCCCTATCCTTTGTCAAATTTTCCACGACCGTCTCGCCTTTTCCTTGCCCTAAGCACCGGTAATCTTGCATGGCAAGGGCTCAAGGTTCGACAATGGGCTGGTGTGTTTGGCGTCGACATCCCCTGTTCTCTTATGGTAATCGTAAGTTATGGCAATATGCTCGTCTATTTTGAACTCGTGTTCAATTCGCTCCGATCACTGCAGCACGCTTGTCAGTTTGACACAAACCACACCGACCTGATATCACATTCAAATTGTTGACACTCCTCCCTCCCATCATGTTCTTCTCATTCATGTCTTCGTGGTTTTCCCTTTCAGAACCCAAACCTGAAGGACTGCGACCGCTTCCCACAGTTGGATTACCACCATGTGCGCAGTAAGCTCGATCCGTGAATGGAACAATTGGACTTGAAGCAAGTTGACGGGGCTTGGTGGGATACAATCAGCCAGAAGAATGCTGAAAAGCCGTGAGACTCTGCGGACCAAGGGGGAGCCTAGGTTCTGTCTGTCGACTTATCACCTGCGCTCGCATTTGCCAGTATAGACAACTGCAGGTCTGCATTCGACACACCACCTTCTTGAATTTGAAGGAAGTCATAACTGGGAATTCTAATAACGACGTGTCCACATTGTTGATGGAATCTGTTTTCGAGTCTTTTTAGGGGAGATAAACCACAAGAGTCAATCCCGGAAAAAGGAACCAGCCTGCGCTTTGATGAATACCCCGGAAAAGACTTCCAGGCAACCCCAGAGGTGAGCCCTAGCCTGATCGGACGATACGCCCCGAGTGCTCCTCCTGCAGAGGCAGGAATTCCAATTCATCAGGCTACTTTGATCGACTCATTTTCAGCCATGAAGATGGTCGGTCTTTTCGCCTTCGGCTTGCGACGCAGCGGCTTTCCTCCACAGAATCATTCGCTCTCATTCTATTTCGGCTCGAGAGGATAAAGGCTCTTGTCGGTTCTATTTTCTTTGCATCAAATCTGGTTGAATGCTCCTTTGAACATGTTTGAATCAGCCATCGATCTTGTGGACCTTCAATATCTGCGTGAAGGGGCGTTGCAAGCGCGAGAGCTTACTTTGAATAGCAACGACACGCGAGGAGAACCATAGCTTGAAAGTCTACTGCCTTGCATGAGATTCCGGCGAACATACTCGCGCAGACAACGAAGCACTCGTTCCCCTTAGCGACTGCTTCCAAATGCAAATTCCGTACATGACATACATTGCGCGATTCTTGGAGCGCCGGCCTTGACTGCAACATGATTGAAAAGCGTACTGGGCTTCAGAACGGAGACCAGAGCAGGGACCGACTGCGGCAACTTCGCCAAATGCCCTCATTCTTTCAAGACGCTGCCGATTCGAGCGTATTTCCCATCCCTACTTTCGCAATACATCCAGTTCCATGAATGATGCGGGTCTGGCCAACCATTGAAGAGCTGAATCTTTTCGACTACAAACAATCGTGACAGTGGTCGTATATTGGGCGTCAATACAATGAAAAAGGGACATAAAGGTCTTCAAATGACCCATTTACCACATTAAACAGGGATCAAAACAAGATATTGGCTGTCGTTTCCGATGCTTGCCGTCGATGTTCTGCTGTTATGGGAAACCTCGAGAGCTTTGTCTCAACAACCCGTGAAGTGAATGGGCTTCGGCACTGGCTGGCAGGCTTTCCTAGCCTTTTGCACGGACAGCCCGCGAACACTGAAGAATTCGAAGTAACTGAGGTCATCCCGGGCTTCGTCGCCTACGGATCTCAGGGTCAAGTTCGATATCTGACTCTATAGAGGACGGATTATAAGTATTTCCGTTTCCGACAACCGAGTGGGTCTCCTGTTTCCTGGTGTCCATTTCAACTGCATCACCACCATTCCCAAGCAATGTTCCACAACATTTATTGCCTTTGGTGGACATCGGTCTATTGCGACGGGCTTTATTCCGACAAGACAGCCCGTACTCTACGACCGCGGGACGGCCTTTGCGACAAGTGGCGCTGTGGCCGGTCACGTCTATCTGCCCCATGGGGGCAGTGTTAAAAGTGGTCGTTACTTAAACCAGTGCTGTTCGTTGCAAGGGACAGCCAGCCAATCAGGTGCTAGGAACGAGAAAGAGAAGAGGCTGTGAGTTGCAGCACACGACGTCTCAGCCTGATATCAAATTTCACAGCCTCGTCAAATGACAGCCTCGCCCAGCTTTTGCATCGAATGCCTAGCCTTTCCCGCGCAAATATCCAATATCGATGCTCGCTCGGAACTTCCCATGAGACATCTCGGCGATGGGGAGCCGGAAATCGGTCATTCGACTTTGCGAGTATCGTGCGACATTTTGAAAAAGTTTTACACGCTTCAATGATCCCTCTGGGGCATGATAGACACAGGCAGTTTTCAACTACAGATTGGGGTGGCGACCTGGATGGTGCAAAACGATCCACCAACACTCAGGCGGCGATATTGTATTTCCTTACTGTAAGGTAAAAGGGAGAGTGGGGCATTCACTATTCCTGATATTGCCATGGGGAATTTGCAAATTTTACCAAGAGCGCCTTATATGGCTCCTATAATGGGGTTTGTGTTGTGAGGAGTGGGAACCTATCATTCAATGCATGTACGTAAGATAGATCACTATACTCCATCTACCCTTTTTGCCCTGGCCTTGTCGCTTCAGCCTTCCAGACTGTACTTCTCGATCAAGGTCTCCGCAGCGGTCTCCGCAATCATGTATGCCGTGCTTTGAGTCATGCAGCTATGGAGTTGACTTGTCAGTAACACACGCAAAAGCACACACACAGAGAGAGACTATTCGCTTCTTTCCCTGCTGATCCGATAAGAGGGAGAGGTGTGACTTACCACGGAGTGGTCGGACAGACACTGAGATCGGCGACGTAGAGGTTCTCGAGTCCCAAGACTCGAAAGTCCGCGTCGACGCACGCGAGCTTGTTTTCTGGTCTGCCCATCATGACGGAGCCCGTGGCGTGGAATTGTGGACCCGAGACGGCCTTGAGCCATTTCTAAGAATTTTTGTCAACCCCCTTTCCCCCGTCCATATAATGACGGAAAAAGATAAAATTCATAGAACGGCGGGCGGGCGGGCGGGCGGGCGGGGGAAAAAAATGACATATAAAAAACTCACTTCAATGTCCTCGTCCGATCTGCTCGCCGGCCCATTGATGTAGCCGGCAAAGTAACTCGAGTTGGCCTCGCCCTCGATGAACTCCATGACTTTGCACGTGTTGTTGATGTACGCCCTCAGATCGTACGGGTGCGAGAGGGCGTTGAAGTCAAAGCACGGCGGATCTTGGGGGTTGGCGGATCGGAGTCGAACCTCCCCGCGAGACTGCGGGTTCATCAGGCAGTTGACGTAGACGTGGTAGTAGGACACGTCGGGGAAGGTTCGACCTCCGCGGGCGAAGAGGGGGGCTGCCTATGCCGTGCGGAAGAACTGGTCAGGATTCTATAGGATGGGTAGGTAGGTAGCCAGACAGTTGGGCTGGGCTAGGAGTCGGGGAGTAGAGAATTTATGTCCCTTACTGTGCCAAGTGACAATTGAGGAACTGTTTTCCCCTTGAGATATTCCTGCATCGACGGATCCAGCTGTTTGAACTCCTCCGTCTCGAGATTCTCTTCCACCTTGAGGAAACAAAAGGGCAGACACGGCCAGGTTTGTCCGGCCGTGTCCGGCTCGCCGTCGCGGACTACGTCTCTGTCCAACAACTTCTTCGACAGGCGCGTCTCAATAAGCGACTGGAGGTGGTCCTGGAGGTTCTTGCCGACGCCTGGCAGGTCGTGCACCACTTTTATACCGAGTGGAACCAAGTCGTCCTTGGGACCTATCCCCGAAAGAAGGAGGAGTTTGGGCGTGTCGAGGGCACCGGCGCATAGGATTGTGGCTTTTGTCCCGTGAGCTATATTTCATAAACGGTCAGTATTGTGATTTGTGACGCTATTCTCCCAGCCTGGTGAGGTCGTACCTTTGCGCCCATTGGCCAACTCGACTCCAACCGCAGTCCTGCCGCTGAACAGGATTCGAGTGACAATAGCTTCAGTCCACACCGTCAGGTTAGGTGGTCGATTCTCCAGAAAGGCCGAGGCTGCGGTTGTGCGAAGTCCGTGGGATACAGTGCTAGGTGACAGACCTATCCCTATTGGATTCCCACTATTCTGATCTAGGTTGATTGGAAACTTTGGGCAGCGTTAGCGCAGACTAACAAATAGCAAACAGCAAGCAGTGGTACATACTCCATGCGCTTGGGCAATCTCAAAAACCTTTGATACACCGGATTCCCATACTGATGGAAGACTGACATCAACTGGGCCAGTACTGCCATGGTTTTCCGGTGATGGATGAGCGTATTTTCTATACTCGATCGGGGTATCGTCTTGGAATCCCTCGATCTCTAGAACCTCAGTATCAACTGCTCTCGAGAGAGGAGGGTGGTGTACACTACCCGTTTAAATCTTTCTTTTGTCTCTGGCCATCTCCACTTTGGGCACCCCGTCACGTCTGCCCAATAATCGTACTCCTCGGACGAGCCGACATAGTACACCATGGCGTTCGTCATGGTTGAACCACCGAGGCCTTTTCCTCGTGGATAGATGATGCTTTTACCGCTGACATTCTTCTGGACGTGCGAATAGTCGGCCCATCCCATGCTTGGATCGGCGAGATTGACAAACTTGCGCCCGGCGGCGCGGAGGTTGGGGTCGTCGAGGACATTTCCAGCTTCTATCAGGAGGACCGATGGGGCGGTGGACGTGCGCGAGAGCCTGGAGGCCAGGAGGCAGCCCGCGGCTCCGGCTGTCGCGATCAGTTAGATTGATGGTTGTGATGTTCGCATCCAAGCAGTCAACGCACCTCCGACTACGATGAAGTCGAACTGGTTGGACATGAAGCCAGATGTATCAGGAAGTCAGCACAGCAGGCGCGTGTGGTCTTCGGTCCAAAGGGGCCCATTGTCGAGTGACGCTCCATCAAATACTTATGTTTCTCTTCGGCTCGATAGCACGGAGACTCGTTCAGGCGATTCCCCTTCTCAGAGATTTCGAGATGTGCAATTGGGTAGATGTGGATACGTAAAATGACATTCGTATGTGCTGACTAGTGCTCTTGGAGCACTGAGAACTGATAAAGACGAGAGTACCTCGTACCTCGTATACCGCTGGCGGGGTGCTAGATACCTAGGTATAGCCCACATGAGTCTAGGTGGCCAGGTATGGAACTCCACTGTAAGACGCTACACGCGGCCCTCTGCGCGTCAGCAGCTTGATTTTCTACCTCTCAGGAGCTTCGACAGCTCTGGCATAGAAGATAAATTAGGCGTGTGTCCTGATAGCCTGATAGCGCATTCAAGGCGACCAAAAAAGGACAAGCATAGTTGATCGGTTCTCACGAAGTCGCACTGTCAAAATAGGCGGCGCGAGCAGCATCTTACCGCAGTCTTTGAGAAATAGCCATCACTAGCAAAGGCGAGAAAAGCCATAGGAAGCTGAAGATGAGTAAGTTTCAGATGAACAGATAAACACTTTGAGGGTAGTAAAGCTGGATAGGAAAGAGTTGAGGTCGAAACTGGAGGTAGATTGTCTCTAAAAGCAGCGTGGACCGAATGGTCGGCGACTTGCACTTGCTTGGCCATCTACGAGTCTTGCCAGAACGATACTGAGAACGATCACGGGAATGTACCCCAGCTTGAGCCGGTGTTAGAGGGATGCTAAGCCAGGACATCTCGACAACTTCGCGATACAACGGTGCGTGACTCGCCGTGGGAACCAATGAGGTCCAATGCATCAAGGAAGTCGAAGTCTAAAAGCGGCAACGAGAGTTGAGGTCCGCCATGAACGTCTGATGGAAAGATGATCACGACTGGTGGACGGACGGATATATTGAATAACTACCAGATCTATCAACTATTAATGCAAGTGCATGAAACTCCGTCTCTGGATCGATCGCCGACTGGGGCTGTGGGGGCTTTTCGTGAAATCTCAGGCAAGAGGAACTCTATGTTAGCATCAAACAGCAACCCTTTTTGACAAGCAATACAAGAAAGAAAGGGACGTAAATCAAAGACAGCCAGCACGGAGAGAGGACATCCAAGAAAGACCAAAGGCAGTGTGAAGACATCCGACCAAACGCGATATCCCATCTCTCGACATTGTTCGCCAAGTTGAAAATCATTCTCAAATTGAGAGAAAGTCCTTTAGTGCCGTTGCCCACAATCGTGTCCATGGATGTTGTTGAGCTGACGTCGGTGATGATTTGGCCGGTTGTCCTCTTCATCGAGATAGTCCAGGGGGCCATAGGGTTGTGGAATCTGGGAGTACATGCCGCTACCAATGCCGCTACCAACTCCAAGGAGCATGGAGGATCCAAGTGACGGAGCCTCATTGTAGTGCGGAGGGGACTCAGATTCTCCAGCTTGCGGAGGTGGCTCCGAAGTATGTGACCCCTCGTCAGTTCTATGCCCGTCTTCAATGCATGTTCCCCCCTCGGTCAAGCTGGGTGTAGGAAGTGCAGGATCGTGGGAAGAGCTTTCGTCGATGGACGGACTTCCTGCGACCGTTAGGCTTTGAGATCTTTTGCTCACAGGGGGCTCTGCTCACTCTGCCGCTGATTTTGCCCCTGTGCTTCTTGCGAAATGGGAATGGAGACATCCGACTCCTTTACTCTTGTTTCCGAAGACGGAACAGTGCCTGTCGAGACGCGAGTAGATGGGGTCGAAGAAGAGTGAAGTGGAGCTGGATTTCGTTCGTCTTTGGATGAGTCAAGGTGAAGCTGTCGATCACGACGAGACGAGGAACCAGAGTTTCCACCACTATTTGACGCACTGGAGCGATCTGACTTGCGATTCGAAGACATTTTGCCGCTGAATCGGTAAACGATGGTCAGAACCTGAATTATGAGCTGATCAACGGAAATATATAGTGCTTTTCGTCACCTTCCACCAGACGGAGTGCCTCATCATTGTACTGGCCCAAGAGGTGTCACCATGCTCCACGCAGCATTCTGTTGCAAAGCTGACTTGTGCACTCTTGGGAGGATACCTTCATAGCAAATGAAGAGTGCCCGAGACACCGCCATTCCGCCATTGTTGGGCTTCAAGAGGCTTGGAATTCGAATTATCTTTGGTCAATACAAGAGGGAATTATGTAGGACTGGTCGCATCGATATGGAGCATGGAAGAGCGAGAGGAATCCTGAATCACGAGATTAGCTGAGCCCCCTGATCGCGGTGAGCGTGAGCTCGTTGTAAAGAAAGGGAGCCTGGATGATCGACACTACGGCAGTGCCCCCCTGAGAGCAGAGCAACCAACAAGGAGTGACAAAAGCCTTCACAGGGCGAGAGAGTAGTGGCTGCCTTTTGCTCGGCTCGACGAGGCGAGGGAAGAAAGCCTCTAGCTTGCGTGATGGATAGCGAGGCAGATTTCGAGGAGCCGTGATTGTCATCGATCAGTGGCTTGGGACAAGGACCGTCATCAAGGAAGCAGAGAAGAAGCATCCAATACCGGTGCGATGCCTTTTTCATTGAGGTGGACTCGAAGTGAAGCTGGGGACGGTGCAGGACAGTCGCTATTATTGGGCTTTATCCGGTATTTCTCGCCGAGAAAAAGGGGGATCGCTCAACCTCACCTGCGGGCCTTCTGCATAGACCTTTCTTCGCATCCTCACGCTTCACGCTCGGGTTTGTTGCTTCACTTGACGGAACTTTGTCCTTGAACTTCGCCGCAGGCTTTGCTGGTTCTGGGTAGAATGTCCCAGCCTGTCGGCACCACTGCTGTACAGTTCCTCACAGCCCTCTCTTCGCCTCCTAACCTGCCTGGGTGCGCCCATTCCCGGAAAACTAGCTCTGGAACCTTGCAGCCCAACGTTCACCAGCGCCACGTCTCTTGCCGTCGAACTCTCGCTCCTCACCACGTCTCTGGGCCGCTATTCAGCCCCGTTTCTGCTCACCTCCTTTTGGGCTGTCAGCCAGTCAAGGTGTCACTGATATTCACCTGATCGCGATCCGCTGTGTGTTCTGCCCCACGCATTGCTGCCCAAGATGGAGTACCGAGTCCTCGTCTCACCGGACCAAGGGACGGTTTGAAAGAGAAGAACAACACACATTGGAATACGTCTTCACCAAGCTTTGCCAGAGCTTGCTGTTGTACGACGTGGCCGGAAAAGTCTTGCGCGCCAGTCATGGGTTTGTGGTGCCCAGTACTTTCTGCCATGTCCCTCCAGCTTTCAACCCCCCATCGAGCTCCATCCTTCTGAGGGCGTAAGTCAAGCCAGGGAAGTCATCGAAAGTCAACTCCGCGAACGGCGGTGATTGGGCTGGTTGACTCGGTAGTCTTTCTTGTCCAATCTATTACTCCAGCAAAAATAAAGAATTCAGTGCAAGAAGCTGGGACGATCCCATCAAGAGAGAGTGGGATATATCTCATATATCAAGCACGAAGTCATTCTACACTACTGGTCTGGTCACGCGCAAAGCCACTTGCTGTTCGGTACCACATTTCGAACGCATTCTCACCATTGGCGTGTGAAATCCGGCCACCAGTCACCAGTCACTTCCCCGACGGGTGGGTATCCGGGTTTGGAATCCTTCACCAATGATATTTTGATCTTTCGAGCTTGCTCGCTGCTGAGAAGTCTTCTATGGGTCGCTGGCGACTGTCCAAACAGCTCGAGCGAAGGGTCCCTTGGCAAAAGAAGGTGTTGTGGAGTGAGACCATAGGGGCATGTCTTCAATGCCCTGGTTTGCTCCATGCATGCTGGAGCAGGGAACCATTGACTTTCACAGAAGACACGCAACAGCTCCTTTCAAGTTTTGACTCCTCCCTGTTTCATTGTTGGTACTTTAGCGATCTAGTCCGCTTTGGCGGCGTTCCTCTCCGTTCATGTTCACCGCCTCTTTGAAACCAACCTCAAGCGTGTTAATTAGTGGCCGCGGTGTTCCTGCTACGTTGCTTGCAATCTCCTATGTTGGCCTTTACTCCTATTACTTTCTGTGGAAGATGTTTTGATACGAACCGACACTCCATCCTGCATCTCATAATCTACGATTGCAGGATACCTCACAGAGCCAATTCAAACACGCTCGAACCCTTTCTCAATTCCTGTCGAGGCATTCACCGCCCTCACTCCCTCTTGACAGTTGAGCACGATCAAACGAGGCTCATCTCCGTGACAGGAACACAAGAGCGGGAAATGGCAACACCTGTATAATATGTTCAAGAGCAGGCTTACAAAGCGATGGTCAATAATGAGCGGACGTCAGATGATTCAACGATAGCCGCTATGTGTATGGCATGCGAGATTTCCGACATCTAGCAAGGCGATCACAGCCGGGATGAAGCATCGCCTGTGCACCGAAGCATGATGGTGAAAAATGGCATCAGTCCATACACCGCAGCCCGCCGCAGTGCACACGAGAGGTCGACTGGTGAGCTGTTCCCATGGGTGTCCGGACCAGTGATGGTGACATAACTGCACGATTGTGCTGTAGTCGGTCGTTTTGCAACCCTGATGTTGCTTAGCCATTGTTGCTACAAAAAGGCCGCCGCAGTCCAGCGATGTCTCGGGGTTCTGGCATCGATGTTGCGATTCAGTCATCCTAGGAGCAGCTCCTTCGCACAGCGAATGGCCAGGAAAGGCTGCTCCGAGACTTGAAACTTAGAGGCTTGGAGAGACAAACAACTTTCGAGCCTGGATTTTCACAGTCCCGCCAACACTGGCTCGATCATGGTTCTCTACCAGAGCGGTACACCATCGAGCTGGAAAGCGATTGACTACGGGTGGGAACTTACAAAGGTAATGGAGATCCCTTCCCCTTTGAATTTTCCTGGGAGCCGTTCCGTATTTTTGTTCTTTTATCCCTCACGGCCCAATGCTCGATGCATCCTACGATACCCGTTCAATGTACCATGTGCCCATGGTCGGTTTCTCCTTCGGAGGCGACTGGACGAGGAGAACAATATGCACAAGGAATACAGAGAGGTTCATCGCTACCTTGAGGGCTTGATACAGAAGGGACCTGCTCCGTTCAGAACACGGGCGGTAGCTACCCACTACTCTTCCAGGTGAGAATTCGGCGGCAGCGTGGTGGCAGGAGATATGACAGTCCAATGGGAAGCCGGCAACGAAGAAATTGGTGTTTGAACTGCAGCTGGGTTTAAACGTAAAACCCTATTACGCAACACATACACCCCCTTTTCTTTCCCCCGCTGCCTGGCCAGCCCATTCTTGCGTCCATGTAGGTCAACCCAGTCTCCTCTCCCGCGAGCTCCACGTAAGACGAATGACAATCATGGTGACTGTTTCCCGCACTCCGTGTCCAGATACTCCGTCTCCGATGTTGCCCGGATGGACACGACTATGCTTTCACGCTTCGTGTCTCCGTCCGGTCTTACTTACCCAGGTGGCCTCAATCAGTCGATGGGGATGCGATTGAAATGCGAAACGCTCCCTAATTGGCCGGAGCAATAGGAGTCAGTTCCATCCCCCGAGCGCAATAAAAGGGAAAGCCTTTCAAAGGAGGACATCAAACTTACGGCCTCTGCTCTTGTCGGCGATGCCGGCGAGTCCCTTGACGTAGTCGGCAAACCATTGCTGAGATTCGCAGGCCTGTTTGTCCCGTGCGGCGAGGGTAAGTTAGCTTTCCAAGAACATGTATCCTGAATGGAGTGATATCTTTCATTCTGCTTTGCAGCCACTGCTACGCCGGGTCCGTCTCTTGATCGTCCTCCTTGGCTCTCCTCTGGGTTATCATCTTTCTCCCTTGCTTTTTGACTCTCACGTTGACCACAAAGAACGACAACGACAAAGAAATCGAGAAAAGGAACAACCCGCGGGTGGGGAAAAGGGGAGACCACTCACGCCCGTAAACCACTCGGTCCCTTTGGTCCAGCTGTGCTGAATCCGTATATGCGCCGGGTCCGTCGGGTCCTGGGAGATTTCGCAGAACAGACACTCGGGCATGGCGCGCATGTGGTGCACCACGGGCGTCACGATCGCAATAAACTCGTCCAGCTTCTCGGGAAAAATGTAGACGTCGGTCACCATGAGGGAGCCGTGGCTGCCGGTTGACGAGATGAAGTTGTTGATGGGGATGAGGTTGCGGTGTTCTTGCACCGAGGCGGGGGCTGAGGAAGTCATGGCTTGACAGTCACAAAACAAGGATAAGTAAAGTAAAAAAGACACTTGGGTTCGATCAAAGTGCTATATGGGTTTTGCTGGACGGAGGGGTGGCTTTTAGAAGTAAAAGAAAAAAACACGAGACAGGGCGATGTTTGCAGCAGCAAGCGACGGGAGTTGGCATTATATATATACATACACATACATCATAGAACAGGCCATCAAGGGGCTCTTACTCTCTCGTTGCATGCTGCTCAGCCGCAAGCGAGACCGTCGATTGAGAATGCGAAGCATATGCCGCCCTCTGTCTTCACACGGGTCACTCCCAGCTGGTACGGGTAAAGCGGGCCACAACGAAACTCGATTCGCTGTTGTCCTTGATCAGTGTTGGAAAGATACGAGCTAAACCAAAGGGCAACGAAGAAGCAACTGAAGCTTTTTTCAGCCGTGAAACTCTCTCTCTCTTACGCCTTTGGAATGGGGAGGTAGGAAAAAAGGGAAGCCGTTGCTGCGGCTGAACTCCCTCGTTGTAGCAGAGTGGGCGTCCTTGCACCAAGCGGAAGGTGAGAATGAAAAGGGTAAGTGTTCGATGTAATTACCCAATGGATTGGCTACCTACCGGGGTATACTTCGAAGAGGTCGCGGCGGGGAAGGGAGAGGGGCATAGGAGGAAAGAAGGGACGTGGTAGTCCATGGCTGATACATGAATTACGGCATTACTCCATACCGTACTGTAGCCGGAGTGAACTCGCTTGGAGACACACACTCACACACACTCATCATGCTTCGATATCGGCGTCGGAGGCGGCGGCAGCGGCCGTTGCTTTTCACTGTGACTTTATGACACTTGAGAACAACTCCAATTGCTGAGGGGGAGGGGGAAGTGGCCGCGGGTAAAATGCTTCTGGCAGAGTTGGAGACGAGCTCTGAAGCGGGCTTCTTTTTCGCCGTCTCAGTCAATGTTGAGGAGGTGAGGTAAACCTCTTTGTTCTTGATGTAAGCGACCACCAGAGGGAAACATCCATTGTTGACTGTACTGGACTTTTTACGTACCTTCGAAAAAGTGAGCTATAAGTATCGGACAGATCCCTAGCGACGATATTAATTTTGGGATAGTACAACGACATATATATATACCTGACCTAAGGTATACAAACTCCCACAATCCCATCAAGCCCACCAACCCCCTTAGGACGACAACCCACACCACTCAAACATACCGTCTCGCTTTCGCTCAACAATCCCCCCCAAAAATGCCATCCACCATCATCCCCTCCTCGCGCAACGCCTCCGCCTGTTCCCGCCAGGCCAGCGGCACCTTCACGGGCACGGTATGGATGGACCCGATCCACTCGGCGGGCGAGGGCCCCGTTATCAACATCAACCACGTCATGTTCACCCCGGGGGCGCGCACGTACTGGCACACGCACGAAAAGGGCCAGTTGTTGCGCGTGCTCGCGGGTTCCGGGTGGGTGTGTGATAAAGGTGGCGAGCCGCGGAGGCTTGCCGTCGGGGACACCGTGTGGTGCGATGCGGGGACGACGCACTGGCATGGTGGCGACGACGGGAGTTTCATGCTGCATCTCGCTGTCAGTCACGGGAAGACTACGTGGCATGAAGAGGTGAGCGAGGAGGAGTATCGGGCTAAAGTGAAGGTGTGATTTGATTTAGAAAAGATCGTGGAGAGGGATGAAGGTTCGATAGGGGGGTTTTAGCTAGAGGGGAGGTGAAGGAGAGGGTGAAGGAGAGGGTGAAGGAGAGGG